CCTCCCCATTTTTACCCCTTTTTTCAGCTGAGAGCAAGCTTTCCTCATCAACATGCTTCAACGCTCGTATATATGTAAATCCGTGGCAGCAAGTGCCTCAAAACATCACGGCAACCTCGACAAAAAAAGACCAATCATCGTAGAGGCACGGGAAAATAGAACACCACCTTCTTTTCAATGAAAAATAGACATATTATCAGTTGCTTTACCACCATTCCCAGGCAGTAATATCACCGCTAAAAATTTTTTCGTCCGTCTCACACACACACTCCCCTCCTGCTCCTCGCAGCCCTGAAGATCGTGGCCGCAGTCTCGCTGCGACACAAAACAGCGCCAAGAAAGTGTCAGGTCCACATGGCCCATGCTTCGGGCAAAGCACGGCCCTCATTCACGATCGCTGAAGTTCCACTTGGGACCAATCGGGTTGTGATTTGTCATGCGGCGAGAGCGCGGCCCAAACCGACAGGATGACGGAGGCGGCTACAACTTGACTCCGGAGTGTGAACGGAGAACATGGGCTCTCAGGCGACAGCGCCAGTCGACACTGGGAGCGGCCACGCGTTTCAACGGCCATGGAAGCCCGCCCATGCATCGTTAGCCGAATTGGGGCTGCGGCCCTGTGGGCATCGATCAAGTATTTCTCCTGCGCTAATTGCCTGCACTATGGAGCTCGGTGAACAGATAGTCAGAATAGTCCCGTGTCAGCTCATCCACATTAAAACCGTTGCGCCCGCAAAAGAAGACGGCACGCACATCGACATCGCCCGAGTCCGCTATAACGCTAACGTTGACATCGAGGGAGAATGGTACCGCCGCGTGTATCTGGCGGGCGGAGTTCTCCGACAAAGTCGGGAATTCGGCGCCTTGCCTGTCGAAAGCGCGTGGCCGTGAGCCGCAAGCTCTTCAGAGGACGTGGAGTCCCGAGCCGCTGGTGATACGGGGTGATGTTGAGTACCAGCTCTCCTCCCGACGCCAAGGTGCATCTATTCAAGTTGATATGGCGGCATGGCGGGAAGCACCATGGGCCTTGGACGGAGAGCGCCCCAGAGATGCAGGAGACAAATGACGTAAAAAGCCTGATCAGGCAGTTTGAAACGCCTCTGGCGGGGCCGCATCTCGATAGCTCAGAGCAGAAGTTGTCGATCGGCTAGTTATGTAAAACAACGACAGGGGACTCCGCAGAAGAGCTGTCCGCGCCCGAAGCATGCCTTGCTCGACACTGCGATGACGAGCAGACCCAAAGCAGCTTGCATCTCAGCGTGTGTCCGGTCGAGAACAGTGACGGTGCGCTGTGCCTGGACTAATCAGCCCCAGGTGGTCAAGTTATACTTTGCAAGCGCATCCTGCCGCGGACAAGTGACCCTGCAAGGGAGCTGTGGACCAGACCTCTGAGGGTACATATGTTCAAGCCAACCAGCACTACTCCTCCCCGGTGACGAGCTAGTGAGCTGTAAGTTAGCCTGTTCCTCTTTTCGCGACAGCGATTCCGCCTTCGAAATTTGTTCTTGGATCTCCCAGCCTGGCGTCAGGCTTTCCCGGGCTCCCATTTGCTCCAGTCATGCCCCCATATTTTAAGCTCCGGCCGCTGATTCCAGACCGGTGGTTGTGGGCTCGCTCGCTCCATTCCGGCGGCGCTGCTGGCGCTCCCCGGGCACTGGAGGGAGATTGGAGGTGGGCACCGTGCGGCCCATTGCCGGCTTTGCCACGAACCTTCACAGTGTTTCAGTGCCCTTTTGACCAAAATAGGCGAGAGTTGGGCCTGGATAGAGTCAACCGAACCCCATATCCTCTGACTTCCCCGGCACCGTCGACAATGCTAATTAACCTTTGGGGGGGGGACTTTGCGCATCCGATGGAAAGCTGCTGACGTGTTGATGACTTGTAGAGTGTATATCCGGGAAAAAAAAAGAAAAGAAAAGAAAAAAAAGTAATTATACGGCATGCTGGCGCTGAGCCCTCTTGCTCCCATGTCCGGTGCGCGCGTTGTCGTTGTGATGGACCGCGTCGGAAAAGCGATCCAGGCGGCCGTCCTGGAGTTGGATGCCAGGAAGATAAATTTCTGCACTAGCCCCGAGCATATCCAGCTGCTCGGAGACAGACCATGTAACCAACTCGGGCTCTTTGAGTACGACGTAGCACAGGAAGAAAAACGCGAGCATCGAGACAAAACATCGCCGTTCAGCGCAACCCTCCTCCCGGTGAACTCTCTCCCTCGGCTGGGCAGGGGCGTCAGCAGTGGCCTGCCTGGAGTTGCCCCCGTGGCCGGGCCATAAAACCCTCCTCGCGCACGGAATCGCCCCACCAACCTAAACTCGCCCTCGACTCCCTCCACCCTCGTCGCCATCGCCGTCCCCCATCCCCTCCCTCCTGGCTGGCTGGCTCTCTCGTCTCTTCTCTCTGACTCGTCCTCCTCTTTCTACCCGCGTCCTCGATGGCATCTCCCCTGTCAGTTGCTTCATAAGTGGAATTTCGTTTTGTTGCTGTGCCACACCGTCCTCATGATGGGCTTATTCAAGCGCAGGGATGCGAAGCGTTCGGCCCCTGACGAGGATGAGCAAGATTCGTTTGCCTCCATAAGCAGCGCGAGGACGTCGAACGCATCGCTGAAGGCTCCATTGTCGTTGAAGTCCAGCGGCAGTCCTCCGATTCCCGAGATCCCTATCGCCCCTCCCCCGGACCCCAATATCGATCCCGCTGCCTACCTCAGGAGTATCCATTCTGTTCGCCAAAGATCCAAGTTTGTCATGCTCAAGGCCAAGACGAACCAATTGAACCATTTCGACGTGGATCTTGACAAGTTCGAAGCTACAGCACATTATGTCGTGTCTATCATCAAAGTATTTCTCTCCGGGTTTGCTATCTCACAGCTCTCTGTTCTAGATGCTGATCCTTTCTACCATTGTGCCGATGCAGAGAGACTACGCACCCGACTATCAATCCATTCCTCCCCATGGCCGCTGGCAGCACTTCGACGCCGGAGGCAGGCCCCGGATAAACCAGCTACTCCAATCATGGCCCAGCACCATCGACGCGCTCGAACGGACAAGGCGGCTGATCGACCTTTTCCTGATTTCAGTCTTGCTTGATGCCGGCGCGGGGAACAACTGGTCGTATAAATCCAAAGAATCGGGAAAAATATATAGGCGAAGCGAAGGCTTGGCTGTTGCGAGCCTGGAGATGTTTAAGGCGGGAATGTTTAGCAGCGACCCCACCGAACCCTGCCAGGTCGATGGTGCGGGTCTTAAGAGGGTGACTGTTCAGGCTCTGGCGAAGGGAATGCAGCATTCCGATGAAAATCCACTTGCTGGTATTGAAGGGCGAGCGGGACTGCTCAGAAGACTCTCGGAAGCACTAAACAACCAGGAATTCTTCGGGGTTGATGCGAGACCCGGAAATATGCTAGGTGAGTCAACTCCTCAATAGTTTCGATTTCTTTTCTTTTTTTTTTTTGGGGAGGCAAACCACTTATCCCACCATCCACAGACTATCTACTTTCACATCCTTCAACGCTGGTGGCATCTGTTCCCATTATCCTTGTACCGACACTCTGGAATGTTTTAATGGAAGGTCTTTCGCCGATCTGGCCACCTTCACGCACTCAAATAGATGGCGTGTCAATCGGAGATGCCTGGCCTTGCAAGGCTATGCCCCCCTCGCCGCCGACAAAGCCATGGGAAACGATAGTCCCATTTCATAAGCTAACACAATGGCTATGCTACTCCATCATGGTCCCAATGTCAAAGATCTTGCATATTCGATTCTCCGGCGCTGAACTTCTGACTGGACTTCCTGAGTACCGAAACGGGGGTCTTCTCATTGATATGGGACTCCTTACACTGAAAGACGATGACATGGAACGTGGTCTGAATGCCTATAAGGCCAACGCCTTGATAAAGGGGCAACCCAATATGGAGGTTGTTCCTCTATTTACAGTGGACGACGACGTGATTGTAGAGTGGCGCGCACTCACGGTTGGGTTTCTAGACGAATTGTTAGATGAAGTCAACAGGCTGTTAGAATTGCCCGAAGGCCAACGCCTAACCCTGCCACAGATGCTTGAGGCGGGAACCTGGAAGGTTAGTTGACTCTAAGGTAACTATCATCTGAACCGCTTTTGCTGACATGACCGTCACAGGGTGGTCGTGAGATAGCAGAAGTCTCGAGACCAAACACCAAGCAGCCTCCGATTATGATCGTTTCGGACGGGACAGTGTTCTGAATTTCTACCTTGATCTTCTTTTTACCCAATCCCGTTTCATTCCCTTTCTGCCTGCGAAGCTTTTTCTTTTTCTTTCCTTTTTTTTTCGTTTTCTCTGCGCTGACACCGTTTACGATCCCATGCTTCGACCGATGATCATCACAATCGACGGTTACGCGTAAATCTTTGCTCGGTTCGCCGCTCGGGCTTTTGATTCAAGTCCCCATTTTGTTTCCCTTTTTACCACCAGCCATGCATTTTGTGCCCCTTCTTTCTGCTTGCGTGGATGGAATCTACATTCTCCCATCACTTTCTCTTTTTTTTTTTTTTTCCTCTTTTCCTCGAGTTCAGGGCATCATTGCATACATTCAAAGGCTTAGAGAGCCTGCTGTGGGTATTTATTTGCTCCCTGATACAGGTTATCATGAGAGAAACTGTCATGATGAACGAAGTATCACTCTCAGCTGTATATAATCCATTGTTCTTGTAGCATTGTCACGTGCGGGTCGGATAGCTAAGAAAGGCAGGCAGCCAAGGTAACTGGTTAGTTTAGTTGGTTTTAGCAAGCCCAGCATGACATAATGCACCCTCACTCCACGCAACCGGCCAAGACCACTCACAAACATCCAGCTGCACAGAGCCATCGCTTGGAATATTGTACATACATATACATCCTGCCATTCTCACCTTCACCAATCGCGACAGCCAAATTATGCACCTGTGTCATTAATGATTGTCCAGTGAACCAATCAGCTTGACCCAATAAGGCAAAGTAACCATCGAACAGCCGAAATTCGAGAGCATGGATACGAAGAAAAAGAAGAGGAAGGTCTTGCTCATGGGGAAGAGCGGATCGGGCAAATCCTCCATGCGCTCGATCATATTTAGCAATTATGTGGCCAAGGATGTGAGGCGACTCGGCGCGACGATTGATGTCGAGCACAGCCATGTGAAGTTCATCGGGAATCTGACGTTGAACCTTTGGGATTGCGGAGGGTCAGTCCGTCGACCAACGAGTTTAAACCCCTCCATTGTCTTTAGCAACCAAAGTGGTTCCGATCCATCTGAACCGGGAGCACACGAGCTTACTTAATTTCTGTCTCACTCTAGTCAAGATGCATTTATGGAGAGCTATGTCGCAAGCCAACGGCAGAATATCTTCTCTGACGTTGCCGTCCTCGTCTACGTTTTCGATATCGAATCTCGCGAAGTCGAGCGCGACCTGGACACATACAACGCTATCATCTGCGCGCTGCAGGAACAGAGCCCTAATGCCTTCGTCTTCTGTTTGATCCACAAGCTGGACCTGATCCAGGCCGAGCACCGGCAGCGAATCTGCGAAGAGCGCTCGGCACTGATCCGCTCGCGCTCCGAGTCGTTCCAGATCGACACGTTCGGCAGCAGCATCTGGGACCAATCGCTCTACAAGGCGTGGGCGGGCATCGTGCACAAGCTGATACCCAACCTGTCCTTCATCGAACGGTTCCTGCACGTGTTTGCGGAAAAGATCGATGCGGAGGAGGTGGTTCTATTCGAGCGCTCGACTTTTCTCACAATCACATCCGTCAAGTCGGATGTGGGGAACATCAACCCGATCTTCGATCGCCACGAACGATTATCAAACATCATGAAGGCCTTCAAGCACTGCGCGGCAAGGAATACGCACACCACGCCCGGTTCCGCTAACCTGGTTGTCATGCACACCAAGACCCCCCAGTTTAACGTGTTCCTAGGCAGGTTCACGGATAATACCTACATCTTCGTTGTCACCCCGCCCGGTGAGGCTGCGTACAATTGTGCGGTGCTGAATACAATGCTGGCGCGGGAAGGTTTTGCGAAAGCCGCGGCGGAAGGACAGGATGCATTCGCGTTGGCATACGGCGACCCAACCGGCGAAGGCGCTCAGGATGGGTCTGTTGCTGGGCCGGCCTAAGGCACACGACGGTTAAATTGCTTGCATGATGGTTCTCTTAGCAATGGCGTTTTATGTGGCAATGGTGGTGGCATGAATAGATATCCCATACCCAGTTTCTAAGTTTGCTTCCTTTTTTTTTTTTTTTTGGCCCCTTTCTTCTTCCCTCTCTCTCTCTCTCTCTCGCGGTTACGCATTCATGGTAGGTTTTACAGGTGTGAAATAGGGGCGGTGGATCCTCGGCGAGGGCGGGAGGAGTCTTCTCATTCGGGCTTGCGACTTGAAGCCTTTTTGCTATCTGATGAAACATACATCGCAAGCTATCCAGAATGGTCTATGTAACTTTATCAGACACCCTTTTTTCTTTCTCCTTGTTGTCTAGACCAGCGCTGGATCTTGCAACCAGCGCCCTCTTCCACAAACCAAGGCTTGGACTGTTCGCATGAGGCAAAGAAGCTCGGTTTGCACAAGTACCATTTGGCCTAGGAATATATATGAGATGGCAAGTCAAGTTAGCCGGCTGAAGTACTCCCTACAGCTTACGCGAGACGGCACTACTCGGCAACCGACGGAAACTTCTCCAGCCGGAGTGACTCTAAATATGGTACCCCAAAAAAAAAAAAAAAAAAGAAAGAAAGAAAGCTACCAGATATCTATGGGTTGGCCAGATCTTTCTCAGAAAAAAATTTTGTTTTAAACTCCAAAAGTTTCCATACTACAGATATCACGGGATGGAGCCTAACCTGCAAAGCCCCTTTAGCCCAAGGAAGATCGAGCTCGGGTGTGCTCCTGTATAGACTGGTATTGATGCATGGAGAGCTAGTTATTCCCTCCCTACTCGATTGATCGGTCATTTAGGATTCAGATCGGTGATGTTGGGTGCTGAGGGGTGGCGGTCCCGATGAGCAGGGCGTTCCCGGAGCCTTGGCGAGACAGGAGTGAATGGTGTCATGCTGGCTCCTGCTGGATGAGCTGGGATTTTAAACACCGGCGATTGCTGACCACTCCCCACAGTTAGAATTTGCTGGGATTGGGGGTTAGTTGGTCCAAAGATTTCGATCTTGCTCATCCGTTCCGAACCGGGTTTCGAGGTGCAAACATGAAGGGAGGAAAGGGAAAAATAAATAAATAAAATAAAAGAAAATAAAAGAAAATAAAAAAAGGTGCTTGGGTATACTCTGTAGTTACCCAATGATTAATTACGCGCATATACGGACAAAAATGGAAACCAAATACGGTAAGTTATATGTTGTGATGCGGGAGCGGGTTACTTTTGTATGGGGAATGGGTTTAGCATTTATATGGGTGCGGAGGAGAAGTTCCCTGGGCCACAGAAAGCAGATCACTGTCGGATTGGTTATATTCTCCATATTTATCCCTGGAAGCAGCCAGGGGTGGCACGATACCGAGCCGGCTATTGGATAAGTTTGCCGAACGAACCATGGAATGGGAGAGCTCAAAGCAGCCAATGTTGCTTCGTCGGTTAACCCTGCCCAGGGTACTCCGTACACATGATTCTTCCTTTTTGGTGTGGTGGCCAGCCTGCAATCGTATGAAGGGAACAGAGCGCTCCGTACGAGGAGGGATGAAGGGCCATTGAAATTGAGATCGGTTACTAGCTCAACCCATCACGCGCTGCCAAGAGGTGAAGGTCTCCGCGCGGCTTAAGCCTGCTCTAGTTAGCTGGTGGGAGCAAGGTATATGTCGTTACATAGATGTTGACTGTGGGCCGTTGGAGATAGGTTGAGATGACGTTTCTCGGAGGAATTTCACGCGCGAGATGCCACGATGAGGAGGAGGGGGAAACTTTGAATGCCCAAACTGGTGCTTTTGTTCTGGAAGGATTTGCTGAGCGGAGAAGAATGAACAAGAGGCAGATCACCGTCTTGGCTTAGGTAACTAAATTGAACCCGAGCCTTGGCCTCGTCTGCGTTCAGGCGCCGGGGAAGGGCGATATATAAGTATGGATGCGATGTCGAGCATGAAGCGCAGTTGACAGCGATGGAAGGGGTCTGGAAGATACATACCGTAGCTTATCTTCCGGCGGGGGATATGTATGTTGGCTTTAATTCTCCGAGTCGCCAGCAGATGAGATTATCACCAACATGCCAGACCCTCCGTAGCAGCAAGCGACACGGGAGGTTGCTGATCGGCCTGGGTGGTGAGGTCGAAAGAAGGATGGCGACCCACTGGCGCCAAGCCCTCCAGCGTCGCATCCTGGATGGGGACGTAACTCAACCTTACTCGACCTCCCACCCCAGAAACGGCTGGGATAGTCCGGATTCCAACCTCCCAGCACGTTGGCCAGACGAAAGCTTCGTCTGCACCAGATCCCGCCGTCCAATACGGAGTACGGAGTACACGCATCATTCATCTCTTCCTCCACCTCTCTGCTTTGTTCCATGCGTGGGCGACTCCTTCACGCTATCCGTGGCAGAACTACCCCCCATTACCCGCTGTCAACTCTGGTCAGTGGATTGCGGGCGGCCAGCACGCAATATTCATGGACTCCTCGACCCCAGCGATCGTCGCAACCGCGCCAAGTTCTATTCTTGGCGGTGCTAGGAGACAAAAAAAAAATATCGAGGTGACAGGTAGCATCCGGCGGAGGCGCCAGTTGCCAATGCATGCTGGACAATGTCCACTGAAAACATGTTTCAGCCAACCATGACAGAAACGGTGGAGAATCTGCCCAAGGCCAGGAAAAAGGTACACACATGCAAGCACGCGATAACCGGGATAGTTCTCGCGGAGCAGGTTGCCTCCCCCGCTCGTATCGGGTTCTCTTGGACGGCGCCGTTTCTCGATCTTCAATTATTAACTATCCTTACTGTAATGTGACACGGCTGGGGAATGCCAGCCTTGCCGGGACAAGGGTGTGCTTGTCCAGCCATATATGAAGTTTGGAGCCTTTCCACCGCCACCACGGTTTTTGTCTTTTATGGTTCTGTTTAAATCCCCCAGGGATTCGCTTCTCTCCCTCCCACTCCTCCTCCCAGCTTGCGCTGTCTTTTGAAGGGCCTGCCCTCACTTTTTTTTCTTTTCCCCTTCTTTCTCATAGGGTGCTTTTGAGTGGTCCCCTTTTAGCTCCTTTTGTTGCTCTAATCACCTCCGAGGGCTTCCCTCGACTTAGAATCATGGAGTCGTGGGAGAAGAAAGGAGCCGGGGACGACTCCGACGGCCCCGTGACGACAAAACAGGAGTATGTAGGGCAGGGCGGCCCGCAGGTCCTCGAGGCCGAGGAAGAAGGATTTTCCCTTCATCGTGGCTTGAAAGCGCGACACATCACCATGATTGGTATGCAAGGACTCGTGCCCTAAACGCATCTTTCAACGCTGACTACGGACGTAGCAATTGGTGGTGCGCTTGGAACTGGTCTGATTATCGGTACTGGCAGTGCATTGGCGAAGTAAGTCCTAATTCTTACCATTCTGTTGCTCGCCCATTGTGGGCTAACATTTATCCTCCAGAGCTGGCGTAAGTAGCTTCCGATCTTGAACTTATTGGTCCCCCAACGCCATCCACTTATCCTAAGTCATTGACCAAATACATAGCCGGCATCGGTACTGATCTCCTACTTGATCGTCGGGTTTGTTGTATGGATCGTGATGTGTGCTCTTGGTGAAATGGCTGCATGGCTTCCTCTCCCTAGCGGCTTTACTGGTTATGCTGTTCGGTTCTGCGATCCCTCTCTTGGGTTTGCCCTCGGGTATTGGTATGTTTCAATCACCCTTTTCCCACGCTGTCCATGCCATACATTCTCACCAACCCTGGGCGTCGCTAGCTATTACTGCAAATATATCATCATTACTCCAAACCAGTTGACTGTAGCCGCCCTAGTCATACAATACTGGATAGAGCGCGAAAAAGTCAATCCCGGTGTCTGGATCGCCATATTCCTGGTGGTTATCATTTGCATCAACTACTTCGGCATCCGTTTCTTCGGTGAATTTGAGTTCTGGCTTTCGTCTTTCAAGGTCATCGTTATCGTAGGAATTATCCTACTTTCGTTAATTCTTGCCCTCGGAGGTGGCCCTGATCATGATCGAAAAGGCTTCAGATATTGGAAAAATCCTGGGGCGTTTCGAGAACTTTACCAAACCGGAAATTCTGGTCGATTCTTGGGCTTCTGGTCAACAATGGTGACGGCCACTTTTGCGTACCTCGGGACCGAACTTGTCGGCGTGACCGTGGGAGAGGCCCAAAACCCTCGAAAGACCATCCCTCGTGCCATCAAACTTACGTTCTACCGAATCCTCTTCTTCTACATTCTCAGCGTCTTCCTTCTTGGAATGCTTGTCCCTTACGACTCAAAGGAGCTTGCTTTTGCCTCGCAACAATCCAGCTCTGCTAACGCTTCGCCCTACGTGGTCGCCATCAAATTAGCCGGTATTCCCATCTTACCCGACATCCTCAACGGCTGTATCCTGGTTTTCGTCTTTTCAGCGTCCAACTCTGATCTCTACATCGCCACTCGAACCATCTACGGTTTGGCCAGAGAAGGCAAAGCGCCCCGAATCCTGGCCCGCACCGACCGCAGAGGTGTTCCCATTTACGCCCTTGCACTGTCCAGTTTGTTTGCCCTCCTCGCTTTCATGAATGTTTCGGACGATTCAAAGACAATCTTCGGCTATTTCGTCAACCTCGTGACCATTTTCGGTCTTCTAACGTGGATCTCCATCCTCGTCACCCACATTTACTTTGTCCGCGCCCGCAAAGCCCAGGGTGTTGAGGAGACGTCTCTCGCTTTCAAAGCGCCCCTTGGAGCTGCTGGTTCCTATGCTGCATGCGCTTTCTGCATTCTCGTTTCGATTACCAAGAGCTACGATGTCTTTATTCACAACCCAGAAACTTACGGCAACTTCGACTACAAGAACTTCATCACTGCGTACCTTGGAATCCCTCTTTATCTCATCATGATCTTTGGATATAAGTTCGTTACCAAGTGTCAAGGCGTGAAGCCAGAGGAGGCAGATCTCTGGTCAGGCAAGGATGCCATTGACCGGGAAGAGCAAGAGTTTTTGGCACGGAAAGCAGCTGAGCAAGGCCAACGCTCGCAAGCGAACTGGTTCTATCGAACGTTTGTTGCTTGGTTGTTTTAGAGAGGCGGTGGATAATGTTGCTTCTTCGTTTGTCTATGCATGCTGTCTATGTCGCTCGCCCTTATTTACCGCATGTATAATGCGGTTTAGGGTCTGTATATAAAAACTAGATATTTGTCCATATGACAAAATTATCAAAACATTCTCCTGATATATCGCTCCGCATGTAGCTCGTTGGCTCCTTCGCTGCGAGGATGGCTGTGCCGCTAGATAATTATCTCTCGAGAAGCCTTGCGTGGAGTTGCGCTTCGTTATCCCGCGCCCTTCGCAGAACGTAGCCTTTGGGGAGAACTCGCTTGCTAAGTCCGCGCTCGCCAGCCTTCTTGCCAATCGAATACGGGCGCTGGTTACCCTATTCTTAGCCTGACCACTCCCGCATTAGCTCCCGATGAGTACCTCAGAGCCAATCCTCGTGTCACTCCGCAGATTCGAATCCCACCCTGCGAATGGCCCTCAACGTCGTGTGTTCTTAGTAGCAAGTGCTCTAAAAGCCGGTTGGCCTATCCTTTATCCTGCCTTGCTGATGTGCATATCTCTTCCTGCGCAGCTCAGATACGCCACGGCGGCTGCATGGATCCCGAAAGCCACACAGCCCCTCACCTCTTCAGATGACGCACTCTGCTCGTCACAATTGGATCACGGCGTCCTCCTACGTTCTTTTTCTTTAGCTATTTTCTATCTTGGATTTTTCTTGTGCCCTGCCCAGGCTAAACATTAGATCCCGTGTCGGACGCGGGCTGACGTTAGGCGGAACTGTCCGTGTTCGTTGTGCCTTGAAGCGCAAGGGAGTTGCCCGGTGCAATGACTCCACTCGGCGGCGCGATCTTAAAAGGGGAGAAATGCGTCTCAACTCTCTAGACGACACCTCTCATGAAATGCGGAGTAAAGCTGTGTTTACATTCAACGTCGTTCCCGCTGCGAGGTGCGACATTGGTAGACATTCGACGGACTATATCATAGTTGTTTAATATACAGTTAAGCGCGCACAATCGTGAATTGACGCATCAGTTCTTTTTTCCGGTCTTTTTCGTCTAGCAGTTGTCACGAAGAGGTAACACCCACTTTCGTCATATTTCCCGTGTAACACTCGGATGAAGTTTTAACTCACTAACGAACCTTCAGGTCAAACTCCTAGAGTCTTCGGTGCCTGATCAGGCCTCCAACGTTTCCCTATGTCGACACCTTACACTCCCAGGACGGCTCGAGGGTGCAACCAGCTCCTGTTGTCCTTGAGCGCCAAATACAATTTAGACCTACCAACAAGTGAGAAAAAGGGAACGCCTGCGCAGCGCGACCGTACTCTGGGCCAAAAATGTGTGTCAGGCCTTACTTACCTCCATTTCAATGGGGGCATGGAGCATACGATTGCGGGTTTCGAGGAAATGGCCAACCGAATGCTCTCGGAATGGATACACAAGCCCAAGCAGGACTGGGGTACTCTCCCTGCACCCACCCTGGCTACCCAAGGGACGAGGTCTTTTATCAATGGGAGCATGATAGAGAATTCAAAGAACATCTCTTTGGAGCAACGCGATGAACTGCTCCAGTGCTTGCATAAATTGCTCGAAGACGAAATCAGACATAGAAGGCAAAGCCCTCTTCCGCCCGCTACTGTAGCTGTAGGGGCATCTGCCACGGCACTGGGAAATAAATTGAAGGATTTGGAAACTTCAATGGCTAGGACTCCAAGCTATCCGGCGCCTGGCTCGCCCGAGATCTCGCCTTCGAAACGCAAGGCGCCGCTTGATAGAGACGAGGTATTTAGCACTGCTCCTAGTTCCCCTATAATTGACCCTTCCTATCCTCCAAAATCCTTTTCCTTGGACTGTGAATTTGATGATGACGATTTGGATGAACTTCTTCCTGTTATTTCAACTGATGTTCCCGGTGAGGATCAGTGCTCGCTGCGGAAAGGAAAGCAGCAAAGGATCGATTCATTTTTTAAAAGCGTTCGGCGGCCATTGATGGATGCTTCTCGTGACTCGTCCTCCAACGATCCATTCTCGTCTACATCGAGAATAGCAACACAGACAAACGTGAACGGGTACATGAGGGTCTCCAAAGTATCCACCACGAAAAGCCGGCATCAAAACAACAACAAGAGCGGGTTACTGGACACCTTCTCGACTATGCAAACGGGGCTAGCACATTCCTCTTTCATGGAGGGAACTGACACCGTGGCTACGTCGTTTGAGAGCAATATTGCCAATGTGGAACGTAAACCCGATAAAGCACCGTCTCAGGTCAACGATTACACATCGGAAACCTCAACGGTGGCTCTACTAAAGAGTGCCGATTTTCAGGAGCAGTTCGCCATGCAGCTATCACCAGAACCAGCTATGGACCCTACTGATCTTAAAATGAGGGCGTTCATCGACACCCTGGAAACATCGGGTCCATTCACATATTCGAAATGTGGCGACTGGCCCAGCAATATTCCTCTGCGATACCGGTACGAAGTTGAAAGAGTCGCACATTCTCGAGGGATGGCGATTGAAGAACTTCTCCCACAGTATAGGCTGCCGAGCCAGGACTATTCAGAGTTCTGGGAATACATTACACAAGAGAAGTCAAACAAAAGGACCAGTTTACTCGAGAAGACCAAACCTGTGGCCTGGGAAGTGGCAGTGGGTAACTTCGAGGAAAGTAGCACCAAAGACGTAGTGACTCTGACCGGCGATCTTGAATGGTGTGCGAAATCGGAGCCCGGGTATCTGAAATTCGTTTTGAAGCCACTACGGCTGGAGAGGAGTCATCGATTTGCTCGTCGATTTGGCTCAGATCGTTTCCTTGAGATCACATTCCCAGCCCTAACGAAGAGCCCTGATTATTTGAAGAACCAAGGCCCCATCGTCCTTCGAAGCATTGCAACGTGGCTAGCTACTAGCTCCCACTATCTCCTAGGAAGGACTTGGCGGGCTTTTTACCTGGAAGACGTGAAGGCTAAAAACAAAAAGGATGGTCCAAAGAGTAAAGTGCATCTTTTCGCTGTCAATGGAAATGACTTCGTTGACGCTCCGCTGTCTATGACTGTCTCCCCCGCTGGCGAGATGTCTGATAAGCACACCCCGATGACCGTGGAAGCGTTGTTCAATTGGCACATACCAGTTCAGGAAAATAAAGAGTCCAAAGATTGCAAAATCTTCCAGCGTTTGGCACTGGGGCTTTCACGGACTATACCGACTGTAGTCGTCCGTCCGGAACATATAATCATCCATCCGAGACATATAGACATCCCTCTAGAAGATAGAGGCAACATGAAATCCTCTCAACCTGATATGAGTGATGGATGTGCACTTATGTCCGTGTCGCTTGCAAATCGCATAAAAGACTGTCTGGGCCTTAAGGAGGAAAATCCCTCCTGCTTCCAAGGTCGGATTGCCGGTGCCAAGGGTATTTGGATGGTTGACGGCCGCAACATAGCGTTCAAAGGCGAAGAGTGCATACAAATCAGCGGCTCGCAGCTCAAAACAAAGCCGCACCCATCTGATTGCAGGATGATGCTTGATGACCATCAACTGACGTTCGAGGTTGTGTCATGGTCGAGAGAGCTTCGCCCTGTGAATCTAAACGTGCAGCTTTTGATGGTTTTGCAGCATGGCGGGGTTCAAACAGACAGACTTAAGAATCTCGTCAGATGCGAAATGAATACATGGTATCAGGAGTTCAAAGACATTATTACCAATGAGATTGCGTCTCGCGCTTGGGTTCAAAAGCAAGGACTTTATGAGAAGCGCAAAACAAGACGCATTGATGACTTCCCTACCGAAAATGTGGAACAGGCAATTCTACTTTTGGATAGCGGCTTTCACCCATTAAAGTCAGTCTACTTAATGAATCGTCTAAAAACATTCCTTGACGATTACTGTGCTCGTCTCGACAGTTTAAAAATTAGGATTCCCGAATCCACTTATGCCTACTGCATTGCTGACCCTTACAACGTTCTGGCAGAGGATGAAGTTCATTTAGGGTTTTCAAAGCCCTGGGATTCGGAGGGTTACACTGACTTGGATGGCATGGATGTTCTTGTCGGTCGAAACCCGGCTCACCTCCCTAGTGATATCCAAAAGAGACGGGCCGTGTTCAAAAAGGAGCTTCGATATTTCAAAGATGTCATTGTCTTTCCAACCGCCGGAGCGCTGCCACTCGCCTCGATGCTTTCTGGAGGGGATTACGACGGTGACCAAGTGTGGACCTGCTGGGATCCTCAGTTGGTAAATCAATTCACAAACGCTCCCTTTGACCCTAAAAAGATACCAGAAAGAAAAGAATTTGGATTGATCGATTGCTCCGAAGAGTTGAAGGCAAATTTTGATTTTGATGGGTTTCTGACAAAAATGTTTGTTTTCAATGCAGCACCCTCGCTTCTTGGGCATTGTACAAATGAGCACGAGAAATTATGTTATTATGAAAATGGCATCGCATCAGAGGGCGCCCTCCGGCTTTCCCATCTGCTCGGCTATCTCGCTGACGTTCGGAAAAGCGGCCATGAATTAAGGCGGGAGACATGGATGCGCCAATGGAATGAACTGAGCAAAGATATCGGCCCAGATGCATTGCGAAAACCAGCCTACAAGCAAACAAGGGAAGAACTCGACTGTAGACCCAATGATAAAAGTATCATTGACGTTCTTAAATTTGAAGTTGTTGAGGAAGAGAAGAATCGAATCAAGGCAGATTTCTCTCAGTTCTGCAAGGCCCATCAAGAATGTCGCGATGATCCGGATCTACTTGCAGCCTGGACAGAAATGTGGGAGCGGGCCATATTTGAACGTGACAATAACAAAGATAAAACCTTGCTGAATGCGATCCAAAATGTAAAAGCCCAAGTCGAGGCCGTGGCCAACGATCGACCACGCAGAAACTGTGGCAAGTCCTTCGCATCTGTCATCTCCTCGACGACGGATATGCTTCGGAGCATCAAGCCACCGGAGATTGACCATGAATTAAGCTACACGTGGCGAAACCGGGACGACTCATGGCAGGTCTTTCTAGCATCCTGCGCGTACAGGCTATATCCGAAAGGCGACTTCCCCTGGCTGGCAGCTGGTCCTACACTTTGCGAGATCAAAGCTCGTGCGGTTGGGCCATATCGGATGGTGACTATGCCGGTATATCAGACGCTCAGGGTCAATCATCGAGCCGCAAAGCGAGTGCAGGAAGCTGCTAGTGTTAGCCGTGAAGATATCGACCGAACGCTTGATGAATTGGATGTGGCCTATCCTGAATTACAGGATTCTGATGACGACGAGGACGATAGTTTTGATGATTGGAAGTCATTTGCGACGTGATTAACAGCTATTCTTCTTCATATTGCCTCGTCTTGTGGGTTTATATTGACTTGGACATTTGATGTTTTTTGGAGCATTTGGAGATTTGGCGCCATGAATAGAGTAACTTATTTGTCGATGGCCAGCTACCCCTTTGCATAGTGGCTCCGCATTCATTCCATTTCTTTCTTGTGAAGATATGAAAATGACGATCGAAGAGAGATAAATCGCATGACCATCAAACTAGACTCAAAAGTTCTCATCATTTTATGATTCGCTAATCTTGTAATCGTACATTCAACACACTAGTACTCCGTACAGCGTATACGAAGGGTATACTTATGCTCTGATGGTTTCGGTGATGCGATTCGCCAAGCTTCCCGGAAAGCTTTCTAGCCGAGCTCAATCAGTACAAGGATCGGCCAACCGAACCAAGCTTGCTCGGTTGGCTGACTGGCTTAACGAGTGGTTGGGGGGGTGGAGGGTTCAGGAATGGATATCCGGCACAGAATTTGAGAGCCGCTTGGGCTCTTCCCCATCAAATAATTATGAGACCCCGTCAGCGTGCAGCTGGATTAATAATATCGGCCTAGGGTGCGCAAAAAGCGGGAATCAAGTATCTCGTCTGGCTAGTTCCGCGAGCATTTCTCATTTCACAATTTCCTACAAGAAGATACTTTTGGGTCATTGGGGGAAGGAAGCCGTCCTTGCTCCGGATACTAATAACTGTGGTTTGTATATGTCCATAGTTCCCTGCCGTGGCCGGATTTTGGGATCAGGGTCAAGTTATCTACGGCTGGATTGTATGCATTTCGTATATAAAAGATCCAGCAGCTAGGGCCAAGGTCGTAAGTCAATCCGGGACGAACAAGCGAGAGGGCGTCTTACTTTTCTTGTCAAGCGTCAATGGATTCGGGTGCGCCGGGGCGCGGTTTAGCTGAGGAGGAGAGACGAGGGGACACAAATATCGCAGAGAAGGGAATGGCAACGGAGCAGATAATCGTGAAGTTCGAGCCCGGTGATAAGGATAATCCTCACAACTGGTCTATGGTTTGACGATCCGTCTGCTCCCTTTAAGAATCCTATTGAGGCTGACACACGGGCAGACGTGGAGATTGGTGATTTCCGGCATATACATCGTCTTATCCTTGAACAGCACTCTTGGTTCGAGCATGCCGGCTGGTGCGATCAAGGTTATTGCTGAAGGACTTAGCGTGACGAACAAATATCAGTTGGTTCTTCCCATATCCGTCTTCCTCATTGGATACATAGTTGGCCCGCTCTTTCTTGCACCACTATCTGAAGTATATGGACGGAGACCCTTACTCCTTTGGACGTTCGTGCTCTATTTATTCTTTACTCTGGGTACAGCACTGGTGTCCAATTTTCCGGGACTCCTGATATTAAGATTCTTCGCCGGTACCGCGGCCGCAGCACCATTGGCCATCGTGGGAGGAGTGTTTGCAGATTGCTTTCCAGATTCGGTGCATAGGGGCCGGGTCATGTCAATGTGGGCAGCGGGAACAATTTTCGGTCCTACACTGTCTCCACTCATATCAGGATTCTTGGGAAAAGTGTCGTGGAGATGGCCATTTTGGCTTGAGCTGATATTTGGAGGATTCACACTGATACCGATGGTCTTCGTACCCGAAACCTTTGGACCTGTGATATTAGCTCAAAGGGCTGCTCGGATGCGAAAAGAGTTGAAAAGAGACGGTATCATTGCACCGGGATCGGCCGAGAATGTTGACTTGAAAGAGCTCTTTGCTGTGACTCTTAGTCGACCGGTAAAAATGCTTTTTACCGAGCCGATTGTGCCGGCGGTTTGCTCGTACATGGCTTACGTCTACGCCATCCTCTATCTTTTCTTCCAGGCGTACCCTATCATATTTCAAGGTAAGTCGCAAGTGGTGAGGGCTATTAAGCGTGGACATCGGCTGAGAACGCACACCGTACTTTCGTAGATGAGTATGGAATGTCACCAGGGATCGCCGGGTTGGCCTATCTGCCAGGTGAGTTTCCCAGCACGCATAATCAGTAGTACGCACCTTTTTCTTTTTTTTTTCTTTTCCGCTGATAGGGTCACTAGTGGGAGTTGGAAGCGTTATCTCTGCCGTGATGGTCGTGCTCTGGGACGAGCGCATGCGGAAAAGGGGGAACAAGAAGCAGTCCATGGAGTACCACCGTTTGACTCTCGCCTGCATTGGGGGGCCGCTTATCATAATGTCTCTTTTCTGGCTGGTGAGCACTAAAACCACTTATCTTGGGTCAATTTCTTTTTAGTTAGCTCGAAATCAAAAATGATTAACGACAAGGGCACGCTAGGGCTGGACTGGCAGGAGATCGGTACATTGGATTGTCCCTATTCTCGCTGGACTCCTCTACGGAACTGGCAACACAACGATCTTTATGGCTTTGTTTAACTATCTGACGGACGCGTACGGGATCTACAGCGCGTCGGCAATGGCGGCGGGCGCGTGCACGAGATCGATATCCGGTGCGCTGCTGCCTCTGGCGGCGAAGCCAATGTACGAGAGACTTGGAATCGGCTGGGCAAGCAGCGTCCTGGGGCTGATGGGCCTCCCTCTGGTCGTGATTCCGTTCCTGTTTTTGAGATACGGGCAACAGCTGAGGGCCCGGAGCCCGTTCTGCGCCGAGCTGGCTCGACGGAAGATGGAGGAAGACGACGGGAGCGCAGGGAGAGGAGATTCGAGCGGTGTTGTTATCTCAGCTGTAGAGCAGACACGGCGCGCTGATCGTCCAGCGGCCTGACGACTTGCCGCAAGTTCCTCTGTTACAGTACTTACCGCGTAACCCCACCGTACATACGATAGGTAACTACTCCGTAGTTAGTTACGTTACGGACTGATAAATACTTTTCACGTGATATATTCCACTGTCACATGAATGGCGCTAGCGTTCTTTAGCGCGGGTCACATGCTTTTCGCCCGGGAACATCAGCATCATCGCCAGCAGCCAGCACGACAAAGCCCCCCCCAATTCGAGCGCCCGTGTGAGCGGGTGAACTCTGCATCGCCACTAGAGAGCGGATTCCGTTGGGAAGATATTTCCCGCTGTCTGCTTCCTTTTTTTTACCTCTGCCCTACCCTGTGCTCTTGTGGCCTGCTCCTCTGCTCGACCCTCCAGGACTGAAATTGCCCACGAGGAACCTCCGTCTTTTTAATTAGTAACCACCTGTGTCTGCTTGCTGTAGGCTATCGTCGGTTGAAACCCTTAATCTCAGTCGCACCGTCTTGCATCCATGTACGTACACCAGCAGCCTCAATTCCTCCTTTCAGTCAAATGCCAGCGTTGATTAATGGCATGGATAGAACTGATATCCATGTCACATCAACCAGCATCCAACGATATCTGGTTCTGGCGCTGGCCTAGGCGTCTCGAGACACCGGGATCGTTGGTCCGCCCTATTATTAACTTTCATGTGCTAACAAATTCCCACCTGTTGATGGACACAGCCGACGTTGAGCAGTCCTCTCTCCTTCCATCTTCACCGTCTCCCGACTCTCCAGCCTCATGCTACTGACGACTCAGTCGTAGCCCCGTTCCTTGGACGCGGAATAATACCACGAATTGCAGCCATGTCGACGGCGAACTCTACCAGAATGGACGTTGACAGCATGTGCAACGACGATAGATCCACTCGCGCCACCAGCGTTCTCTCAATGGATGACATCGAGGCCGCTCAAGCACTAGAGGGTCTCCGATCAGGTGAGACCCTCCTTTCCTTCCTTCCCTTGAAGATATAAAATTCTGACCCTCTCTCTCTTGGGTAGAGTTTGCACACTCCTCCCCTTCATCGCAAAGCAATAACCGTCTGTCGTCATCCGCCCTCCCGGCTTCAGAATCTTCGCAGCCAGAGCCCCTGCTTTCCCTCTTGACCTCCTCTCACCCCTTGCTCTCTTCGGCCATCAACAGCTCAATGTCCGTCTATTCGTCATCCAAGTCATATTCTCCCAGATTCAAGTATGGTGCCGAATTTATAGAACGGAACATCGGCACTCCGGTTGTAAACACCGTTGGCAGCGTTGGGCGGAGAACAGGTGTCGAGGGAGGCCTCAGATGGGTCTTACAGCGACGGGAAAACCCAGATGCGAACACTCGCAACCCACGTTCCAGCGGAGAACGAAATTCGGACGCCATGGATATCGAGAAAGGCGTCGCCGAACCAAGGCCCACTCATACAAGACGATCTTCGGGCCTCTCAAGCGTCGAAACGTTGCCCCCATACGACACTCTTTCATCGCCCAACTATGAGGAGTTGGTGGCCCTGGACAGTAAAGGCGCTCGCACTGAATCTCCTCGAAGTCAGACTTGGCAAAGTCGTTTGATGATTTCCACGTCGGGTCTTGGTGTGGCGATGAGCGAAGAATCGCTTCGTAGCTTGACATACTGCTTGAAGTGGCTGCAGTGGGCAAACACTCGCCTTGGTAATTCCATAGTAACTCTCAAGCAGGTGCTAGAGGAATGGGACCAGTCCAGGCAGCACCAATCGTCTGGCGATGCGTCAAATCCAGAGAGTCGGCCAAGGAGCCCGGCTGTTGTCTCTCAACAGATTCAGCAGGTCAAACAAGATGTTCTCCAGACTTTGAAGCAAGCCGTAGACGTGGTGTCGAAATACGCTGGTGGTGCATTGCCGGAAAATGCACGCAATCTCGTTCGTCGACATCTGACTTCGCTGCCACAACGGTTTCGAGTTGCGTCGTTATATACAAACAGACAGTCAGACACTTCCGACCCTGAGTCAGACACAACCAGCACCAGTGCCCATCGTGTCCTGGTCCTTGCCGAAGAGGGATTAGATATGATGGCCCAAGTTAGTAGGGTTGTGAACGATACCCTCATTAGCGCCGAAAGCTGGTGCGAAAGATTACGAAGACCGAAGCCGTCGGTCATATCAACAGACGGCCAAGGCCCGGATTCCCCAGCCCCTGATGCTTTCGACACCAAACAGCCATTGGCCGAGCCGACACATTGTCGCGAAGTTGAGATGACAGGAATGGATGAGAAGGCGTGATTGATGAAGCCAGCTCGTGCCAGCGTGGTTATCCCTACGTGGCGCGAACGTGACTCTGTGCAGTGACACAGCCCCATTGAATACTCTCCATACACTCATGGTGTATATGTGCCCAGCTCTACTCTTCATTCCACGCTTATACGTCACCATCACCCTCCTGCTTCCCCTCCACCTTCAATTCCAATAACTCGTGACCTTGTGTATAATCCGCTATTGATTTATACCCATCTTTCTGTTCATTGTTTAATATTTTGCGGCGTTTGTTCTCTTTTGTTGTGCATGTAATCGGAGCGAGCTGTTCTTCTTTCTCTTCTATACCTACCTACCCGCACCCTCTTCCCCTAGCTGTGTTTCAAATTATATTCTTTTCCCACAGGTCGTCTCTGAAAATTGATCTCTTGTTTGCCTTGCTTATCTTGATTATTTGATTACCTTGAGGAGGTGTGAGCCACTATACACACTATACTCCCTTACCCCAATTCCTCTCGTCCCATCAGACTACTCTGGGTCTGGGACTACATTATCAAAAGGCTTTTCTATTCTCTTTTATGCTTTGAATTACTATTTTGATTTAAGATTGACTAGTTAAGTTGATTGAATCTTATCTTCACTTCACAGTTCCAATTTCATGATCCCATGGATCACATTTCTCTAGGGCAAACTGTACCTGCGGATTAGTGCCATTTGATAGCATGTCCCATACAGAAGTGTCCATGCTCAGATGAGCATGACAATGGTGTCTGCGAGCAGCTAGATTCATGCTGGTAATGCTTACTTTGCTTGATAAGTACTGTGATTCGATATGCTAACAGACCAAGTAAATCCATTGATATAGAATAGTCGAAAAGATCCGATTATCTCACACTCAATCCCGCCATCCAAAATCCATATTTAACGAAAATTACCGAATTGCCGCTCCGATCGCTCTATTCGAAGCCGGTAGGCTCATCTCCTTTGACCAGACCTTTATAGTTATTTCCATTCAGTTGGAATAGGACTGAGATTTTCCCGGGGAAAAAAAAAACAAAAAGCCCCGATTCCCTATTACTTGAGCACATCAATGTGCTCATTTCTTGGTAGAAAGCGCAGGAGCAGTTGTATTTCCGGCTTTCCTCTCTCCCAGTCACCGATCCTCAATCCCCGGAACCTCCTTATGTTTCGTTGCAACCTGCGTTCTCCCTCGACCGCATGTAACCCTCTTGCATGATGTTGTTTTTCATTCATTCTTAAAAATGTTTGTCTGCGTTCTTGCGTCCTTCTTTTCATAACACGCTTCCATCCCTCTCTCCTTTCTGCCAACCGCTTTGCTCGAACGTGTGCGTTGTTCCTCCAAACGTGCACCTGGCGTTGCCATCCACCCTCGCATTCACCAGAGTCGATGGGTGCATTAAATGTTTTGGGTTTCATCCTGTTTACCCACATGGAATATTCCTGAAGGTCGTTTTCATCTCTGCATACCTGAAGAAACGAGTCGCGGGCACGTCGGTGCTCGTGCAGGTGTCGATGCAAGGTATACAAGGCGAAGGGCTCTAAAACAAAAGGTGCTCTCTTTAAAAACTCCTTTTGGTCCTCTGTTGCGAACTCTATATAACCTTTATATGTGGTTGGAGGTCGTTGGCTCGTGGGAGAGACCGCATCGACCTCATCTGTGGCGATTAGATACGCGGGGTCCCTCGTTGGGATATATACTCCGCTGGCTAGATCGGCCTCCATCATGGCAACAGTCAGACTACTCACTAGGCCGCATTGCTCGCCACATATGAGTGTTTCGTCGATAACGGCTCTCTAAAATATGTTAGCCTGGATACAAAATACAAACTAAGGAGGAGAAATAGGGGAAGTAGGGAAATATACGATTTTCACGAACCCATTCCTCTATTCGCTGCTCCTGCCAGCGAGTTTCAGTCTTTATTTTCTCTGCCTCCATCAGGAATTCTCTCCAGCGACGTTTGGTGTTAACCAGGGTGACAACGTGGGCTGAGAAGCGGATCTTGAGTTTCTCTTTAGGCTGCTCTCTTTCTTGCCGACGTTGTTGTTTGCGCAGATAGGCTCGTACTATCCGTGCGGGAAAGCGTATTTTGAGGCTTTCTCCAGAGAACTTCTCTATCCGTGGCGCCCTGCGAGATGCCTGCTCCTTTGAAGTCTGGTCGTTTGGTCTTGTTTTAGTGGTGGTCGTGGTGGAAGAAGGAGCATGAGATTTTGCAATCGCGCCGTTTGCCATAACTTTTATATTTGGGCACACCGGGCCTAAGAGTGGGATGTCTTGGTGAAGGGTGAATGAATATTAAGATTATTTGAAGAAAATAATTGTCCGCTGGAGACTAGATCTGACTGTGAACTTTAGCTAAGAACGTCCCTTATTGTTTCGGAGTTCTCCTGGGAGTTATCTTTGGGGGGGTACTTATATGTTTGTCCTATGAATCACTTTAATTCTAAGTTGACGGTGTGGTTGGAATTCAACCCACAATGTCAGCACTACTTCTAGGAAAGGATCCTTTTGTGTTAGCAGCTGCAACTCGTTCTATAGGAGCAATCAGCCTTGTACGGGCAAAGAATGGGGTGGGATTGAAAGGCAGGAGTTCCTGTCCAGTGTTGTAAGAACAATCGACTGGCAACACAATGACATTTGGATCACCTGTTTGATATCAACAAGGACCAAATAATAGACACGAGGGCCATGTGGTATTTCGAACAATAGCCATTCTTTGTCGCGTGAACTATCAATGCGAATAGCCATTCTTTTGTTTCCTCTGGATTCCTTAGTATTGTATCTTTGGCATCATGTCTTTTCTTTATGGGTCTGATGCTGCATTTTGAGCCTTTAAGAGTAATTAATATGTAAGAATATGGTAGTTAATGTGACTTACTCGCTGACCTTAAGAGCATTGATATTAAATTTTCAGGAGGCCTCGTTTGCGCAGCTGGGCCCTTTTTACATCAAATTATCTTGTGTGAAAGGTCCATCTTCCATTCACTAACAACCACAAATCGCATACAGAAGTAATAGATGACAGTGATAGCAAATAAATCATTCATGTCCTGTTCTTTAGGCGGTCGGAGGTCCACATCTAGACTCACTGACGCTATTGACCGAGTCAGAACTGCGTTTCAGAAACCAGAATATTGATATGCTTGTTCTTGACTAGAATAGGTCATAGAACGCATAGAGCTCTCAATCTCAAAACCCCCAAAAAAATGAAAAATAAAAAATAATAAAAATAAATAATGAAGTACTCCGTACTGCATCGAAATTAGCTGCAGAACGGATGAGATACTTACAGAGCGGTCCAGCAGCGCATTGGAATTCAACCATGTAACCAGTTAACCAGTCAAAGTTAATGAGTTTAAGGGGCAGAGGTCCCACAACGGCCCGTCACCATGGGCAGTCAACTGATCACTGCGAAAGCATTATGCTGGAGTGCGTACTGTGCAGGGTGCAGATCGCAGGGACTGCAGATCCGCAGGCTTCAGCGTGCAGCAAAGTAATTATACAGCTAACAAGCTGGGACTGTTGAACTCAGGAAGCCTGATGAGAGTTCACTTTACGAAACTCGCCGTCAGGAACTGACACTGATGTGAAGAAAGCAAAGCTAACTGGCTGTGACTTGACTGTGACGATGAGTACTTTGGGGTCATCACTTTTGCACGACGCTTCTTGAGTAGGAGCAGGTAATCCTAAGCGCGCACGCGGCTCTAGCGCCGTCAACTGGAATGCTGTCTTCAGCGCCATTTTCTTTTTGGTGAAATCCCATGTTTAAAGGGTCATAAATTTTGTGCTCCTCTTTTCTTTCCTTCTATTGTGAATAAATAACTACTCCTTTGTCCTCGAGTCCGGAATCGCTGGTTGACCAATTCACATATCAACTCAAACCTACCCTCCTCATTCTCTAGCCTAAAGACCCTGCAGCCGATGGCAACCACCTCTATTAACGGCTCAGACTCACACCAGCCCTCCGACAAGCAAGCTAGCCCTTTACGATCAAGCGCATTACTCGCCGACCTAATACCCATTCTTATAGTGCTGATCTATGCAGTTGCTATTACCTGCTATTTTCACGATGGTATAATTTCCTGCTGTCGTGGACCCATCCTCCGGCGATGGAGAAGGAGAACCGGAACTGCGCGGAAAAGAGGCTATGTGAGTGTTGCCAATGACGATGGCGAGGAAGAAGAGGAGGAGGAGGAGGGGGAAGAGGCGAACAGGTCGCATAATAGTCAGTTCGCACAACTACGACATAAGCATGCTGATGAAGAGGCAACCATTGAATTACAAGACGCGAAACCGGCGAAGAAGGGAAAGAAGAAGAAAAAGAATCGACCCAAAAGCTTGGTTCTACGTGGATATACTCCACTTCCATCCTGTCCAGAGGACCTTGATCATGGCGAGGAGACGGAGATGGAAACGAGGATGCACAGGGTGCATCAGGGCTTGGAACAGCGGTGGGAACGGGCTAGTGATGTGCTCCGGCTATCAAGGTACTTTGATGGTAACACTGGGCAGCTGAAAAGGTGCATTTTGATGGAGCCTGAGACCGAGTTAAGCCAGATGAGGATGAAGGAGGACAGCGGCCTATTCGAGCACATTGGAGGCTTTGGTGACCACGTGATAGGAAGATGGTTCGATCGAACTGTTCATAGGATGGTGGTTAAAGTTCTGCCTTGGTTGGAGCCAGGGAACAATGATGGCAGCGAGATATATCGGAAATAGCCGTAAATAAGCAAAAAAATCCCGCCTCGCTTTTTTCATTGTTGTCTAGCGCTGATCACAAGGTTCATAGAACGAACCAATCTATCTGTTTCATGTGGCTTCAAATTCCATTCTTTGAAGTACGCCAGATCCAAGCAAACCCGAAAGAAGTGTGGTGAATCGAAATCCATCAATTTAGGGACAAGTGTATCCACCGTCAACGATGATATCCGTGCCAGTGGTGTAGCTCGAAGCATCAGAGGCCAAGTACACGTATGCACCAGCCAATTCGTGTGGCTGTCCCTCGCGGCCCATTGGGATCTTGCCCTGCAACATCTTCAGCGTGTCTTCACCAAGAAAGCTAGACAGTTCGGTAGCAATATATCCCGGAGATATGCTATTGGCACGGGCGAATTGTACCCACTCCATCGCCAGGGATTTACCTAGAAAAAGCAGAATTGAGAGGTAAGTATGATATAATTTCTTTCTTTGGCTCTTTTCCTTTTTTCTTTTTTTTATTTTTAAGGAGGAGGGGGGGGGGGGTTCAGGGAGCAACATAGAGTGGCGCCAGAACTGACAGAGATGGATGACTCCGGCCTTTGCAGCGTTATATGCCGCCTGCAATTGCGGGACATTGACAATGTGTCCGCTCATCGACGCAGTCGCGATGAAGCTACCGTACGTGAAGTTGTGGAGCTTGTTTCCATTGATATCCGTCCCTTCTTGCTTCTGTCGCCGCCAGACCGGTGCCACGGCCCGTGCGGCGTAGTAAACTCCGTCGAGGTCGGTGCTGATGACCTTGCGATAGTGATCGAGCTGGCCAGCCGTCACGGCGCCCTGGGTCCAAGGAATGCCAGAGTTGGCGACGAAGATGTCGAGACGGCCGTTGAACTCCTTGAGGACGGTCTGGACGGCGTTTTCGATCTGCTGGGGTTCCTGAACGTTGACCTGGTATGCCCTGGCTGTTGAATAAGTGAATCAGCCCAAGTCCTATGTTGTTGCTCATTGATTGCTGGGGAAGAGGAGACCTACATTGAACACCGTATTTCTTCTCGATTTCAGCAGCGCGGTCGTGAGCCGACTTGTTGCTGTGGTACCACAGGGCAACGTTGGCACCGGCTTCAGCGTACGCTTGAGCGACGGCAAGGCCTATTCCCGCGGCGGCACCGGCGATGATGGCTGTCTTCCCCTTGAGCGAGAACAGAGCCATTACCCCGCGGTCTGCGGATGGGGCCTGGGTGTTCTGCAGCGACCACGACGCTCCCTTGTTGGAAATGGCGCTGTCCATGGCTGCTTGACTGGATGAGATAGCACGTTGGTCCAACAAATTTGACCAGGTAACAGAGCGTCTTGACGAAGAGCTATGAACTGAGAGAAATATACACCTAATAAAGTTTCTGAGAATGCTTCAATCGAGATGTGGTTTTTGACACCACGCAATGAGGGGCAGATGCGGGCTTTCTATTTTATAGCCCCGCGGTGTGGCAGCTCCCTGCGCTCGCTATCGAATCGCTGCCGCCCGCCGCTGGACGGCACTCCTCCCCCACCCTCGCCGGCCGTGCAATTGGCGGCGCTGCACGGAGCACCGCGCAAGGTTGCTGCGTGGGAACCGCGGTGGACAACGCGCGCTGGGATGACGTCACGCGTGGGGTCGCTGGTGGCCGCATCGGGTCTAGTGCGTGGTTCCGGTGTCCGCGATTGGTTCAGTAGCGTGCTTGGCAGCTTGGGGTTTTAGTTTGCTGCGTTTGCACTCCCGACGACGCTCCATCCCGGCTGGACAGAGAGCAGGACAGGTTAAACAGGCTTCCTCACGCAAAGGGGAAAAAGATCACGGTCACGATACGCAGGTTTTACTGCGATTGCTTGAGTATCCGGGCATTTTTTTCTCTCTCGCCCCAGCGATGCGAATAGTCCATGCTTGAAATGAAATCGGGTGACATTTTATTCAAGGTTTACCCACTAGACAGTGGAACTGTCACCCCCGGTCAAGCAAACTTGAGAGGTCTCACCGAACCCCAATCGTATCCAAATTGCGATATTTTCTGTGGCATAAACGGCGAACTATGCCGAAATGCTACCATGACATTCTTCCAGTTGGAATCCTCGAACTATTACCGGTAAACGTGCGATTGAGCTGCTGTGATCTCGAATTAAGATGCTGAGCGCCAAGACAAAGTGAATTTCTAAATGTGAAATTGTCTGGTGCTAATAAGTAATAGGCCCTGCAAGCTCCAGATATCGCCCTGACTGAAACTAGGTCAAGCAAGGTATGAACTGACTTCCAGAAGAGTCAATCATAGCCAAACCCCTCCCCCCCCCAAAAAAAAAAAAAGGAAGAAAGAAAGAAAGAAAGAAGAAAGCAAGCAAGAAAGGGGAAATTAGAAATTAACATAAATATCAGGGATGCGATGGGAGACTCCGGTTGTTATATGTAGTCCTGGCCTCGCATGCCCCAGATAGAATTAGAGAGAATTTAAGGGGCGGTGTTATATACTCTTTCCAGCCAACTGCTTCCCAACGGGTTTGCCCAAAATATCAAGAAGAGCGTGGATTATTGTCAAGGACATCACCCTAAGAGCACCGGGTTCCAACAGTCCAGTCAATTGGGTCTCTTTTGAGCATCCTTTCTCGACAGGAATACCCCTCATGCGCTCATCGAGCCAGATCATAGCCTGAGGTGCTCCCGTGATGGTGCCGCTCGCATGATCCGCAGTCAGATCCGTTCTGAACTCGACATCAGCTCCGCCGGCGCAATAGCGATCAAAGATAGCCACCGTTTCGTTCCAAGGGCTGATTACATCGTTCTTGGCCTTGTAGATGAGGACGGGGATCTTGGGAACGTGACTGCCCATCGAGTTATAGTCGAGGATCTCGGTGACATATTTGAGGTTAAGGATATCTGGATCCTTGAGGTACGCATACATATCGTCAAATGCGTACGTGAGGATGTTTGCACCGAAACATTGGTTATCGGCCTTCATGAATTTCTCCTTCTTCTCCTCCTTGATCTGCGTCCTAAGGATGCTCTCCACCACCGGATATTCGCGCGAAAGTCCAATAATACCTCCGGGAATCAGACCCGTGAAGATGGATTTGTTGATGGAGCCGATGACGGTCGAGATCTTGGGAACTGTACCGCCCAAAGCGACGCCGGCGATCTTCAACTCGGGGGCATATGCCGGCTGCAATTCGGCAGCAAATCCACTTGCCAAACTTCCTCCAGAGTAACCCCACATCGTCACGCGTGCCTTACAGTTGACCCCAGTGATCTTGGTCGAGGCCAAAGTCGCACGGATGCCGTCGAGAACCGCATATCCCGCACGAACGTTCGCCAAGAAGGCACCCTTGGGGCCTTCGAAATCGGGAACTGTGACAACCCATCCTTTTTCGAGGGCAGCGATCATAAGCAGCAGCTCAGCCTGTGTCACAATCGTTCCGAAGGGTCCTCCGGTCGCCGACTTCAGTTGCAAGGCATACGACGGGGCGCAGTTGATGGATGCTGCATCTTCAGCGACCTGGTAGGAGACGACTTTGTTGTAATCGGCCTTATGTGGAACAAGGACTGTTGTCACAGTAGCAGTGGGTTTGCCGAAGTTGTCCGATGACCTGTACAGGAGCTGGTAGGCGCCGGCCAAATTGATACGGAATGTGGTGAACGCAGCAATCGGATAAGGGACTTCACGAGACCGGAGAATTTCGCCGGGAGCGGCCTTCTCGTACCCCTCCGGGGGAATATAGAAGGGGTCCTTCTCTGGAAGGACGGGTCGGCCCCGGGCTTCGAGAGGTGGTGGAATGGCGTGTGCAGCCAGTGCACACAGATAAAGTACAAGGAGCCACGCCGCGCGGAAAGCCATCTTGGAGGAGGGTAATGATGGGACCGCGGGGACGCCGTTTAGAGAGATAGACGTTCAACGGCCAGTTACCAGACGCCATCTGGGGGGAGCAACCGACCTCTTATATGGGAAGAATCTGAGTATCTCCGCCCCTCCACCTGATGGACAATGCGCTGGGTCTGGCGGTTGGAAAGTCAATGCTCTTCGCATCTCTGGCCCCGCCGTCACATCGTGCCGATCCTCTCCGGAAGTTAGCCTTTTGTTTTTGTCTCCCCGTTGAAGAGCTTGTCTTTATTTTGGAAATGAAGAGCCGAGGCCAATGATTGGGCTCCCCTTGATATGCTTCCTTTTGACAGGTGAAGGTTGGGCCGGCCTATCAGCTTCCATGAAACGCTCTGCTACGATATCTCTTCCCAGGGTTCTCATGGAATTGAGAAATGGAAAACAACACTCGCGCCCTGCGGAGATCATCGTTTCCCGCCAAATCGCTCAAACGAATGTAAAAGAGATGGGAAAAGCATGTGAAGAGCCGAAGGGCCCTTATCTATTAGCATTTATTCAGAAGAGAGTGAAAAAAAAAAATAAGCATGGAGCGTATCCCAATCGGGCCATCGGCCATGTTCCCTGCCCCAGTATTCCTGGGGTCCGGGGTCTCCGCACTTCGGTCTTCGCACCGGTCAACCCTGAACATCACACATCAATTTTACCAGTAGAAACGCGTGAAAAATTTTTTCATGCAGCGAGTGAAGACTCGAAATTCGACTTGGAAGGTTTCTTTGGCTTCCACAAGGAGTCGCTTGGCAGAATGATCCGAACAAGAGCCAATAATTCACTTGCTCAGTGCTGTTCTTCGGAAGCCGAACTAAAGCCTTGATCCACTTGGCACCGGGTACGGAGTACTCAGAGACATATTTGAGCATGTACTTAATAACTCGCTCCTTTATTCCGTACTCCACGCGGCGTACACACCAAAGCATACGGAGCATGAAGTAAAGTGATTACTGGATATTTCGTTGGGACTGCGATTTCAAGTTGAGCTCGCAATGGACCGGAAAAATGTTCAGCCTGGACTTAGGACCTGACGAATGGCATGTTCATATTCGTCAAAATACGACCATAGAAAATTTAACAGCGGGGGTAGATGGGACAGGGTGTGTCGTAGTTCGTCGTCCATCCCTGGCCATCTATGGTCACACTATCAAGTGACCTTCTCCCCCTTGCAAAGGGTGAGCCTTGAGTGGATAACCGTGTTGAGTGCCGAGTACCTCTTCCATGTCAACATCCTCTTCGCGCTTTTAAACACCACCAATTACGAGAGTGTTTGGTCAACAGCTGATGGCAAAGAAGCCATGTACTCCATACCTGTAGATGGAATTCAGCTGAAAGCTCGAATACAAAAGCAGCCTCGCAGCACTATTGTCCGACTTCGATATTGATGAAAGGACCAGTTCTTTCGTCGATCGAGATCCCTTCGTTCGGGCAAAGTCGAGCTCGATTTCCCAGATCGACATAAGACACGGAGAATTGACTTTCATTTTTGGTACTCTGCTTGAAACGCTTTGGCCTTTTCGGTGTTCTCAAGGATGCCCTCGATGCTAATTTCTGGGAGCTTGTTCAGCCACCGGTCTCACTCTCGAGCAAGCTCTTGTCCTTTTCAGATCGACCCCCGAGCCAGGAAATCTATTCAAACAAGGATGAACCTTCCAGTCGGTCTTTCAACGTTTTCTTCTTTTCCGTCGGGGAAAGGATGTGATATACACTGCACATGCTAGGCGCAGCCAGCCAGACGTACTAGTGCGGGGGAAGTTGAGATGACGGAGTCAACTTTTGAAGAACAGCATATGGACTTTCACGGAGCTGGGCTATCACTGTTCATGACCTCGGCTCTATGAGCTCCTTGTTTTGAGAGTCATGATCCCGTTATGTCGTCAACTGTTTCTCTTGGATCATTAGGATATACTCCGTGATTCTACGTTGAATAGTGGCTCCCAAATGCCCAATGGAAATGGCCGTTACGCATTTTAATATTGCGCGACTTCGCATCTCCACCTGCAGCTGATGGGCGAGGTCTGCAGGTATGCATTAAAGAGCACACTTGCGACATACATACGAACGGGCGTTCAACACTCAAATGCTGATGGCCAAGGCTTCCGGCAACTTGGGCCATTGTAGCTTGGATGTTCTCCATTTGGTTTGCCTCGAGCCGGGGACGGAATTCACATCCGATACAAGGAGAGCGGAAGGTAGGCGGAAGGGCAATTCAATGCGATCCACCACGAAACCCCTTTTTCTTTTCTGTTGGGACGACACATTCCAGGGTTGCTAAAACGCTCAGTCGGACTAATGAGAGGATTTGTTTCAAAGTGAGAAAGTAATGGATCTATTCTGTATTACGGAGTATATGGCGGATAGCCTGCTGCAACCTTGGAGAAGGGAATGGCCGTCCAAGCCTAACTCGATATCCTGCGCCAGCAGATGTAGCGCAAACGTCTGAAAAAACTGATCTATCAACATCTGGCCTTTCAAAGTGTGAATATTATTATAGTATGCAGCTATAGTTGGATAGCACAACTTCTTGAGTATTCACAGGCTTCGCAACTCATCTCCCTTTAATCTTTGCATTTCGATCATTTTTGAGACAATATTGCTCCATGAAGATATTGATCACCCGGTTCTTCGCCATTTTGTTTCTTCCGTCTCTGCACCACTTCCGTTTTGGCCTCCCTCGTCGTCCTCTCGGGGCCGGGTCGAGCCTGCGCCCGGTCCCAGAGGCCCCTGGTCATCACCAATCCAGTTACCCTCCTCGTCAAAGTACTCGTGCATATTTTCCGCCGTAATCCATCCTCCACTTCCAGGCATCGCAGGAGGAAGCCCGCCTGCACTGTTTCCAGGCATGATCAGACCATTCTGGAACAACACGCTGTTCCCAAGCTGCTGTTCATCTTCAACCTCTTCCTCGCCGGCGGCCGGGTCTGGGTGGAGGTTGGAGCAGGTAGATAAAGCAGCGAAGAGAAGTTCCGTGGGAGTCTGGGAAGGCTTGTCGTCTGTGAGGAGCGCTTCGTCTTCTCCCTCCCCTTCTGCCCGTGTGCTAGCCGTTTGCGGGACAATGGTCAAGGAGACTGGCTCTTCCTCTACGTCCTCCTCCATGTCCTCAGCATCCCCTCCCGTTGAGAGCTGCATGTATAGTCCTTGTACATCCGCTGTTTCCTGTGAGTTAGGTAGCTTGAGGCGCTGAATGGCATGGAGCGAGATCGTAGGGTACGGAATGGCGACGCCGGTCGTCGCAGCCGCATTGTAGAGGAGCAATTTCCTATGGACCCCCCGCCAAAAAAAAAATAAATGGAATGGTTAGCTATCAGATATATCATTGGAACCCCGGTGCTGAGAATGTCTCATACTCAGATGTAACCCAAACGTCGACACCATCAATCACAACTTCTTTCTCTTGATCTCCGGACGCTTCGATAGTAGGCGCGCCATTTGTCGCATCTGGACCGGCAGTTGAAGGTCTAAGACCGCTCAATGCTGGGGTGGAGATCAAATCTCCGTCCAGGATCACAACCTTACATCTCTCGCTCAGGTGGTGCAGGATCGGAGGCCCGGAGTAGAAGGACTCGGGCGTGTGGGATTGGTGCTCAGCGAGCGTGACGAAAGATGCGGGGTTCGGGGCGTCGTGAAGAACTTCCATTCTCGCGTTTAGAGCTTTGGTCGTGGTATACTTTTCTTTTGCGACTCGTGAGATGCTTCAAATGATCCTCTTCTTTTTCTTCTAGGCGGGGAAGAGGCGACTGGTCGTGAGCAAATAACAGTGGTTGGGTGCGACCAAGGCTGCATGACGTGAAGTCCCTTTGACTTTGTGCTGAGTATAACAAAACACATGCGACCAGCGGTCACTTATACTCAGAGGTCTACGCTGTGGAAATTCATATATTATTGAGAATTTTCTTAAATATATATAATCCTGTAACAGATACATGTGCGACTTGAGATATGCCCATCTCCCCGAATCCTCGACCACGCCAAACTGACCAGACCTCAAGTCTATTATTGCTACTAATAATAAATATTGATATGGCGGGCTGGAGGATCTAAAATGCTTCTAGAGCGTGTCTTACTGATTTGAGAGGAATGTCGTATGCGTTCCCCTTCGGCGATATCTCCCATGGCCCGCTTAAAAACTCACCCCGCAAGGATGGGGACCTTGAGTGAAATCAATCCCACTTTGTACTGGGGAGGGTGGACGACCGTAGCGCAATAATTTGCTACTAGGCGTGCTGAGAGTACCTGTTCCGAAACCGAGTCTTCCCGTGAAGCTCATACGGAGGATGTAAAGGTGACCTTGTGGCATGTTGTAAAGCACATCCGATGGATTTCACCTTAGTGCAAGCCCCCCAAATGCACGATCAAGCTCCTCTCCCTCGTTCTTTGGGATCATCGGAGATGTAGTCACCTTCCTGCTTTGTTCCGCCAACTGTCCTTCTAAAATGCTTGCCTCACTCTGAGCGCCAGCCTTGGATGATGAGTGGATCGGCTGCAGAAGCTTCTCCTCTCGATCTAGCCACCCAGGAGCAACACGTCGCTTTTCCGCGAGCTCGCGAGCCTGGTTTGATTCTTCCCATTTTCGGATTGTAGCCTCTGTCTCTGCCCGTAGTTTGTTTATATGATCCTCAAGCTGTTGACATGAAGCGATAATCTCATCTGGATGAGCGGCGTGGCCACCGGAAGAAACCACATAGCGGGCCTTTCCCGAGCTGGCTCCATCAGCTAGAACAGAAGGTGGGAGAGTAGAAGGGACGGATTTATAGGTGTATGGAAGGGTCATGGCCGTCGGCAAAGAGACGAACGGGGAAACTGTTAAGGGTATCTGGGCTAACAGCGGATGGGGTTCTTTTTGGCGAAAGGTCAGCTAGTTGCCCGTCTTGTCGCGAAGCCGGCTTGGCTGGGGTGAACTCACTGGACAAGTCGTACATGTTGTTCTGGAAGTTCCGGTTGAGACGGGGCTCAGCCAGGAGAAAAAGTTGCGTCTTGTACGGAGTGGACGTGAACCAGAGCAGCTCAAGCGGTAATGACCTTGGCCAGGGTGGTGTTGAGTTGATGTCGCTGGAGTCGGTGGTGGCGTGGAAAGTCGCGATCAGATGCTTGGCCGAGGCGGCCGTTGGCTTTTGTGGTTCTCAAAAGTCCAAACAATACTCAGTGCCGCCCTAAGCGGCACTTAAACAACATCCAAACAACCATCAAAATTGATAAAGATCTGCGCAGTTCAGCCCACCTGTTGTCGATTCACCAGCGTCGCCAAATCCCTCGACTGACCTGCAGAGGCTACGGACGCCACTCTCCTTGCCCTGTTGCTGCCTCACCGATAGTTAAACCTTCGACCACACCCAAACGTGTGGAGAGACCTACCATCCCACTCCCCCTGACCGCGATCACGGACTCGCCGAACCTTCATGTCGCAACGGTTCGCGACGATTCTGAGCCTCGTCGAATCCAAGTTCCTACTGGCCTGACGATATCTGTTACCCTTTGGAGTCTTCCGCGATAATTTCTCTTCACCGGCCATCCTGACCAACCAGGCAAACCTGGGTGAAAAAGGAATAATTGTGAAACAAGCCTGGTACCCCTCCATTGTGAAAGCTATATTCTTTTTTTTCCTCTTCTTTTGCAAAACTGCGCGCTTGCACATCTCACCAACTCATTTTTTTTTCTTGCTCCTTGACCTTCTCCCAGCGCGCGTCGCTGTGTTGAAACCTGAGCCGCCATGGATGGGTCCAAAATTGTCCGGGCTGTCACCGAGAAGAAGCCCGTCCCTGAGATTGACTTCACACTCCATACTATGGAAGACGGGACCCAGGTTTCTACCCTGGAGAGAGTCTGCAAAGGTATGTTTTTTCCTGCACTTTCAAGAACGCCTTGCTTCTTAACTCACAAACCACACAGAGGTGCAAGCTCCTGCATTTCACACTCCAACAAACGAACAGTTCTGGTCACCTGTGGATCCCTCCAAGCCTAATCTCGCATTTCTTAAGCAACATTTCTATCGCGAAGGACGACTCACCGAAGACCAAGCGCTATGGATCATACAAGCAGGAACAGAATTGCTGCGTGCAGAGCCAAATCTCCTGGAGATGGATGCTCCCATCACCGTGTGTGGCGACGTGCATGGCCAATATTATGACTTGATGAAATTGTTTGAAGTTGGAGGAGACCCAGCAGAGACACGATATCTGTTCCTGGGAGACTACGTTGACAGAGGTTACTTCAGCATTGAGGTATGCCGAGATCGTATTGTCTACCATGTGTTTTCACTGATATCGTGATGGTAGTGCGTATTATATCTATGGGCTCTAAAGATCTGGTACCCTAATACACTCTGGTTGCTGCGCGGGAATCATGAATGCCGCCATCTCACTGACTATTTCACATTCAAATTGGAATGCAAACATAAATACTCAGAGAAAGTGTATGATGCATGCATGGAGTCATTTTGTGCACTCCCCTTGGCTGCCATTATGAATAAACAGTTCCTTTGCATTCACGGTGGTCTAAGCCCTGAACTACATACGTTGGAGGATATAAAATCTGTAGGTTTAGTCCCTCCACTGTTCTCCAATCACTTGATAATTAATTGGTATGAAGATTGATCGCTTCAGAGAACCACCTACTCATGGATTAATGTGCGACATTCTCTGGGCTGACCCTCTTGAAGATTTTGGAACGGAAAAGACGGGGGAATATTTCGTCCACAACAATGTCCGAGGATGTTCCTTCTTTTTCTCTTATCCAGCGGCCTGTGCATTTCTTGAGAAAAACAACTTGTTATCGATAATCCGCGCCCACGAGGCCCAAGATGCCGGGTATAGAATGTATCGGAAGACTCGCACAACTGGCTTTCCCAGTGTCATGACTATCTTCAGCGCTCCTAATTACCTCGACGTTTATAACAACAAAGCCGCGGTTCTTAAGTATGAAAACAATGTAATGAACATCCGACAGTTCAACTGCACGCCTCACCCGTACTGGCTCCCGAATTTCATGGACGTTTTCACCTGGTCACTGCCATTTGTTGGCGAAAAGATTACTGACATGCTAATTGCCATTCTAAACACATGCTCAAAGGAAGAGCTCGAGGAGGAACCTTCGGCATTTTCTTCTGCTCCAGCATCGCCACCTCTTCCAATGGATACTGACAGTGCAGAGTTCAAGAGACGCGCAATCAAGAACAAGATCCTTGCTATTGGGCGTCTCTCTCGCGTTTTCCAGGTTTTGCGTGAAGAATCCGAACGTGTTACGGAATTAAAGACTGCATCTGGGGGTCGTCTGCCTGCAGGGACGCTCATGCTTGGCGCAGAAGGCATCAAACAAGCAATTCATAATTTTGAAGATGCCCGTAAGGTCGACCTGCAAAACGAGCGCCTGCCGCCCTCACAGGAAGAAGTGATGAGGAAGGCGGAAGAAGATCGAAGACAGGCCCTAGAGCGCGCGGCTCAGGAAGCAGAGAATGACGCTGGGCTCGCTACTGTGGCCCGGAGAATCAGCATGTGAGTCGCATTGTGGTATCTGCGCTGTTCTGGCTTAGACTAATCGATCTCAGGTCCTCTGGCTCTGGCAGACCTCGCCGCAAGGAGGCATAAGGGCGTCGTTGCAGACAGTCCAGAAAGTTGTAGACTGCGCCTAAACTTCTTGCCGTCACCTCTCCTCCTCTTGTCCTTTTGCTAAGACTCTCTGGCGCCCCTTCTCGCCAGTTAATCTATCCCAAATAAAATAAAATGAAATTGTATGGAGATGATTCACGAAGAAAGAACTTAATGATTATCCTGGATGAAACCCTTCAGCACGTCTGCTTCCCGTTTTCGGGTCGTTTCGTGCATGAGTTGGATCCGCCGCGGGTCTCAATGATACCGATGATTTGTTTCGTGTACATCCTGAAGATTTGAAATAGTTATTGCCAGCGAAAATACCAATGGCCTTGTTAATCTTCCTCGTAGTTCCTCCTGTGTAACATTTCCGGATTATTTCTCCCAACGCGCCGTCATACCAGCCGGATGCCAAGCCCTGAGCTTCCTCGTCCGCCAAAAGTTGACCGTCAACGAAACAAACTCCCAACCACAAGGTGCTCGACTCTTCGCAGGTCCAATGCCCTCAAAACTCCGGGCTAGCCTCTTAAAAGGGCCTCTAGACCTAGCAGATTTCCTCCTCTCCTGTCCGGCGTGCTCCCCAGCCCGCCAATCCCTCCGTTCTACCGTGAATTCCTCTCCGCTTCGTCGCAAATTCCCTAGATTCCACCGACGCCTTACGTCAACAGTCTCCGCTAGTGTCGCATCCCATGAGAATCAGTTTGTTCCGGCCCGCTATAAGGAATTATATGAAGCTTTGGGCCGGGTTGGCGAAGTTGCAGCAGAGCATGTTGATCTAGCACGATTGCAGCTGGCGTTGAGGGGCTTGGAGAGCGAGAGGCCTGTTGTGAGAATTGCCGGTAGGTCACGCACATATTAGGCTCAGGTTGGACATAATCAGGCCGAATTGGAGCTGACTTGTGGGTTTTGATGTGGTGGATAGTGCTTGGAGTGGATGATACTGCGACAGCAGTCAGACTTGTGCGATTGATCCTTGCCGACCCGTTGAGTTCCAAGGCGGACTGGGAGAAGCATCTCGAAGAATACCATCTACGTGACTCGCAGGGGCTGTTGATAAGGTGTGTGCGCTTTCTAGGCTCGGTTGTCTTTGATCGTGGGCTGATTGAATAATGCAGATATGGCGAACCTTCAGAAACTCCGGTGACCGATAGCTCATTGCCAACGATTTCCATACCATCGATAACACTGCGGAATGCGAGCATTGAAATTTTAATTTCGTCAATAAGTACTAGAACATCACATTTGCTTCCTGATGCTATATCCAATGCCGTTGAGACGCCTACGATATCCATCGGCTCATCCGACGGTGCACACCATACTACCGTTCGATATCCCGTGCACAAGACTATAGTTTGTGGAAATGGAATCGACGATCTGCTGGCATACACAAAAATAGCAAAAAATATAAATGGAAACGCCGATAAACCCATCGTCCACGCGACATTCAACCTCAACGCGAAACCGGCACCGAAAACAGGAAGCCAGTCATTTTCCTTTGTCGATTTAGAACAAGCAGAATTGGCACTAGCTAGATTCAGGGAGTCAGCTCAGCATGCGACTGAATATGAGCGTGGGTGGACGAGGAGCGGTATTCAACCCCTCATTGAGTGGATGGTTGAACAATACCAAGACTCCGCCCTACGTCCAGAAGTCCGTGGACTCGCCCAGTCAGTCCTAGATTCTACAGAGAGAAATCTCGCTAGGGACGAAAATGCCACTCTACAAAAGCGAGAGGCGGAGTCGGTCTCAGAAAACGTGCGAGCAGCTTTGGAGACAGAAGTCTCGTCGTGGGCGGAGAGTGCACATACGGAACTCCGACAGTCTCTTAATAATGCGTTTTCCCACCATAAATGGCGTAATCTAGTGTGGTGGAAGCTGTTTTGGCGAGTTGATGATGTTGGAATGATGAGTGCAAGTATTCTGGATAAGCAATGGCTCCCGCAGGCGGAACGGAAAGCGATATGGCTCGGCGGGAAATTCCAGCAGGCTGGCTTACTGAACCAAAACGAATCCTTTCCGACTCAGACGACCGATGGTGCAACCTCAAATTTGAAGGAAAGCGAGGCGTCCAAGGCCCTCTCGACCGGGAAATGGCCCGCCACTATTTCACAAACCAGAGATCACCTCCTCAACACAAAGGTGCCATCGCTTCATGCGCTAGCACAGACTCTGGTGCTTAGCAGTGTGTCAACGACGACATTAACGTCTGCTTTGTCGGTATTAACCCACGTGGCAACTTCCGCTACGACTTTGGAGGAGGCCGGTACAATTGCCGCGGTTGGTATAATTTATTCCCTACGACGACAGCAAAAGCGATGGGATGCAGCCCGCAGATACTGGGAGAGTGAAGTGCGAGAGGAAGGGCGGAAGGCTCTGAAGGATAGCGAGGATGCCATACGGACGTTGTTAAGAGATGGCGGCCGGGCCACAGAGCCTGTCATCGACACTGAGGCCAGAAAGGGTATCGATAGAGCCAAAGTGGCCTTAGAGAGTGTAAAATAGACTCTTATGTATTCTACGTTGAAATGTATTACCCAGTTTCTGGAGTCAGAACTTTCATCCATTCATTCGTTAATTCGCTCCAGCCGTCGTCAATATTCGGCTGGAAGGGTATTCAAGTGAGCTCAACGCTGCCCTCAGGGACGCCACTTCTACTCCGCAGCCTTCGAGAGAGGAACTGCATCACAGGCAGCATTTCCTCTCTATTTCCCGGCATTCCGTCTCCTCTCCGCTGCCACCGTACCAGTTCCACGAAGTCAAACTCCCCTTTCGTCCGACCCGTCCCTCCGTCTGTCACCGCGCTCTCTGGGCCCCTTCCGCCGACTAGCAGCACAGGAGTCCTTGACTTGCCTCTTCTGCCATCCTCCTTTACAGCGGAAAGAGGAACAACGCCTCCCAGAGCCACAACGCCTCCAAGTTCTCTATATTCCGCTTTCTCCAGGCGATTCAACTCCATGGCCGCGGCAAGCCCCACCGCGGCACCCTGTGCGTATCCAAGGATCAGAATCTCCCTCGCCTTGTACCCCAATTTTCCAATCAACACGTTGACTATAAGCTCATGCACGATTAGGCGATTGGCACGTGTGAAGCCCGGATCCGGATCGATTGTGTCACCTTCAAATACGAGATCGTCGCCCCAGTGGTAGCCCGTGAGCAGGAACGGAAGCTGGGTAGGCGCTTGGAGAGTTATACAGGTGGTTTCCGGGAGATGTAAGGCTGAGGCAAAGGAGTTGTATGGGTTGATAGTGTCGCCGAGACCGTGAAGGATGAGAAGGATGTTTGTGCTGCTGCTCGCTTGGGAAGCGGGAGGAATGATGGATAGGGTTAAGGAGGACGGGAAATCAGAGGACTGGGGTACTCGAGGCATGGCTGCGGATGAGCTGCTTCGTTGTTCTTCTCCTTTGTCGCTTCTTTCCGTGTGTCTCTTCCCGAAAGCTAGGTAAATCTTTTCGACGAATCGATCTAGATCAGATTGTGAGACTTCGCGACGAGGCTATCGGGAGTTAACAGGACAAATTCAGCATCCGTTCCCGCTTTGGGCACCGCCGTGGTTTAGTCAATGCATTTTTTTCTCCCCCCCTTCGGATTTCCAACCGATAGGCACGGAAGCAGGATTTTAACACGCGTGACGCATTGCCGCCCGTGGTTTTTCTCAAACCTCTCACGCGGCAGCAGTTAGGCTATCTACAAGCTTGGGCCACTCGGCTTGGCATGCAGACCAAGTTTAAGGAGCAGTTTACCTGGGGCTTTGAACTCCCCCAGCAATGGACGGAGCTCGGAGCATAATCTGTTCTCTTGCTCTGCAGGACCAATAATGTTCATATGATATCAACAGTATCAAATACCGGCGCTGTGTTCAGATATCCCAGCGCACCCCGTAACTACGACCTCCTGTCCCACTCCGTCATTTTGAAACTTTTGTGCCTAGTTACATACGGCAACCTGTCGAAGAAACAGAGCCCAAAGCATCTCTCAATCAATACAGTAGCGCATCTGGGGCTCTGGAGGGTTGAGTTCTAAACATCTAGGCCCAAGATCGAGAGCCGCGCATCATTAAAAAAAGGAAAAAAAGACTTTATCGCGGAACAAAATCAACAAGTGTACGGGATACACTGGGAGATGATTGATTGATCGGGCCTGCCTTTGAACCAGACGGACCAATCAGTGTTCCTTTTCTGTACCACAGGTCTAAGCTCGGCACGCGAGTGATATTACCGCTCTACGGAGTAGTTGGCTACCAAAAAAATGGGGTGTTTCGGACAAGCTTTTGGGGGTGTTACCGTGTTTCTGCAGGTTGCTCTAGTTAACTGGTTGGGCTAGGGGGACCAACCCGCGAACCTGAGCCACCAACACATTTTTTGTTAGTTGTCCTATGTCACACGGCCTCCATCGCTGGTGACCTGGACGAGGCTGCAACCGTTGAACCGCGATGCTCACTGCTGCTGAACGAGGGCGGGATGCACCGCCGGCCACCGTTCCCGACTGCGCGTCGGCTCGGCGGTCTGGGACTCTCGGGAACGGTCGCTGAGTCAGTCGTCGGAAAGCCTCCAACTTGGAGCTACATACCCACCACGTGGGGGCAAACCGGTTTGCAAATGCGTGCCGGAAAAAAAAAGCAATTCTCGGTGGCTTGCTGGTCCGGTGTCAAATTTCGCTAAGGCTACCACTGGTATTCGGTGGAAGACGAGGGGATGGCTGCGGAGTCCTTGCTGCCGTGGAGTTGATTACGCGCCAAAGGATCGTTAAATTTTTCAATTGATCTTAAAATGCCCAGCGTAGTTCCTCATCAATTGCTGCGAATTCCACACCTGACTGACCCTTCCACTTCTCTTTCATGCCGACTCGAGTGTGCAACCGAATAAGTGGTCTGTCGATCATGCAGCCAATGCCGAATAAAGATGAAGTTTGCAAAGTATGTTTGGCCCGTGTCAACCACGATCAAAGCACAATTGGGCTGATCTTCTTGATAATAGGGAGCTGGAACAAGAACTGGTCCCAGAATGGCGGGCCAAATACCTGGACTATAAGGTACGCATGGGGAGAAATTCTTCGATGATACTTCTGGGGGCCTAATTTCGAGTTCTCTGTCGTAGCTAGGTAAGAAAAAGATCAAAGCCATTGCCCGTGCGCTCCGGGCTCTCGAACAGGCGCCCCGGACTCCAGGTCGTCGTGGTTTTATACTCTCTGGAAATGATTCTCATACGCCTCGCATCGGGCGCCCTGGTCTCCTTCAGCTTGTCTCGTATCGTGGAACGCAGTCGAAAGGTCCCTCCGATAACTGTAGAAGTAATGAGGAGGGCGACGCGCAACAGATTACCAGTTATTTCCAGCCTCATGTTGCGGTCCTACCCGAAACACGGCCGCTGAAGAGCCCTACTTCGCGGTTTGCAGACCACACTGCCGGTTATGGCAGCATTGTGACTCCAAAATCCAATGCTACTCGGTCAACTGGCCTTCCATCTCTGGAGCTTCCGGACCCCGCCCTAGATCCCAATGAGACAAGTTTTCCTTCCTGTAGTCAAATGTTCAGCGGAGGTTCCCTGAGCTCTGGTGAAAACCCCACTGCAGGGCGGGGCCGGGGTCAAAACGGCAATATTCCTCCCAGCATACTTCCGGGGCCGAGAAATGTGTTCAGACCCAGGAGCGGTTCTCTTCCTGTTCGACCTCGCGCCCGGAAAGGTTCATTCTTGCAGCGTATATTTACGTCGATGGACCATGAATCTCCGGCTGCGGATCCACCCGCAGAAGCGTTCTTTGAGCTGAGGAATAGGGAAAACGAGTTTTTCTATTTTCTGGACTCGGAGCTCGCTAAAATAGAGTCTTTCTATAGAGTGAAAGAGGAAGAGGCCACGGATAGACTTGGAATGCTTAAGCAACAGCTTCATGTGATGCGTGACATGAGACTCGAGGAGCTAAGGACCAAGGCCAGGTCACGACACCAGCGAAAGTCCACCGGCACCGCAAATAATGACAACAATGACTCGAGTGCCGCGGCGAGATGGAAGAAACCGCTGAGCAGATCATTAACTACCTCGTCTAAATTTGCCAAAATCTCAAAGGAAATGGATGAGTTACCTACACCTGGATCCACTCTACACAGATCTCATGGGCCCGAGGGCTATAGGGACTTTGTTCGCAGTCAGGAGCGCGATGTCCCATATAGATCAGCCAAAGGAAAGCTCAAAGTGGCTTTGCTCGAGTTCTACCGGGGACTGGAATTATTGAAAGCATATGCATACTTAAATCGAAAAGCCTTTAGGAAAATGAACAAGAAATATGACAAGGTAACTAATGCGCGGCCAACTGGGAGATATATGTCCGAAAAGGTCAATAAGGCTTGGTTTGTCCAAAGCGATCTTGTCGAGAACCACCTCGTAGCAGTCGAGGACTTGTATACTCGATATTTTGAGCGTGGCAACCGGAAGGTTGCTGTCACCAAACTTCGTGGCAAGACCAGAAGGTCACAGGATTACTCTCCCAACTCCTTCAGAAACGGACTCTTGTTCTCTGCCGGGCTAGTATTCGGCATCCAAGGGTTGGTCCATGCTGTTGGACACCTCTTTAATAATGACGACGACGATGATGATTTTGATGACATACGTGTTCGAACAAGCTATCTACTTCAGGTATTCCCTTCCCGCAACCCCGGTTGGCAACGTTCCTATGCTAACTGGTGTTGTAGATCTACGGTGGATATACTCTGATCTTACTTCATTTTATATTCTTTTGTCTAAATTGCAGAATCTGGACGCTTTCAAAGATCAACTATGTTTTCGTGTTTGAATATGATACCCGACACGTTTTAGATTGGCGTCAGCTTGCGGAGGTAAGGGACTTCCTAACGGCTCAATCCGTGGAATACTATTTGCTGGCGGACCTACTAACGTCGGCAGATACCTTGCTTCCTTGTCTGTTTATTAGGCTTGGTCATTTGGTTAAATTTCGGCTGGGTTAATGAAATGTATATTTATTGGCCAATCGTCTTAATTGGATTGACCATCATCATCCTCTTCATACCGGCACCTATACTTTACCATCGCAGCCGGAGATGGTGGGCTTATTCTAATGTAAGCATGCATGCAGGTTCCCCGGTTCGTTCTGTGCAATCGAAACTAACGCTGTACTTACAGTGGCGCCTGATGCTAGCCGGCTTGTACCCCGTGGAATTTCGAGATTTCTTTCTCGGAGACATGTATTGTTCGCAAACATATGCTATGGGCGTAAGTAGATCCCCTTTTCGATTTAGCACATGCTCGAGCTAACGGTTCAAAGAATCTGGCATTATTCTTGTGTTTATATTCTGCCGGCTGGTCCGATCCTGCCCACTGCAACTCCTCTCATTCTCGGGCGATGGGATTCCTGACAACGGTTCCATCCATATGGCGTGCATTGCAGTGTCTTCGACGTTATCGAGATACCAGGAATTGGTTTCCGCACATCGTCAATCTTGGCAAATATTCGTTTTCTATTATGTACTACATGACCCTGAGCCTGTACCGGGTCAATAAAGTCGAAAGTCTTCGCGCCACTTTCATAGCATTTGCCCTTGTGAACGCCATATATTCCTCAATTTGGGACGTTGCCATGGACTGGAGCCTTGGAAATCCGTTTTCAAAAAATCCGCTTTTACGAGACTTCCTTGGGTTCCGAAAACGTTGGATATACTACGCAGCGATGGTCGTCGATCCAATTCTTCGATTCAACTGGATCTTCTACGCCATATTCACACATGATCTCCAGCATTCTGCAATCCTCAGCTTCATCGTCTCTTTGTCTGAGGTTTGTCGGAGAGGAATATGGTCTATTCTTCGCGTTGAAAACGAACACTGCACAAACGTTTGCCGATTTAGAGCATCTAGAGACGTCCCGTTACCCTATGATATACCTACGCAAGCGTCCGTTGAGCACATGCAACAACCGAATGCAGCCCAACAACGGGTTGACGGATCCCCCATTGCTCGTGTACCGTCCACCAGGCCAGCCACAGGCACCGACGTTGAGCGTCTGGGCGCTGATGGACTCACCGGTGTGCGGCGCCGCCGTGGATCGCACCGTTCCGAAATGCACGTGCCAAGTGGAACGCTCGCGCGCATGGGATCGATACTAGCGAATGCCCACGCGGAAGATTTTGAACGGAGAAAGAGGCCCGGTGTCGTTGGCCGCGCGCTCGATCACGATGCGGAGCAGGTTCCGGCAGATGAAACGGGCCGTGGTCCAGACGTGCATCGGAGGGATAGTAGTACGGATGAGGAGGAAGAAGAGGATGAGGAGAGTGTGAGTGTGGAGAATGACATCAACGCCCTAGATGATCCGTGTCGTACGAGCATGCGAAGCGGAAGTATGTTTGACGACGACGACGATGATGATAATGGAGGGTTGAGGAATTAAGGTTTGGATTCGATCCCCTCTCCTGGTTTTTTTTCGTTCCAAACCGTTTGGGTGTGGTTGTGGTTTCTCTTGACGCTGGCTGCGCGTTCTGCAAAGCCTTGAGACTTCAATAAATGCATTATTTGAAAGTCCTCCTGAAGCCTGGAGGCCATCGAATGTACATAGAGACGATATCTATAGAGATACACTGCTTGACGAATAATGTATGTAATTAATGTCCGTACCGATGCAGTTGATAACTGGAATAATTAGTAATTATACATCGGACATTGTGCTGCCTACATCTTCCCCCGGGGGGTTCCTGCCTTGCTCGGTGAAGGGTGGATGGATTCAGCCTCCCTAAAGAGGGGGTTTAACTGCCATCCAATGGGTGGTGCTTGCTAAACTCAGAGCTTCATGCACATCATACAACTACACTCGGCAGGTGCCCTGATCTCGGTTGTTCAGCAAGCCCCCTCCCCCCTTCCCCTCTCGTTTGCATGCGACTGATTATACCTTCTTGCTTGGGGTCTGGAGGTCTGGACTGAGATGTGGCTTGTTGCAACACCCGCTCAACCGGGTAAGAGAGCCGGATTTGGCTCGGTTGTTGCTTGAGCTCTACCTAGTCGATGCATATCCAAAGAAACTGGAATATTCCAATGAGGTCTGTCACTGGTTGCGTCTGATTTCAAACATCCCCTTCCATTTGGGCGACCCAACGATTTCCACCGAAGGGCGGGGGAGACATGGGAGCATGATCCACGCTGTCCATCTGGTCTATTCGTGCATGCTCTATGGATCCATCGTAACCAAAAACTACACAGCTACCTAGGTACCTCGACAAAAGATGGGAAGTCACTCTAGATCAACATAGGGTGTCACAGTCTGTGATGTATATAGGAGACAAAAAGCCCTTAGCTAAAAATAATTCATACCCGGCGAAAAGAAAGAAAACACGATAAGCATACTGCAGACTGAGGAGAAGGCAAAAAAAAAAAAAAAGAGAAACGCAGCCAAAGAAAACCCCACGCCCGACGTGATCCACCTATTCATCTCCAATTACACCAGGACTTGCAAGCCCGTTGATTTCGTCACATATAATTAGATGGTGAAGGCATCCTTGATCTCACTGTAGATAGCACCAAGCTGGCTGGCGGTATTTTGGCCAAGTTTCTCGATCTTCTCGGTCAACTGTGCCGCCTTGTTGCCAGGACGGGTGGCTTCATAGCCGCCTTGTTGGATGATTGCGGTGTAGTTGGACGAGCCGCCGCCGTTCCAGGCGAGAATCTAGATTGAAAAAAGTTAGAAAATCTGATCCACTCACAACGATGAGGCTTTGGAGGAAAACTTACATTGGGAGTGTCCGCTGGGATGTCAGTAAGAGCGTTCTTGGTGGCGATGGCGATCATGTCCTTCTTCAGCTTGGCAGGGCTGATGGGCGAGACAGCGAAGGCGGAATCCTGCTCCGGCTGAAGAGAGAGGAAGTATGCCAGAAGACCAGCAACATGGGGTGATGCCATGGAGGTACCAGAGATCGTGTTGACTGCATATTTGCTTCCAATCCAGGTAGAAAGGATGTTCAAGCCGGGAGCGAAGATGTCAGTGCACTTCCCATAGTTAGAGAAGTACGCACGCTCATCGGCAAGGGTGGACGCGCCAACAGTGACAGCCTTCTCGGCAGCAGCGGGAGAGTAGTTGCAAGCGTCGGCATTGTCATTTCCAGCGGCGACGGCGAAGTGAATACCCGCATCAACAGCAGCATTGACAGCCAAGTCAAGTGTGAAGGACTTGCCGCCTCCCAAACTCATGTTGGCAGCGCTGCCCTTGAACGCTTTGTTACCTTTCTTTCGGGCCTCAACCATCTTGCTAAGATGGGCACCTGCAGCCCATTCAACTCCCTTGACGACGTCAGACATGGTTCCAGATCCATTGGATCTCAGAACCTTGACTGCGTAAACGTTTGCTTTCTTGGCAACGCCATACTTCTTACCAGCAACTGTACCGGAGCAGTGAGTTCCGTGACCATTGCCGTCAACATCATCATCACCGGTGGGGATGGTTTTTCCCCAGTGAGCACGGCCTTCAAAATCCACGTGCTCGATGTTGGTACCGGTATCGATCACGTAGACATCGACGCCCTCGCCGCCATTTGCGGCGTACAGGTATTTGTTAAAGGTGCCCATGGTTAAGCTATCGCGGTGGGAAACTCGAGCCAAGCCCCATGGGGCGTTGTTCTCGGTCACAGGCTCATCCCAGGCATGGACTTCAGAGTCCTTCTCAATGTATTGGACCTAAAAAGGAGTATACCTGTCAGTACGATGGTAGATGGTGGGAGGACTGTGGCCAAGCTTACATCTGGGTGTCTTCGAACTTGCTCGATGACTTCCTCATCGAAGTGTCCGGAATAGCCCATTATCGACCCGGCAATGTCATAGGTGTGCTTGAGGCCATCGAAGGCGTCGTTCTTGAAGGGAAACTGGTTGCGTTTTCTGAGGGATCTCTTGGCCATGACAGTAGTATGAAGGTCCTGGACCCAAACTTGGTGTGCCGCGGCCGATGCTGGAGACACATTCTTCTTGAAAACAACAATGTATGAATCAGGAACCTCCTTTGAGTTGTGGGAAGAGAGGATCGGAGCAGCATCCCTGTGGATGGTGTCAACCAAAATGGGGGACGGAGCCGCCAGGAGCGGCAGCAACGAGAGGGAGAGAACGCCCTTCATCTTGCAGGGAGAAAGGAAGGTGAATCTAAAGGCAAAAGACCGTTCACAGGAAGAACATGCAATGGAAACGACGGAGAGATGGCGGTGGTCGATGGATGAAGATAAATCTGGGGAGGAGGAGGAGGAGGAGGTTGGAAGTCGGGTTGGAAGAGAGGTTGGAGGCAGCTCTGGGGTGACTGGGAGTCGGAAACACAGGGCGGTGGATGATGCAACGCGGGTTACTCAGCACTTGCATCAGGTGGCACCATTATGTCATCGTGTGGTGTGGCGGTGATTGGCTGGGGCAAGCTACCCGTCTCTCATGATTCGCAACGGCCATTCCCCATGCGGCTAGACACCCGTACCGCCACCTCCCCATTGGACGCCTCGTGGGCCAGGCTGTTGCCCCCAACACTTTACCAGTTAACTGTTTCTCCGCACGGCTTGGAGAACACTCGGGCGTCGCCTCCTCTCGGGGAGCATCATCCCCAATCTCACACGATCCAGATGTACACAAACCGATCTTTTCTTTTTTACAAAATATATACGGAGTATATATATATGTATATGTATAGTTAGTTATTTATTTGATTTTATTTTGATGTTTATTTTAAATTTTGTCTCAGTCTGCCCTGTGGTCGTTTGTCGTCGCTCATTAACCTTCTCTCGCATGCTGATCTCACCATCTCCCCATGTAGGCACCCATCTAACCGCAATTCCGATGATGGCAGTTGCACCTTGAACGTGAGCTACACGGGAAGACCCGAGCTTCAGGGATTCAGGGCATTTTGTTGGACATCTCCTGAGAGAGAAACCGGGGTCCGGGGGTGTCTTGGCTCCGCTCTCTGTGTATCGAGCCACAGGCTCAAGCTCGATCGAATCGGCTTCCATTGCCCAATACTTCCCAGGTACGGAGTGTAGCGTCATATCTTCTGAACTAGGCCACTGGGTTCCATCCTCAAGGTCCTCCGTCCGTATTTTGTGCAGAATACGGTCCAGAAAACGACTTAGAGTATATTCCGTGCCTTGGCGGGATCTATCCTTTCATTGAAGCGCTTGAAAAATTCGTCATTGACTATGTATGTACTCTGGACTCCGTGCGGAGTACGGAGTATAGTCCACGCAATTGGGTGCATGGGTGCGATGCATCATTTCTGTTGTGCATCCGCGGCTGCCTCCCGCCAAATGCTTCCTCATCGTGAGACAAATCCCTTAGCTATGTACGGAGTATGTAGAATAGGTATCCAGAAAGTTATATGCGGTAGCACCAGGTGGAATTTGGGGGGAAGGCCGATATTGCGAGCTTTCTGTCCAGCATCAAGGTTACTTGCAGCAATAATGAGAGACCAGAGATCCAATAACAGTGGTTGACTGCAACCCCAAGTCTTCCACTGTGGGAAGCTAGTCAAGCCAAAAGAATAAGAGATCTGCGGTCTGTCCTTTCAGAGGTTTCAACGTGAAATCAGCAGAAACCGCTCGAGTGTTTTGCTGTGTGTACTCCCTACGGAGTGTATCTATCTGCCTTTGGAAGTGGGTTTTGGCCCACTGAGCGTGAGTTAAGTTAAAAGTCGTAAAAGCAGGACATAACTGGTTAATCAAGTCGCAACACGCAGTCCAGTCTAGCCTGTCCTCCCAAGGGGGTGATTATGTATCAGGAACAGAATCATCCCTGTTCTGCTGGTGTGACTTCATTGCCGGTTCTCGCTGGGGCGGTCCAGGAGCGGGCGAAATAAACATTTGGTGCACGTGAGCTGACCGGTAAGCCCGCCTTGCCAGCTACTCCGTACGGAGTACGCGTGCGAGAAAGAGACGCAGGCCGGGTCGCCCACTCTAAACGCACCCCTTGTTCAGTCAGCAGATTTAAGATTTTGCATTCAAGCAGCTTATTTGCATCTTATTACCCGGTGATATTCAGTGAATCCTCTTTCCGATGATAGGAGTGGATTGTTGCGTTCCGAGAGCTTCACAATCATAATAGCCTTCCTCGGGGCTCCTCACGCCTGAGGCAGAATTCCCTCTTCGTGGGGATGATCGCAACACGTCTGATGGTGATCTCTCGCGGTGGATAACCAGTACTGGGACTGCAAACCCCTCGTAGAGACAATGAGCAGCGTGCTCTTACGTCCCAGGCGGCAATCGTCACCGGCAGCGACCGAACGCTTGACCTCGAAGCTACGCCCCGCAATCGATGCGTTGGCTGGTTCTATACGCGACTCCTTGTGCCTTGATGATGCATTGGCAGCTACAGAAAGCATTATTTGCCTCCGGCACGCGTTCCTCGACGATGCTCAACCCCTCGAAGCGAGAGACGCGTTCCGCCACCTCCGAGGGTTCCAAGTGCTCCTCGACTTACTTGAGCGTTTGGCCCACTTATACGAACCCAAAGCTTTCGATCCACAGCAGCGTAGGGCCGTCCTGGCTCTAGTGAAGGAGGTAATAGGTGTTCTTGGGGAAACCTTGAAAGACCACCATGGTAATAAACGTTACTTTGCACGAAGAGTTCATGGAAGTGGAGAGCCTTCCTTCGAGCAAATATTGTCAAGCCTTTCTGGCAAGTTGGAGGAGAATACCGACGGAGACAAGGATCTCGAAGTTGAACAATTCTATGGCGGGCTCCTTGCTGCTGGGCTGGGCCAACAGACTGTTTCGGGCCTATTCACGTCATTGAGAAAGAAGTTTGACAATGACATAGAGGTCCTGCCCGCTGCGATCAAAGAGGCCATAGAGGATGCCATAGGATCCTCGGAGGTCGTGGAGAACCCGGAGTTTTTCGGGCCTCTTCTTCAACTTTGGCTCGAACAGTCCTTGGAGCTTTCTAAATACCCAATCCAACGCTTGGTTGTCCCAGCCTGTCTTGGGCGTCTTGCCGCGCAGTCTTCTCGGAATCGCCTTGCTCTTCATTCTACTGGAATGCTAACTTCCCTCTCAGGTCTCATTACCAACTCAAACCGTAACAGGGAAGAATTAGCGCTGTATTACGAGTTGGCTGTCGTCCTGAGCTCAGAAGGCTTCGACAATCTTGACGATGCGGCGGAGCTTTATCGCAAGGCCCACGGTTCCGTGGAGGCCTCTAGGTTCCTTCTGGCAACTATTAAATCGTCAAAAGAACCTCCTTTGGTTCAATTTGACATGTCATCCCACGGTTACTCATCAATTGAATTGCCTACTCTTGGGAGGCCGTTCCCACCTATCGCATCGGCTGGCTACACACTTACTGTTTGGGCTCGATTTGATACTTTCGATCCTAAAGTCCACACCACTATCTTCGGAGCCTTTGATGCAACCCAGACATGCTTTTTGCTTGCATACCTGGAGAAGGACACCCGTTACTTGATTCTTCAAACTTCCATCACCGGTAGTCGCCCAAGTGTCCGTTTTAAATCCACGGTGTTCTCCCCTGGTGTCTGGTATCATATCTGCATTGTGCACAAAAGACCTAGGCCAATATCATCTTCGCGAGCATTACTGTTCATAAACGGGGAGCTCGTAGAGCAGCTGAAAGCAGACTATCCTCAGGTGCCTGCGAGTCGTTCAGGCCAGAAACAAGCTCGTATCCAAGCTTTCTTAGGCACCCCACAGGACCTAGCCCTAAGGGTAGGGAAAGGCCTGTCGGCATCCAGCTGGTCTTTAGCTTCAGCCGTATTGTTCGAGGAGGCGTTTACGGACGATATTATTTCTGTCCTATGCCAACTAGGCCCTAGGTATTACGGAAACTTCCAAGATTGCTTGGGCTCGTTTCAGACATATCGAGCTTCCGCAACATTGAATTTGCGCAATGAGAACTTTCATCCTGGAAAGGAGGAACACTCCGATATCGTGGCTGTAATACGCCAGAAGGCTAGTATTTTGATACCAGAGAATTCCATTTTACTGAACATTTCTCCCACCGCTGTTCTTGATGGCGACGCCAGCAATATTGATGAGTCGCAGCTGGTGAAATCATTATCGAGGAACCCAGCTAGACACCTTAACCATTTCCTGAAAGCCGGAGGGAACTCTGTTGCCATCAATAGAGCCGTTCCCGCCATAAATAGAGCGTTAACTGAGCCCCAGGGCGTTGCCATTCTCACCGGGAATCCTGTGCTGTCCCTCCCACAGTCACTGGACGATGCTGCCTGGCGCATTGGCGGCTGCGCCGCCGTCCACCTTAATATGATCGAGGCTGCCACTACTCCTGAGCATCTCCGGTTAGCCGTAGAGATTTTGTTAGAGTCAGTGCAGGATAGCTGGCGGAATAGCGAAGCCATGGAAAAAGAAAACGGTTATGGAATTCTTGGTATACTGTTGAGAGAAAAACTTGGAATTACAGCTGCCATCCCGAATGCGCCAATAAAGGTTGCATCCGTCTGTTCAAATTTGCAAGAAAGAAATGAGCTTGCGATGGAGCTGTTGATTCTGATTCTAAAATTTGTGGGATACGATTTCAACAATCCGAAGAAATCTATTATTATTAACCCGTTGGCATATCGAGTGCTGCTGGTTGATTTAGACATATGGCGCCTTGGGGATCTCCCCCTATTGGAGGTTTACTACTCTCAGTTTCGTACTTTTTGCATTGAAAGTCATTACCATCGCTTCAACGCTAAGAGGCTATCGCGGATGCGTAAGAAATACCCAAACTCTGCTACACCTCCCTGGGGGAGTACTAACCATCTGTAGGTGTAATCAAAAGATTACTGGATTCTTTGAAAGATGGAATTTTCACAGCCGATAATATAAAGCTGTTTATACCTGCATTCAGCTGCCTGACGACCTGTTGCATGATGGCCGAGATACTGCGCTCAATCGCGCTCTTCATCACATATTCTGTCCATAACCCGAAACCGCCGAGCAGGTTGCAGAACAAGAAGAGCACGGCAAGCATTACCAGACAATTCCGACGAGCCACTGCCCCTCAATTCCAGGGAAGAATGGCTGTTTATATATCTAAAGAACAGATAGGTGTGGAGCTCCTGCGGACATTCGCGGACATTTTCTGTGCTTCTGAAAATACCGCCAATATCCAAAAGTTTGCCAGGACGGTAACGAACAAGGTATGTACTTTTGTCATTCATACTCAACAAGTCCTAGGGGGATATCTAATTGAGATCCAGTGGCTTCTATATCTGATTTCCGAGGACAATGCAGACGTGGTCATTCAGGCAACAAGAATCCTTGCGAGGCTACTCACTGTCCATGGGTCGAGCTATACGAGAAAGTTCGACAAATCCGGTGGCTTCGTAATACTTCGACATTGTTTAAAGCGGTGGTGGAGTTTACCCGCCCTATGGCTGTTCTGCTTTGCAGTTTTGTTCGGCCAAGATGTGAAAAGCATTGATATGGAACAGGGATTCGACCGCGCAGCGTTTACAGCCTTACTCGAGAATTCAGAAAAGGCGAAAGTCGCATGCCCGGAGGTCTTTCCAGTTATCACTGGGATGCTTCAAAGTGCACTAAAGTCATTTATTTTGGAGACACGTGCCGTTGAACGCCCAGAAGAGAGTGATGATGAACTCTGGCTTGGAGGATCGGGTCGAAGAGAGAAGTCGAATTCGATCTCTGGTTGGTTGTCCGCTCAAAGTACCATATCCCTTGTTAACTGCGGTAAAATTTTGCTTATTTACATTTAGAGGCAACTAACGGAAGAGAAGGTTTACACGAAGACTTGTTAGAAAACGTCGTCCATTTTTTGGCCAATATACACACCAAATGCTCAGACTTCCGGGACTTTGCGGCAACGTCAAACTATGTCGATGAGCTGCTCCTTGTCTTGTTTCCCGTCGTAGTCGGCTCTGACGCGGTTAATGCGAGCGTGGAATTGAACTCACGCAATTCGAGCCTCACATTTGGGAGCGACAGTGTGGTTATCCAGCCACTTTCTAATGCTCGACCAGTTCTTCGTACCAGCACGGTTGAGCGCTGTGGTGGTGAGGAAGGGGGAGACAGTTTCCGGCGAGGGTCGTCTTTCATCCTAGTTTCATCCGACAAGGCTAAATACAACCCGTCCTCCGCGCGTTTGCGACATGTTGTAGAGCCAAAGGCCGACGTAGCAAGTACTGTGCCAGCGCATTCAGTTGTTCAGGAATTGCTCGATTTGGTCGTTTCTGTCTTAATGGACCAATTGTTGACTCGTAAAGAGTTCTCTGGCCTGTCGATATTCCTGAAGATGCCTCCCGGGTTCATAGAGCATCAGGTTTACTTCGAGTCCTGGTTACAACGCAACATCTTGCTCCAGATTGAAAGCAATGTTTTGCTAAACCGAAAGGCACTGTTGGAACCGCGAGTTTTAAACAATCTTGCAAGGCTATTGACCCAGGTTGCAGATGCTATTTACGAAGGCTGGTTTATAGACGGAGCTACAGTGACTCTAGATTTCGCGGGCCCGATTTTGGAATACCTCCAAAAGAGCGAAGTGGCATCTTTGAAAAGCATCCGACTTTGCAGTCAAACAATTGGCAATATACGATCTATCGTCTTCCGTACGGTCTTGCTGAGGCTATCGGAAACTGAAGATGCGGCAGCCCTTTCCTTTCTAAAACGTCTTACTTACTGGCAAACAGTGCTCCTGGGTTCTGAGGAAACGCAGGCGGAACATTTGCAGCTGATGTGCTACCTTTTGTACTCCAAAATAGTCACAGAAGAAGAAGACGTCCGACTGCAGGCTGCAGGTCTATGGCGAATCATCATGGTCCAGAAACCGACAGAAACTTTGGCTATGTTGAGTCAAACCAGTTCATCCCTCCATAAACGACTATCTACCGGATTTCAAAAGCTTGTCGCCATGGACAATAGCAGTTTCCTTCGATGGATAGATGACCAACGAGATGATCTTGACTGCTTCTTCTTCGGCACATTGTCGAAAGTATGGGAGAACTTTGTGAGGCAGGAAAATAACAAGACGGATGACACTGCTAGAAATCGATTGTCAAAGAGAAAAGAGAAGTTGAAGCAGTGGAGCCAGACCGATGAAGCGAATGAGGAGATTATCCGTAGACACGATGTTACCTTTGGGCATTGGACTTCAAACATCTCGCTTTCGGAGAAACTCAAACATCAAAGATATGCTCAAGACCAGCAAGACGACTTTACTTTCTTGCTCTCCATTTTTTCTCGCGTTTACCGGAATCTCCGCCGCGAAAATGGCCTTCTCGCAGACCGCAGCGAAACTAAATGGCGTCTAGACCAAACGGAAGGTCGGAGCAGGATGCGTCAGCGGATTATTCCCGACGATACAGTTGGTAAACAGGATTATCAGCCCAAACGAAGGGCGACAGAGTCTCATCCATCAAAATCAGATACCCGGCCACGCTCCAACACAGATAGTGATGGCGTTTCTATCACTCCCTCCGAAATTGCAGCTGAGGGGCTTGAAGAAGGTTCTTTGGTGGATGATAATGGTGATGGGGCGGGAATGGATGATAGCTTTGAGATCATCGAGGAGCCCAAGGACGGCGAGGAAGATTATGAAGATAAGAATCGGAAGGTGATGAGAAGCCTCCATCGCGGAGACCAAGTGCAACATGTGTGCAATATTTCTAGAATTGTTGGCCTAGAAGCGTGCGAAGGCCTTCTAATTCTTGGGAAGGATAGCATCTACATCATGGATAACTACTTCCAGCGCCCGGATGGGGAGATTGTCAACGTCTGGCAGGCCCCGCGTGAGGAGCGCGATCCTTACGTGCGCATGATCTCGGGTCGAGAGTCAAGTGAGCGAAAGTACAACAATGGTGAGCATGAAACCAGAAGCTGGAAATGGCTTGACGTGGTTAGTGTCTCGAAACGTCGTTTCTTGTTCCGAGATGTGGCTCTTGAGATATTTTTCACGGATGGTCGCAGCTTTTTGATAACCTTGATCTCGCCGCCTGCTCGAAACGAACTGCATACCTGGCTCATTTCCCGAGCACCGCAGACCCAAGCAGCCAGCAACTCATCACAAGCTGACGATTCCTGGAGGTTCGAAGCCCTGCGAAGTCAAGAAACCAAGCCACAGTTTTTTGGATCTAAGCTTGTCAACGTGTTTGGTCAAGGAGGCTTGCACCCTGCAACCCGCAAGTGGTTAAAAGGAGAGATGTCGAATTTTCATTATTTGATGCTAGTTAACACATTAGCCGGGCGGACTTTCAATGATTTGACCCAGTATCCTGTTTTCCCTTGGGTGCTCGCGGATTATACGAGCGAAGAACTGGATCTCACAAACCCGAAGACATTTCGAGATCTTTCCAAGCCGATGGGATGTCAGACCCCCGAAAGAGAAGCTGGCTTCAGAAGCAGATATCAGTCGTTTGCCGAGATGGGCGATCATAACGCTCCTCCTTTCCACTACGGAACACACTATTCCTCCGCAATGATAGTATGCTCCTATCTGATACGACTCCAGCCATTTGTCAAATCTTTCCTTCTACTGCAGGGTGGAACATTCGATCATGCTGATAGATTGTTCTACTCCGTCCCCAAGGCGTGGGATTCGGCGTCAACCTCAAACATGACAGATGTGAGAGAATTGACACCGGAATTCTTCTATTTGCCAGAGTTCCTTCTTAATTCAAATAAGTACGACTTTGGCTTGCGACAGAATATGACCCAAGCCATAGATTCTGTGGAATTGCCACCCTGGGCTAAAGGAGATCCAAAAATTTTCATCGCAAAGCATCGTGAAGCCCTTGAGAGCCCGTATGTGAGCCGAAATCTCCATCGATGGATCGATCTTATCTTCGGTTTTAAGCAAAAGGGCGAAGCTGCACTGGAAGCCGTCAATGTGTTCCATCACCTATCCTATCAGGGAGCCAGGGATCTTGATAGTATTGACGACCCGCTTGAGAGGCTGGCTACCATCGGCATCATTCATAATTTTGGACAGACCCCGCATCAAGTGTTTAATAAGCCACATCCTCAGCGAGAAGAAGTGCATCACAAGCTTAATCAGTTAGACATTGCAGCAGAGGGCCTTACTCGGCTTCCGTTTGCGCTTTTAGGTATGGCAATAATCTCTTTATCCCTAGTTGCATCGTCTAACGGCCCTTGCAGATACCCAGGAACGAGTTGCATCTCTATCCTTTTCCGTAAAACATGATAGATTGTTATGTGCGGCTGCTTTCAGGTTAAACATCCCACCGAACTATGACAAATACATGGAATGGGGTTTCTCGGATAACAGTGTCCGCTTCTACGCGTCAGATACTAGAAGGGTGTGTTAAAACTACGCTACCACCATGGAATCGTACTGACGCTTTTCAATTCTTAGCTTGTCGGCCACTTTGAACATCTTCATATTGGACAATTGTCATGCGCACTTTTTGCTGATTCGCAAACCCTCATTACGTCTGGTGTCGATTGTGTTATATCAGTATGGTCGTATACGACGACGACGAAGTCGGTTGAATTGCATCCAAAAGCTTCGTTATTTGGACATCGAACGCCTGTGGCATTGCTGGCGGTGGCTCGGTCTTTCAGCACTATTTTGTCAAGCTCAAAAGATGGTAGATTAATGCTGTGGGATCTTAATCGACTAGAGTTTGTACGAGAGCTACCAGCTGGAGAACCTGTTGATGTGAGTTCCGATCTAATGCCCCCTGATTGATTAGCACTGTTCCTAACAGGTAAGAAGCACGCTCGGATAAATGATGCCACCGGAAATATCATGGTCTGCCGTGGTAGTCGTGTAAGTCTCTACACGCTTAACGGAGCGCTGCTACTCGAGCAAGTGGTCTGTGATCAAAACGAGGATTGCATTCTCTCGTGTGCTTTTTACGAAGGAGTCAGCAACGAATGGCTGGAGCGGGAGCTGATTTTTACGGGCCACCGTCGTGGACTTGTTAACGTGAGTCTGCATCACTCGGAACGCAGCCTTTTCCCCTTGTTAAGAGTTGCTATTGATGTCTAAGCGCATCACAGGTTTGGAGCAAGACCATCCGAAACGGTCGATTCGAGTTGGATTTGATCCGTCAACTCCATCATGTCGATCAGGTCCGGGGAGACGGTGCAGTGTCTTCTACTGGTATAACGTACATTCTACCGCTAGCCCAGGCTGTGTATACAGGCGATGAGGCCGGGAGTGTGGTGAGTATTTTATCCAACGCTCGTTGATACCCACCATGTGTGTACTGACTATTTTCTTACAACAGTATGAATGGACTTGTGTTCAGCGACGTTGAAGGATTTTTTTTTTTTTGTTTTTTTTCTTATTTTGGCATGTTTTATGATTATACTGATGAAGGGAATGATTTACTTTCTTTGTTAGAAATGCTCTTACAGCGCGATGAAGGCTAAAGGGGCACTTTTTTATTAGGCGTTCAAAAATAGACTGGACAAGGGCGTGACATGAATGGGCTTGATTCCAAGTGAGATTATGCTGGTATGGATATTCTGTAGACGTATATGTATCTATTGTCATCTCTGTTGTATCTAGCACATTCGTCACACGTGGAGGGTTTCAGACCCGAGCAAGGTTTGGAATAGCGGTGCCGGTCGCTGCAACCTCATTGCCGGCAGACTCCGAATCGGCGACCATTTCTAACTCTATTATAAAAATATGATGGAAGCATTTAATATTGGTATTGCGTGTTTGGGAGTCACGTAGGGCACTCCCGAAAGAGAGGTGAATGGACAAAGGACTGATATCACAGCTGGGGGCTGCAGCTGTTGGTATGGATTGCTAAGCAGCAATATGTAAATCCGGGCATTGAATCGGGTGATTCCGTGGGGCGTCCAGGCTTGGAGGTCACTTGCTGTAGTCCCGCATACTAAGGAAACGGGTTGGGTACCTGGAAGTACCTCTGTCAGAGAGTGGTTTCAATGGATTTTCCCGGTGAATGCCCCACCATTTAAGTTCGCTGGTGGGATGTCTTGCAGGGTGGGATGTGAAGTCAAAAGTACTGCATGCCGATGCAAACTGTAAATGTCAATGAATGGACGACAGCAGCCGTCTGGGTCTTGTTGAGCTTGAAAAGCAACTTGGAATTTGGAACCCCGCCACGTTAAGTACGAAAAGGTCGGTAGCTCATCCCGACTTTTATAACTCTGACCTTTTTCATCTTCAACCTTCTTTCGCCATCAGACCCTTTTCGCCTTCAGATACCCCAGATTTGAGCACTCTTTTTCGCTGAGACTGTTCGCAGATTGACAGCTGTCGAGTCTTGATTTAAATTGAATACCTTCCTCCGATTACCTCTTACAATTTGCAAATATGAGTTCCGCTCTCGATCAGTTGAAAGCTTCCGGCACCGTTAGTGATTTCCCTTCGCCTCGTCGGAATTGATCGATCATTTCCGGCCTTACCCTTCAATCCATCGTCTTATTTGAAGGTTACCTTTGCTGACGCCTTGCTTCTAACAATGATGATAGACCGTGGTGTGCGATTCTGGTGACTTTGCAAGTATGCCACCCACCCACCCAACGAGTGCACCGTGACGCTGGCCCAACCGAGATAGCTAACAATTTGGTGCAACAGCCATCGGAAAGTATAAGCCACAGGATGCCACGACCAACCCTTCCCTGATCCTTGCCGCCTCCAAGAAGCCAGAGTATGCCAAACTGATAGACAATGCCATCCAGTATGGCAAGCAGCACGTACGTGGGGACACTCCTTTCCTTTTTTTTTCGGTTGTGGTCAGAGTATGGGTAGCTGATGAGTGCCGCGATTCTAGAGCAGCAACCTCGAAGATCAGGTTGACTCTGCACTTGACCGGCTCTTAGTTGAATTCGGCAAAGAGATTCTGCAGATCATCCCCGGCAAGGTCTCAACGGAAGTTGATGCCCACTACTCCTTCGACACCAAGGCATCTGTTGACAAGGCCCTTCACATCATCGAGGTACGTCGCAAGGGCTGATGACGAAATGACTTGCGTACCTTGCATGGAGCTGACGAACGCCCTTTTTAGCTTTATAAATCTGTCGGCGTTCCAAAGGAGCGTGTATTGATCAAGATCGCCTCCACATGGGAGGGTATCCAGGCCGCACACATCCTCCAATCGCAGCATGGCGTCAATGTGAACCTTACGTTGATGTTCTCTCTTGTACAAGCCATCGCTGCTGCTGAGGCTGGCACCTACCTCATCTCCCCCTTCGTTGGTCGTATCTTGGATTGGTACAAGGCTGCCACGAAGAAGGAATATGCTTCTCACGAGGATCCCGGCGTCCAGAGCGTCCAGAGCATCTTCAACTACTACAAGAAACATGGTTATAAGACCATTGTCATGGGCGCCTCGTTCAGAAACACCGGTGAGATCACAGAACTCGCAGGCTGCGATTATTTGACCATCTCGGTACGTGTTCCTTAAGCTATTATTTTCTGTTGCTATCGTTGCAGCTGGCGTCAACCCGGTCCTAACAACGAGATTTTTTTTTTTTTTTTTCTTTTTTAGCCAAATCTCCTTGAGGAGCTGTACAACTCCACCGCCGCTGTGCCCAAGAAGCTCGATGCGGCGGGGGCGGCCAAGCTTGACATCCCCAAGCGCAGCTACTTGAACAACGAGGCCCTCTTCCGCTTCGATTTCAACGAAGAGCAGATGGCCGTGGAGAAGCTTCGCGAGGGTATCTCCAAATTTGCGGCGGACGCAGTCACCCTCAAGAACATCTTGCGGGAGAAGATCCAGGCGGAATAATTTCCGTCACCACCGATGAAAAGGAAGATAAAGCAGGTCTTTTTGGAGGTTAATAGACTGCATGGCTATCTGTAGTTAGCATTAGCTCCCAGATTGAATTGACTATGGGTTTGACGGCCAGCATCTGCAGCTTTTCGAGATCTTTCAACAGTAATACTCCCGACGAAACTTGGTGGTAGGTACCTAGTTATAAGGCTCATTGTTTCTTTTTGTAGAAGCATATGGCTTTATCGAACAAAGAAAAAACTACGTAATAGAAGAGAAAGAGCATGCCTTCTTAGATGTAGAGATGGATTTTTTTTTAACATTCTGCTGGCTGATCAAGCCAAACTCCTCTTCTGGGGGAAATTCGCGTCCCTTCCCGGTTCCAATCCGTTCGACTTCATAGAGTTGTAATCTATTCTGAGTCTATATCACCATTCTCAATTAACAACACGGTTCAAAATCTGGGAATCTTTTCATCGACCATTGAACGCTCGTTCCCCACTTGTTGTCGAATAATCTCTGGGGAATATAGGCCTGGCACACGCTGAACTAGCATCGTTCTTCATCGACTATCGTGTTGGATACTAAAGAAAGAGATAAGATCCTTGACAATATCATGGACTTCCTCCATCCGCGACACGCTCCTGTTACAATGAATGCGGCATTTTATACCGACGAGGCTACCTTAAACGAGCCTAATTTTCACCCATGCTAGCGAACTGCATCTGAACACCTACTTGTTGAACCTGGAGGACCTTGCAGGGGAAGCACTTAGCAGTCTGCTCCGTGGACGCTTCATCTTATGGTTGAGGATCCAGACTGCGTTGCCACTTTGTGGAGACGTGAAGAGTCTGCGGCACCGAAAGAAGGCGACGATGAGAATCCAACCATGAGGGGTGAATTTGAGGACATGGCTATGGCAAAAGAAAAACCAGGGGGCGCGCTTCCCTGCCCAATGCCGTCGACAGTGTTGCTGGGTTTGAAATTTATGTTTTGTGCATGACGGAAAAATTCAACCTGGCGCCCATCCTCCCAGGCTGGGTGGACGTGGGAAAATTTGTTTGGCTATGCAGGTAGGGCGGCTATTTCAGGACATTTTCACCTTATACTGGGGCAACCTCAAAGAGCGGCGGGCAAGCAGATTAAAACCCTAGCTGGAAAGTTTGCCAGCCATGTTCCTGAAGGTGAATTCACGGCTGCGGAAATTCAGAACTATCTTCTACAGCATGGAAAGAATCCCCAAAAAGCTGTGTAAAGAACTGGGTGATGAAGGCACAGTGATTAAGAAGTCATATTGGTTGGGGAAGTAGAGGGGCTTCGGGCACAGTGCCCTACTTAACTGATTGAACAAAGTATGCTGGCTATCTAAAACTACCAAGTAACAAAATAACAATCCGCAGTAGCTCATCCTCCCATTGCTTCGATAGCTCTGTCAAAAGCCTTGATAATCGGCCCGTACAGAATCTCCGGGTCCTTGGGCGTGCCAACGAAGATTGCGTTGTCACGTATTGGAAACAGGATCCCACGCAACTCCCTGCAAAGCGGTTTGAGGCATTCAAACTCAGGGGGAAATTCATTTGCCAAAACGAGCTCAAATACGTTGGTGTCAACCATACCATGCTTTGCAATAGCAATGTCCGTGTAACTTCCAGTGTACCACTGCGTGAGCTGGCTGTGTGTAGGTTGCCTCTTCAGATTGCCGGTGAACTCCCAGCCCCGGCGACCGCACTGCCAAATAAAAATGTAAAAGAATGACTCGAGATCATGCCGATAGGTATGGTCTATATTAAACAGCACCTCAATAGCCATGAACTCCATGGTGCCGGTGCGATAGCGTGAGCCACTTCGCCCGCTGCCAAGCTCCTTAGCAAGGTCCATGTCAATCAGCATTCCCGCGTGGCCAGTCTTCTTCGAATCAGTAATGATGATGTTGTTCTCAGAAATATCCCGATGAAGGATGTTTCCTTTGGAATACAGAGATCTGTGTGCTTTAATTGCATCGCGAAGCGCTTCTAAGAGTTCCGGAAGTGACTCATATTTGTATATCGGCCGGCCAGCAGGATAAATGACCAGACAGCGAAGAATACGGTTGTCATATGAGCCATCAGCGGGAGTGAGCAAACTGGCCCCCTGAGCATCTTCCACATCATATGTAACCTCATTCTGTAGTGGGTTCGATCGCCTGGATCGCTTTGATGGTTTGATATCGACATCAGCTGACTTGCGCTTCCTTAATGAAGTACGTTCACCAGTACTCTGTGCGATAGATAGGCCACGCAGCTCACCAAATGACTGGGAAAGGATGCTGGGCGGCTGAGACTGAGAGAAAGACTGCAAAAAGGACGACGCAACGCCGGAAGTACCACGGAAAGAATAGGGCTTCTTGAACACCAAGCCCGAGCGCATATCTTCCATACTGGTGACTGAGCAATGACTGACCAACCTGGCGATTCCCTCAACACCTTTCTGATTGGCGAGCCTGAGTAGATTGGCTTCAGGTTTCCGTCTATCAGATGTCCAGGAGAACTTGGTGACATGGTTCCAATCCTCAGAGTCTGGTGCCTTCGTGAGATAGCAAGCCGTCCCGCGGCAGACAATCGCCCGTTGATGCGTGAGGGGATCCGGCTTCAACTGCAGCCTCTTTGCCATTTCAGAGCCATCCTGCTTGATGTTTATGAAGCGACGGTCGCCATCCCGTTCTGTGAAAGTATCCCGACCCAGTTCATCCTCATTCATCATTATATAGCCAGCGATCACCTGCACAAATCGTTTCGGCTTGTTGTGGATATCAAAGGGGCCTGGACTGTAGCATCCTAAGCAGTCAAATACCTAGGCCTCCATCTCTCGCCTACAGATTGTAAATGCGTGTACATAGCGGCGCGTTGGTTGACAGGCGAACACATCCCGGACATATCGGGCAATCTGGAGTAACGTACTTTTAACTCCGACTTCGGATGCCTTGAGCTCACCGATCACATCGATGTCTCTCCAATCATGTTTCACGCCTGAGGGTTCGGGCTCTCCAGTCTTTCGTTTGACAATAAGATCTGTCTGCCGCTTAGACTCAGCGCCAGTAAGCTCATTCGGTAGCTTTATCGTATAGTAGCGACGTTGCTCATTTGGGAGAAATTCATCCTGCAGTCGGAATATCCAGCCCACCACATCGTCCTGGGTAGGCGAGTTGAGTAGAGTAGACCATCTGCGATCAATGTATTCGTTCTTCACCAAGTCAAAGGCTTTCTGAGCACGATCCCCCCAGTCCTTTCCCTCAAAGTATTTTTCAAAGAATCCTTCCGCATCCCGATATATGCAGTCTTTGATTTCATCAAAGACCTTTGGGTCAACGTGCCGCCGACTCTGTTCGCTACCCTGCTGTGACGCGGAGGAATGCTTGATGGGCGTGCCTTCAGACGCGGGCGGAATGTTCGGTGGCGGTGACACTCTCGAGACCTCGCTAATAAGATCAAAAACAGCACTCCAGATGTCCAAGTCGGGTGCATCTCTGATGATGAGATTCACCAGCGGGCGGTAGTACGTGTAGTTGAAGTCGCCTGTTTGGACGCGCGTAAAGTGGCCCGCCAGGTCAGAGGCAATGCTTTGACTATTCACTTTCGACCGCATACGGTAAGCTGCCCTTGTTCCCATCAAGGTAGCCAGGAGATGCAATACCACGTCTTGGAGATCGTGTTCAGGTCCATCTTCAGCGCCGTCAACGGAACTGACCAGCGCATATGAACGCTCCACCTCCTGGAGTAACTCTCGTGCGCGGCCAAGAGAATCATTCAAGGGACAGTGCTTGATGACCTTGTGATCGTCTTCTGATAGAGACGCCATTTGCAAAAGGGGAGGGAAAGAGATCTGGCGACGTCTGAAATGTTGAAGAAGTCCAAGGTGAACTTGGGGTGTCTAGTAGTCACGTGACTACGATGCAACGCGATGTGGCGACCGAAATGCCAAGCTTTTGTTCCTCATGTTAAAGCTTGGGCAGACGACGTCATCCGCAGGTGCTCCGAGGAGGATTTGGTAAGACGTAGGATCCTTCTAAGTTGCAGAGGGTTATTTGCAATGAATGGAGTGGCTTCCTCACTTTGCCTATCACCTTTCGCCAGACGGGTGAAATAAATAGCAAGAAAGATCGAGACTGCTTATCGAGGGATTCCGGCTGGCATCGGTGAGTGTTAGTAAAGAAACCTTGGGAACCCATGCACCTTGGAACCAGTTGTCACCCGAACATTGGAATAAAAACTGCCAGAACACAACGCTGGCGAGATTGGTTCTAATCAATAACAAGTCGCAAAAGAAATCCCCACCAAGTTGCTTGCGAGCGTTTCATCCTTTTCCTCCCGAACTTGCCTCTACTGTTGCAACAAATGGCAGCTGCTTTTCGACTCGGGCAACTTCTTAAGGGCCAGAAAGGGTCCTATACTCTGGGAAAGCAGTTCCAGGACAGTGTTTGGCTTGCAATGTAAAGTAGTCCCATCCCATTTAAGCAGCTCAGATACTGACAAGGAGTCAAGGACAGTACTATCAATAACAAACAAGTGGTAATAAAAAGCATGCGTCACTTCCAACTGGAAAACAAGCAAGATGTTCTTAAACAATTTCAAGATCAGACATCTTATATTCAGTCATTACTTGATGAAATTGTCAACCCACCAGATTCTTCAGTCATTGTTTTGAGACACTTAGCTGATCATCTTTTAAATGCCTCCACTGCACAGAAACTTACAATCCAGGAAGTTAAATACAATGCAAGAAGCATTGTTGAATCTCTCAAGTTGCTACATGACAAGAAATTTGTTCACACAGATAATAATCTTCTGTTGAATTATGTATGGGATTTGTGCAACTAATCCAGAGCATTTACTAGATATCAAGCCTGATAATGTGCTTGTAAACTACAGATCTGGAGACATTCACTTCACAGACATCCAGTTGGCAGATATGGGAAGTACCATCTCTGCAGAGTCAGCATACATAAAGAACAGTGACATGATTGGAGCTCTGATGTGGCAGAGTCCTGAAGCACATTTGCAGATAGAGTGGCACACCTACTAATATATGGTCTTTTAGTGCATTGGTACATGTGGAATGCTTATAAAGTAACAGCTCTTGGGTGATGGATACAGTTAAAACTAATTCTTCTCTTCATTCTTCTAGCTTCTCACTCTGATTTATGGTGACAGCTTTTTCATCTTCAAACCCAATGTGCTGTTTGGACATGAAGATTATGAGCTTCAAGTTCTTGTGTGACAGTGTCAATTCTTTGGCCCGTTTCCCCTTTCATATCAGGAAATAGCTAAACATTGGCAATTCTGTCGTACATTCACAAGTCACTACCCCCAAGAAAGCAGAAGCCCTTCGCGCGAATCTAGCCGCTGCTGAGCGGCTGGGTCGGACGTTAAATTGAGAGAGAAGAAGAAGAAGAAGAAGAAAGCTGGTGGCCTGGGGAAGCTCGTGGCCTGGGAAGATCGTTGGACCTTCATCTCAACCCGCGAGCCAGATCGGATTGCGAGAGTAACCATTTTTGCTTGTTCATTGGAAAGCTGTGTCGCATCCGCGTTTCTGGAGTGCATCCAATACTGGCTTGCAACCTCTCTTCTCCTGCACTTCCCCCCAGGATCTAACTCCTCCATAAACGCCTAGAATCCATAATTGGCAGAAAATCCTTCTATGACAACCCTGCATGAGATCCTCCTTGCAGACGGTTAGAGGTTCAATTGGTAGTGATAAGAGGCAGCCGGGAGCTGCTGGATTTTTGTTTTTCCGAAAGTCCGGCCGGGTAAAATCAATCGGGTTTGGAAGTTCGCGGCCGCCGGTAACGTCATAGCTTTCCCCCACCCCACTTCGCTCGCTTCGACCCCTCATGGGCGGCACAACCGCGAAACCCAGCAATTGCGAGTGTATTAAATTAAAATCACGGGGCAGGAGAGGGGGAAGAGAAGTGTGAGAAGAGGACTGATTTCGAACAGAGGAATACGTAGCCCTTGTCTCAATGAATTCTGAGACGTAAGGTGGCGTGGTTTGGCCAAAATAATCGGAGCAGCCAACCCGTAAACAAGCACGTAAGTATGGAGTACTCCGTTATGCTCTCCGTAAAAAAAGGGCTCGACCTGCAGGCTTGGGCTGCCGCTGACTTGCCTGGGGAGGTTGACCCTGCCTTGGTATCCCAAACACTCCTAGCGCTGTGATTACGGCATCGACGCCTTTCCCTTCCGGCGTCTTCCTTTTCCCCCGCGCCATTCGATTGCCTTCCATCCCCCAGTCTTCCTCCGTCCTCCTCAGCCCACGTCTCTCCAAAGCAGTAAAAAGAGCATCCCAAAAATAATTTAAAAAAAAAGGGGCCAATAACACCTTCCATCAGCCAAAATGGTCAGAGCAGGTATGTCGCTTTTTCTCTTGTATTTTAAATCTTTTTTTTTATTAGCCTACCAGCCCACGTGGTTCTCATCCGTTTGATGGGCGTCGTGTGGATTTGGCCTTGTTCCTTGTAAACCCCCTCAAACCGCCGCTTGTCACTCCGCCACCAAGGTCCCTTGGGAGCGAGCGGGTGGGAGCTTATAGGTGGGCGCTCCGCAGGTTGCTGGTTGCTTTGTTTTGTTCGAGATCGTTCGAACGGATGGTCGACTCATCTGAACTTGGTCTGCACCCCTCTCGTGGTGGCCGCCAGGTTTGGAATTGTCGGATAGCTATGACCCTGATAAGATTTTCCACCCAGCTTTGGGATCAAGGCCTTTTTTGGGGAGCTCTTTCGTTTTGGCTCCGTTTGATCTTCACGGTTGCAATGGCTGATTTTATGAAAATTTTTTCGCTCTCCAGTTGCTGTCCTCCGCGGTGACTCCCTCGTGAAGGGCACAGTCACCTTCGAACAGGCTGACGAGAACAGCCCGACCACCATCTCCTGGAACATCTCTGGCCACGATGCCAACGCTCAGCGTGGCTTCCACATTCATCAATTCGGTGACAACACCAACGGCTGCACTTCTGCTGGCCCTCACTGTACGTCAATGCATTCCAGATAACCCGTTTGAAGGGAAGGTCATGAGGCCAACACGCGGCGTTTTTTTTTTTTTTTTTTAGACAACCCATTCTCCAAGAATCACGGAGCTCCATCCGACGTAGATCGCCATGTTGGTGACCTGGGCAACATCACCACTGATTCCCAGGGCAACTCCACCGGCAGCGTTGAGGACAAACAGATCAAGCTTATTGGGGAGCACAGTGTTCTCGGTGTATGTGCAAAGCAAGCTCTCCTGTAAATTCATGTGAGAACAAATGGAGCTGACTGTGTGATATGTGTAGCGCACTGTTGTCGTTCATGCTGGCACTGATGACCTCGGCAAGGGAGGCAACGAGGAATCCAAGAAGACTGGAAATGCTGGGCCCCGTCCTGCCTGCGGTAAGATATTTTGGTTTCCCTTTGTTATTGTTCTTCCTGATGCAGCAAGGCTGACTGATCCACAGGTGTTATTGGCATTGCTGCATAAGCTTCTCTCCCGAGAACTCTCCCCTAAGGCTTTCACTAGATTGCGCGAAAGCATCAATGAACAGTTAATGAGATTGCTTAGCAATTAACTAGTTACCTAGTTAGCGAGGGAATGATCAAACAATCCAGTTTCTAGAGGTGTAATGAAATTACATATCTCGGTGAATTAGCTCTACAAAATAATCTGTACATAGTTCAATTTGGAGTTGGGAGCTCATATGAACCAGTAACTTAATTATCTCAACGCACAGCCATTGCAGGCGCCAGTGGAGATGCTCAGACGCATGTGGTTGTATAGCCAGGTCACAAAATTGGAGTGATTTGCTCTCAACGCAGCTAGACAGGAAGCTAAAAAGAGGACCAAAAGAAAAAAAAAGCAGAGTCAAGAAGTGCAGCATGAATGATGGGGTTAAGCTACCCCCTTTTGTGTTTGGGTGAGCTCATGAACGGAGCGGGTGGAGGGCGAGGAGGGGGAGAAGACAGCTGGACACATCTCCGCCTAGCGCACCGCTAAGTTTCAACCCCGGATGTGAATGCTGGCCAATATACTCCGTAGCACACAAATAAACCACCTATCCTATTCCTCTACCTAGCTTTTGCCTCTTTTAGTTCACGCACAGTCCCATTGTTATTCCATAGTTCCTCGCATTCTCTTTTTTTCTATTTACATCAATCCTGCAAGAGGGCTATTTTTTACTTCCAGCCAGCTAGCTGTCTTGTCTGTAGTTATCGTACAGTTGAGCTCACAACCTAACTTCTAGGGGAAGAGAAAGTTCCGGAACAATGGCTCTGCTGGAAGCTCGTGTGAAAAGTGTCCTCTCTGGCGACACGCTTGTCTTGACACATGTGACCAACCGGAGCCAGGAGAGGATCCTCAGTCTCGCCTACGTGTCAGCTCCAAGGTTACGTCGGGAAGGGGATGAGGTGAGTTCTAGTTCCTTTAAATTTGATCCTTGATTGTACATTCAAACTCCCGCCTAATTTTTATATTTATTTTTATCTTTATTCCCTTCCTCCTCTCTCCCCTCTTTAGTTTTGAGCTGGTCATTTGTCTAACTGCTGTTCAAATCCCTCTGCTGGTTGCTAGGCGTTTGCTTTCCAATCCCGGGAATTCCTCCGCGAACTCCTCGTCGGCAAGGTGATCCAGTTCCAAATCCTGTACTCCATCCCCACTGGAGCGAAGCGAGAGTATGGTATCGTGAAGCTGCCTGGGGGCAGGGAGTTGCCGGAGCTCTGCGTCTCTGAGGGATGGGCCAAAGTTCGTGAGGATGCCGGTCGGCGAGACGAGTCCGAAGACACTGCGCTGCTGCTCGACAAGCTGCGAGAGCTCGAGTCCCGGGCACGTGCTGAATCCAGGGGCGTCTGGGGCCAGGGTGGGAATATCGAGGTTTCGTATGAGGTTTCGGATCCGAAAGCTCTCGTGGACGGTATGAAGGGCAGTATGATTGATACTGTGGTGGAGAGGGTGCTCAATGGCGATCGACTACTCGTCCGCATGCAGGTCTCACCTGAGAAGCATATCCAGACCATCCTTGTGGTAGCTGGCATTCGGGCCCCTTCTGCCAAGCGGGTAAGCGCAGATGGGACGGAGCAGGCCGGTGAGCCGTACGGTGACCAGGCGCAACAATTCGTGGAGATGAGGCTATTGCAGAGAAAGGTCAAGGTGTCTCTACACGGGACCACGCCGCAGAATCAGCTCGTCGGTACCGTCCTTCATCCCAATGGAAATATCGCCAAGTTCTTGCTCGAAGAGGGTCTCGCGAGGTGCGCCGATCATCATTCTACCCTCCTGGGTGGTGAAATGGCTACATTCAGACAGGCGGAGAAAAAGGCCAGGGACGCCCGCAAGGGATTGTTTGCTGCGCATGTTGCACCCAGAGCTACCCCGTCGGCCGGTGCGGACACAGACTTCGTAGTCAGCCGTATCTTGAACGCTGATACCATTTTCGTGCGAAATAAGGCCGGAAAGGAGAAGAAAGTCAGCCTTTCCAGTGTGAGACAGCCAAAACCTTCGGACCCTAAGCAGGCCCCGTTTGGAATCGACGCGAAGGAGTTCCTACGGAAGAAGCTTATCGGGAAGCATGTCAAGGTTACGGTTGACGGAAAGAGGCCTGCCACTGAAGGTTTTGAGGAGCGTGAGGTTGCCACTGTGATGGCTGGCAATACAAATATCGCTCTTGCTCTGGTAGAGGCTGGTTACGCTTCTGTTATTAGGCATAGACGTGACGATGATGACCGGTCTCCTGATTATGATAGCCTATTACAGGCCGAAGACGTCGCCCAAAAGGAACAAAAGGGCATGTGGTCGTCGAAGCCGCCTAAGACCAAGCAATATCAAGACTATTCCGAGAGTGTTCAAAAGGCTAAAATGGCATCTTCGGTGCTTCAAAGGCAGAAGAAAGTTCCCGGCGTTGTTGATTTTGTGAAGTCGGGCGCGAGATTTACGGTCTTGATCCCACGCGACAACGCTAAGCTCACCTTCGTCCTCTCCGGAATCCGGGCTCCTAAATCTGCTAGAAATCCAGGCGAAGCTTCCGAACCATTTGGCCAAGAAGCTCACGACTTTGCAAATCGCAGGTGTATGCAGCGCGACGTGGAGATTGACGTTGAGACCATCGATAAAGTTGGAGGATTCATTGGCACTCTTTATGTGAATCGGGAGAATTTCGCTAAGATACTTTTGGAGGAAGGTTTAGCGACCGTCCACGCCTACTCCGCAGAACAATCGGGGCACGGCCCAGAGCTCTTTGCCGCGGAAAAGAAAGCCAAAGAGGCTAGAAAGGGAATCTGGCATGACTGGGATCCAAGCAAGGACGTGGACGAGGAATATGATGAACCGGCCCCTGCCAATGGGACCGAGGCTGCTGAACCTACCCAGCGACGGAAGGACTACCGGGACGTCCTCATTACAAATATTGAGGACGACGGTAGACTGAAGGTGCAGCAGATCGGTGCTGGTACTACTGCGCTGACCGATCTAATGAATTCTTTCCGCGCATTCCACTTGAGTGGAGCGAATGCTAAGCCGTTGGACTCCCCTCCCAAGGCCGGAGACCTTGTGGCCGCCCAGTTCACGGAGGACAATGAATGGTACAGAGCCAAAATCCGTCGCAATGATCGCGAAGCCAAGCAGGCCGATGTCGTGTACATCGACTATGGAAACACTGAGAGGATTCCCTGGAGTCGCTTGCGCCCGCTCTCAGCGCAGTTCTCCGTACAGAACTTGAAGCCACAGGCTGCTGACGCGGTGCTTGCGTTTGTTCAGTTCCCGATGTCTCCTGAATACCTGGCCGACGCTAGACGGTTCATCGCCGAACAGACATTCGATCGTCAATTGGTCGCAAACGTTGAGCACGTCACACCGGAGGGAACCCTGTCCATTACGCTGCTCGACCCATCAAACTCTGAGAACCTCGAACAGAGTATCAATGCTGATCTTGTCCGCGAGGGCCTTGCGATGGTACCCCGCAAGCTCAAGGCTTGGGAGCGTTCTGCAGGTGATACAATTGGGTCTTTGAAGAAACTGGAGGAGGAAGCTAAGGAACAACGGAGAGGAATGTGGGAGTACGGCGATATCACTGAAGATTAGATGAAAAGCCCCCGCTTTTTCTAGCTGAACGTTTGATGGTAGCCATGATCTGAATAACTAAGAGTCGGAGACATAAGAGTTTTTTTTTTTTTTTTTTTTTTTCCCGCCTTAAATTCTCATGCTCTCTGTTTTGTCTTCATGCATGTAATGTCACGGAGGACGCTGCGTAAGTGGCTTGGGAGATGCCACTGACAGCGCGCATACCAGTTGAGTTTTGCTTCAACTCGAGCTATCATACGGAGTCCTCCGAAAGCGATGATAGATACGGCAGATGACCTGTTCGAATCCCACTTTGCTTTGAAGGGTCAGCCGGGATGCTTGATCATGTCTTCCCTGTCAAGGTTTGTACGGAGTACAGTACATACATAAGCAGAGCCAGTGTACATTGCCTAGGCCAGAACATCATTCAGGCTTTCTTCTTGTCCTACCAGCAGCAGCATCTTCAGCAAATGGCGACGGATAACCAGCACCTTCAGTTGGCCCGAGGAGGGCCGCCGAGCCTTCAGGCGCTAAGTTACTCACTAGCGAGGCGAGGCGGCCGGCCTTTTTAGCCCGTTAGCCGGGTGCCCGCCCTTGCATCACACGGCCAATGGGGCTCTCGTATAGCACGTTTTTGGGCAGCCGGGGACTCCGGTCGGCCAGCAATTTCAACTCCGCCTGGTGTGTCCAATCCTCCAGGCTGACTTGGACTTTTGTTTCTCGCTTTCCCGTCCTCCGTACTGACAAGCATTCCAGTCCTGAATTCCTCAGCTTCTCATAACGTTACTCCCGAGTGGCGAGAAGGCCTCGCCCAGAGAAGAACGATCCCTGCATATTAACTTTATTTACTTCACGGGCTCCTCCCCCAAGGTAGCGGGAAGACATGACGCTCGAACGGACTTCTACCAACCAGTCTCGTCGCAGCAAGCGCTCCCATCACTCTCATAGCAACTCCGAAACCCACTCCCGCTCGCACAACTCTATCCGCAGAACAAGGACAAATCAGTCCCTCAACGGCAAAGAAACCCCAGACCACCTCCAAGGACATCTAAATCACTTAACGCCTGACCAAGAGCGCGCACTTGAAGAGTTTAAGGCGGTTTGCATTGAGAAGGGTCTATATACACCCGCAGAGGAGGGAAAGGCTGCTAGCCATGAGGATCCTACGTTGTTGTAAGGACACACTTCTCACAGAGTGATCTCTACTAGGGGCTTCCAGTGCAAGGGCTGGACAAGCACCCCTTGAAAGGAGAAAAAAGACAAAATATGAAGGTAAAGAAAAGTTTGCTGACTGTGGTATTTTGGCGTGCGCCTCGCTTTCAGGCGGTTCTTGCGTGCGCGCAAATTCGATGTGAATGGAGCATTGGACCAGTTCAAGGCCACAGAGGAATGGCGAAAAGCAAACCAAATTGATGCGCTCTATGAGAACTTTGACGTTGATTCGTACGAGAATGCACGGAGAGTGGTTAGTTATTTTCAGCTTCTGATTCTCGGACCGCGTGACCTTTGGCCTGACATTGTGTTCATATAGTATCCCCAGTGGACTGGTCGTCGCGACCGGAGAGGCATTCCCGTTTACGTCTTCGTGATCAAACATCTCACTAGCAAGAATATGGCCGCCTACTCCTCTGGTGCCGCCTCAACCGCCACGTCCTCTACCCACACTTCCTCCACAGTACCTTCAAGACTATTACGCCTTTTTGCACTCTACGAAAATATGACTCGATTTGTCGTGCCGCTATGTTCGTCGCTGCCACGGCCTAATCCAGAGACGCCAATCTCAAGCACCACCAATATTGTTGATATTTTGGGAGTTGGATTGAAACAGTTCTGGAACCTGAAAGGACACATGCAGGACGCGAGTGTTTTGGCAACAGCACATTATCCTGAAACTCTAGACAGGATTTTTGTGAGAACACTTGAATCTCCGTATTCCCGATATTGCATTCCTTTATAGCATGGGCTAATGCTCTTCTAGATAATTGGCGCACCCTCATTTTTCCCTACCGTATGGGGATGGATCAAACGGTGGTTCGACCCGGTAACGACGTCTAAGATTTTCATCCTCTCCTCTTCCGAAGTCAAATCGACCCTCACATCGTTCATGGACCCGTCTAGCTTCCCTAAACAATACGGCGGTGAATTGGACTGGGAGTGGGGTGATATGCCAAACCTCGACGAACCCGCACAGGAGCTCGTAGGTGCGCTGGAAGGATTGGGTCCAAAAGGGGACGGAGAAATAAGCACGGAAAGCTCAAATAAGACGGTGGAGGAGAGGAAAAGAAACTTTGTCAAGGGGCCGGTGGCCTGGCTAAAGGATCGAATTGAGATTTTTGGTTCTATCGGCGGACAGAAGCGTAGGAAGACAATTCCCGTTCAGGGGGAACAGAAGCCAAGCGAAACCGACCAAGCTGTTGTCAGTGAAGCCAATGGCGTTGTTGTTGAAGTCACCCCAGCAGCTACGACTGAAGGCGAAGAGAAGCTTGTTACGACACCAGAGGCGCAGGTTAATGGAACGACTGTGTCGTCGTAGCCTCTGCCGTTTTCACTCCAATTAACTATCCTGGCGTTTGGAAAAAGTTTCTCTGGGCGAATTGACTTCTTGTGCATATCCCTGGTGATATGCTGCCATTAATTACCCACCGTTTCTGCTTCATCTTCTTCTTCGTCATCATTTTTTTCATTCCCCTTTTTTTTTTTTTTTTTTGGGTGGGGGGGGGGCTGCTCGTCTTTCGAGTTTCGCTTAAGATTTACAGCCCTGAGATTTCGCAGAGTCGTTTCTTTTCCATCAGTGAAGACCCAAGAAGTAGCATAGCCATGGAGCATATCTACTACTGTACATATGAGCATCTCCTGTTAGATATAGTTTTCCATGATAAAAACTAGATTCGGGCAAATAGATATCCTGATTGATACTTTTCGCTGTCATTACCTGATGGAGAGATATAAGTGTGTACGGAGTACGGAGTATATCGGCGGATGTTTGCTTTGAAAATTGGTAAAAAATTTGGTTGCTGGCAAACGCCACTCCGATATTCGAGCCGCAAGTGGGCCCCAGCCACACAGGCAATCTTTGGTTATCAGGTGTGGCTAGTGCAGATTATTGTGGCAGAAAAAGACGAGCTATACGAAACAGGAAGGCGGTGGGCGGCGCGACATTGAAGCTCGTCGCAAACATTGAGAGCTCTCCATGATTGCACGGCGCATAAAAAGCAATTTCTGGCTGATATCGTACGCAAATTTCCCATTTAACCTCAAACCACCCCATGCTTTTGCTGGCAAATTTTGTCTACCCATCCCAATTCGTCCAAAAACGCACTCAAGCTAGCGCATAGCACCAATTTGAAAACAATTCTCGGCCACGAGACGTACGCATAGCTGCTATTCAGGAGCCATGGTCCAAGGAACTGCCCCGGAACAACCGTTGAAACGGAAACGTGGTCGCCCGCGCAAAGAAGGTGGACCAGCGAAACCTAAACCAGTCGTTCTCGACCATACCGGTCAGCCTAGAAAGAGAGGTCGACCACGAAAATACCCTCTTGATACCACTGCCCCACCCGCTGCGAAACCACAGAACGTGAGTGATGACAACTTGCAGAAAAGGGGTCGCGGGAGACCAAGGAAGAGTGACAGTTTGCCTCCAAAGCCTGTCGCAGCTCCAGGGCCAGAGCAAGGCCCAGAGGCAACTCCACGACGAGGAAGGCCCCGCAAAGAACATGGCGCACAACCGGCAGAGGTGGTTCCTGATGTGGCGGCGCAGACTGTCATGCAGTCGAAGCGGGGACGTGGGCGGCCCAAAAAAAGCGAGGGCACTATTATGACCGAAGAAGCGACACAACCCGTGAAGGCGCCATCGGCGCCGGGACGTGGAAGACCAAAGAAGTTTAGTACGGCAACTTCCGGGTCAGCGAATGGAGTTGCTCAGCAGTCGTCAGCGTCATCAGCCTCCAATCCCCTTGCGAAAATGGTTGTTGGGAGTTACGAACTCAAGTGTGCTACCGTGGAGAATGAATGGCCCCATGTAGCAGTAGGCATGGAAATGACCATCCTCGAGTCTGAAGAGACCTATGGTCTTGGTTTCATTGCTGGCTTCAACCTGGGGATCGTAGAGGGCACAATGCTGCTCGCAGCTGATAAAGATTCCCTTGAAAGACTCTACAACAAGATGTCCAAAGGAGAAAATCGGTCACTATATGGTACCTTCGGAAGTAACGAAAACGATGGAGACGATGGCGACGAGGGTCGTACGTTCAAAAAACGCAAGACTTCAGCTGCTTCATCTAAACGACTCTATATGTTCTGGCGAGGCCGTCAAACTGGCGAGGGGGAAATCTACTCCGGACGGAACAACGGCCATCTCGATTTCTCGGAAAGCAAGAAAATCGTCAGATTCAATGGTGTCGGCGGATTCCCCGCTATGGGAAATGAATGCAAATTTTCGGGGGTTAAACGGAGCGATGAAGTTTCTGTGCCTCCCCAGCCTTGGAGCGACTTTTCGGAGAGAGCTGCTGCTGAGGCCAGCGCTGCAAGATGGCGTTGAGATATCCTTTCCCCTGTTCCCTTTTTTTAGTATCGAGTATTTGCTTAGGATGTTTTAATTTCTCTATTTTCGTTGAGTTCATCGAGCTGGCTCGGCCGGCAGTTCTATTGACTTCACAGGTCCAAAGGAGGAAATGCATATGTCAAAACTAATCCTGTACTCCGTATGAATGACGGGAAACGCATTAGGGGTTTTTTTGAATTGATTTCTTATTGGTACTTTTGAATCTTAATTTTTCCGATAAGTGGGTTTAAGCAAGTCTCGAAAACTATCGACAAATAAAGTGGTCTTATCTGAGAATCTATTTTGCAATCCAAGTTCATCGCAGGTGTTCTAGTCGTACATACATACATACACAATTAACATGACTACGATCCTACAGTCGTTTATGATTTCCATTTTAAGTTAACTTGCTTTTGTCGGACCTATTGATCTGTTAGTGGCCAAATGGGACAGGATCTACAGTGTGAATATTCGACTCACCATAGGTGCCAACACCGCGACTCCCACAGCCAACGCTACAACGGTGAGGACCAGCTGAATTTTGGAGAATCCCTTACCCAAAAGGTCAAACGGCTGGCTAGGAGCCAGCCTCGTGCCAAAAACATCGAAACCGTACGCAAATACTAGCGTTGAGCTCTCCAGCAATGTCGGGCTGGATTCTATATGTTTAATACCAACCACTTCGCGGGCGTGATTAAGATACCATTTGGGATCAAACCCTAGGAAAGGAGTGTATCTCACTAGCCCTTCCTCTACTTCTTGGGAAGTAGGGTCACGATTAACAGGTCGTCGGGGATCGAGGACGAATCGTGGTATACCAATAATGGCATTAGAGGAAGGAAGTGTGCAGAGCAATTGTCTGACTGTAATTCCTTGGCGAGTTTCTGTAACTGCCATGTTGGATATCGCTTCTGATATCATGTATGCCTGCGAGATGACATATGGTCGAGGAAGACCCGTGCTAGCGTAAATGCTGGAGTAGTTTGCCGCGTTGTCCAACAAGCCACGATCGTTTGGTATAGACGACTCGTACAGCTCAGAGATAACAAGGCGGTAGCCTTTAGCATCTGAGGTATTGGTGATATCAGCCCAGAAAGAATATGCGAACCAATTCTCCGAAATAACGGAAGCGATTGGCTGAGAGACATCAACCCCATCCTGGCTTGTAGTGTACAATATCTGACCAGAAACGCCATCTAAAAGGTAAAAGGTGACGGTAGAGCCAGCAACCGCCGTGATTAGGGTGAGATTGGGGTTCAAATATTTGTAAAGAACAGATCTGTCTCCCAATACTTTGCCAATGGATGCAACTGGGTCGTGGGCCGGTCTTGCGGTGGCACGAATGATTTTCTGGCCCTTTGGAGGGAGAAATTCCCATGCCGGACTTTTCATATTCGCACCGTCCCAGCCCATCAATTTCCCATCGTCGCTGAGTGTCACAAGAATTTTATTGCCGGTAAATTGCAGCGATGATTCCGACGGTACGCCATCGGATTTAATTGCGACTGGGATTAACGAGACTGTATCTGGCATCAACACTATTGAAGAATACCTTCCAGTCGACGGTGAGCTTTCAATAATTTTACCAGACGTAATGTTTACCGTAACGAAACTGCCATCGGTCACAAAGACGGTCGCGATCTCGCGCTGGGTTAGGATAGTATTTGCACCCCATGGTGCCAGATCGTCAACAGCTTTAATATTCCAAAGAATAGCACCATGGCGACCGGAGTCCAAGGCTAAAATGCGTCCCTTTCGGGTTGCAACGATGAGCAGTTTTCCAAATCCAAACTTGGTGAGCTCTGTATCCTCACTTGGCAAGAAGCTCGACAAGATTTTGGTTGGAAGTTCTTGTAGCCACGGGAGCAAATTCTCTTGCAAATCTTTTGCATGCCGTCTAACACGGTGAATGTAAGCCGAGAGGACATCCTGATGCCCCTCAAACTCCAGTTCATGAGCGAGGGCTTCACCACCGTCCAAGTCAGCCCAAGCAGCAATAATCGCATCCGTTAATGACTCAGGTCGATGCCACGCAAGTTCACCGTTGCGAACCAGGATCCAGTCTCCACCTTCGTTAACTTGCGCAAAACGAATTGCGTAGCCAGCATCACGGGCAACCACTTCCAGCACTGCATGCTGTGCCTCCCCAGGGCTGCCTTTGATTTTCCATGTTCCAAGGACGTCCCTTGACGCGGATGAAAATAGGTCGACGGCTGAGCTCGTTATGCGGGCAAGGTAAAACTTATCATTGACTGTACGTGAAGCAATTATGGATTTTGAGCCGAGCAGAGGGAGCTGATATGCTCTGGAAATTGCTGCTGATTTGCTGTCAAGGTAGAGTACATCTGCCCAAGATTTGGTTGCAGTGTTGTATTGCACGACAAAATGCGGCACGGTGGACGATGTTTGGACTTTGATGTCTTGGATGGTTTCCCCGCTGTTATTTTCGATACTGACAGCGTGGACAGATTTGGATCCGATGATATTGACTTTCAAAGCCTTTGCGTCTTGATCGGGCCACACAATTAACTGAGTAGCTGCATTACTGCTGGTGTGTATTATTGACTCAGGGGATAAGACCTCATTCTCTGTACTGAGAATGTATTGATTGTTAAAGCGTCCGGTTTGAATATCTAAAGCTACTACTTTGATTTTGTAACCATTTCGGGAAAGAGGCTGCAGGGAAATATAATAGGCCGTGGTCGGTGATATCGTCAATCGCAAAGGGATATCATCACTGCAAAATGGGGTTAGTGGGGGGTTCAATGCGCGTCTATCAGGGGACACTGTCAAACCTAGTATCTTTGTACTCCCATTTAACGCTCCCTGATACACCGTGCAGCCTTCTAATAATGCCATATTTGTTTGCAGACAGTACAATGGAATCATGCACAGCTTGCGCCGGCTCTGCACTCTGAAATGCAGTGAGCTTTAAATCGACAATTGAAGCGTCATCAAGGCGTGTAGTCCATAGAAGCTTTCCATCAGATGCGCCCCAGGCCAGAACATTGCTCCCCGTCGCACTGACAACGGCGTCTTCTCCGTCTACAGCCTCTAAGAGCCTAGACGAAGCAACTCCGACGGAATAGTCCGATAGATTCTGGCGCCACACAAGGGACCCATCCTTCGGATTTACGGCGCCAAGTATTGACTGTTCGGAAAGAGTATAGAGTAGCGAGGCACTTGAGGAAGTGCTCGGCCTGTGGAAGAAGGTTGTATGAGCTTGGGGGGTTCCTAGAAGAGCATGGTGATAGTCGATGTGGTACGCCTCGTCAGCAAGAATTGCCCATGAGGCGGGGACAACAGATGCCAAGAAGAGATAAGTTGCCTGAAGCCGCATTATTCAACCCCTCCTTGCAACGGTCATCTGAGGAAGCGTGGTCAATTCACTGCTCAAGCACTCGCTGCCTCGCTGGCGTTGCAGCTCGCGATCCCAACCTCATCCATGGAGGTCCAGCTGCATCACGGTCACATGATTAGACATGGGGACAACTTGTTATGACTAAGCAACTAAGGCGGGGATGATTAGGGCAGAACCCCCTGAGCATGTGATGCAGCACAATGGACTACAACAGGAGTACGCACCAAACCTCTCTCGTTCTGATCAACGTTCGGCGCCGGCGACGACACGACATGCACTGCCTACGACTATCAGGCAAGCAGCTGGTCCCGCTCGGCTGGGTGGAGGTCGTCTCGGCCTGCGCCCCAGGCGTGGGAAATGCCGTATTCCTTGAAACCCCAATGCAAGGTAGCAAGCCCATTGTGGGTTTACGAACAATCGTCGCATCGCTCCATCCTATGTGAAGCCCTTCTTGCTGACATGTGACATTCCTCACCCTGCATAGACTTACTTAAAGGAAATACTGATTTGTACATGTTAAACACGGAAGACGTGCATATACAATTCCGCCAAAAAGCGCCATGTTGGAGCATCGGTTTGCCGAATCGAGATTCCAATTGGCCGGGTGGACAAATACCCGCCAAATACCTCTCGACGGGCTGGCGGCTGACGACAGTTAGATCTACCCGAAAAGGGCTCCATTCGAAAGGTGGTAGCGTTTCTTTGCAAAGATGCGCAGCAAGGGTTGGCGAAGGAATTGGGGTTGCCCAATCCCTGGCGATGATCATGTTTGATCAACATCTAACTTCAGCGCAGAGAGCAAGTCCATCTATGATGGCCGGTAACTTAGTTATATCAAGTGAAAAAGCTTGAATGCGCGTTCCTCGTCTTCGGCAAATAAGTCGGTCTAATCCTTGGAACCTCATCCTCAGGCAATTCACAATCAAAAAACCGCGGATCAAAATATACCAGCTCCCCTCAGGAGGTTTCGCGTTTCATCGGCACCCTTTCAGCGCCAGATGAATTCCATGCAAAATCTCGAAGCTCAATACCAGCCGCATTTAGCCTCACACAAAGGGCGTGCTGCAAAATCATTCGATCCTTTCTTTATCGCATTACTTTATGGACTCTCACCATCCCCGTACGTTTTGCTAACACACTTCCAAGGTGCATGGCTCGTGAATGGCAAAAGGATCTCCATTTACCGCTGTGGTTCTTGATGATCGAAGGCGCGATACCTCCTCCCTTTAACAAATAGGAGCTCTCCATGAGCGGGTGGCTTACAGGGAACATGTCGGATGTCAGCGATGGAAGGATGCACAGTTTTTCTCAAGAGACACGGATATTACCGGATTCACCCTTGTTAGCAAATCCGGCTACATACCCCAGGATACACCGTGCTTCCATGCAGAAGAAGTGCACACGCAAGCTTTGATTCCCCGATAGGTACACCACCATGTGTTGAAGCGTTTCATCCTCAAAGTTCGAGGCACGGCGGATCTCAACCCGAAGACAGTTTCAGAAGGGGATGCGAAATATATAAATACCTCTAATGGCTACCCTATACGCCTTCCATTGGCAATATCATCCCACAACTTATCCTCAGGTTTCGGTCACATATCCATTGCAGGATGCATTTCACTTCTAGTTTGCTCGCCCTGGTGGCGCTAACCACTCAAGCTCTGGCCTTCCCTCTCAACGATTTGCCTAAAAGAGACTCGGGTCTTGCTGTCAAGCTTTCTTCCATTGGTAATACCCGAGTGAAAGCAGTTATCACCAACACTGCGGATCATGAGATCTCGTTTCTAAAATTTAATACCTTTTTCGACTCCTCCGCAACTCGGAAGGTTAGCATAGCTAAGGATGGTATGAATATTTGGGCCCCTCTCTTATAATGACGTTTCCCCTAATATTTATTAACTTTAGGGTCGGTGGTCCCTTTTAACGGACTCTATCGCTACTACAATGCTGCAAAACTTCCTAAGGAAGCTTTCAAGACATTGGCCCCAGGTGCCAGTGCTGAAGCCACATTCGACATTGCGGAGACATCTGATCTCTCCGCCGGAGGTTCTTTCAGCGTATTCTCTGACGGCATGATCCCCGTTGCGGACGGCAGCGGAACCACTCTTACGGGGGCTATCAAGTACTCCACCAACGAACTGAAAATGAATGTGGATGGTGCGCTAGCAGCTAAAGTACAAAGTGCCATCCCAAAACTTGAAAAGCGCACCAGAATCGACCCCGACTGCCCTGGAGAATATCGCAATGTCTTAACACAGGGCCTCCAGACTGCTGCTGGATATGCCAGTCGGGCAGCTGAGGCCGCGACAAATGGTGACCAGCTTGAAGAGTTCTTCAAGACAACTGACCAGCAGACCGCCCAAAACATTGCGCAGCGCTTCCAGGCTATTGCCCAGGAGTGTGGCTCCGACTCGCAAGGAAGCACCACTTATTTCTGCGACGATCGCTTCAACGGTTGTGAACAGGGTGTCATCGCCTACACAATTCCCGCTCAGAGTGTCGTTGTCAACTGTCCAGCTTACTGGGAGCTTCCACCCGTCGTAAACCAAGGCCTCGACCCCGATCATGGATATGTTGTTGTTCACGAATTTACCCATGCTACTAGCATCTTCAGCCCTGGTACTCAGGATCACGCGTACGGCTATGAGAACTGCATCCGTCTCAGCCCCGAGCAATGCATTAGCAATGCTGATAACTACTCGCTCTACGCGGCCTGTAGGTTTTGCTCTACTCCTATTTTAGAATATTTTAACGCTAATATACAAGCAGCTGTCTCCCGTGGCGGATAAATTTACAGCAAAGTTTCTCCTACCGGTGCTGCCCGTCTGAATACTTGATTAAATAGTCTATTCGCGCGTGCGAATATGTATATAGTTACCTTGACGTTGATGTTGAACATCGCAGCTTGCTTCTTACTTTCTTGCATTTATGCGTTTGTCCATCTATATTTCTTCAAACCGCTCCGTGCTTGCTCGATTCCATTGCTGGAACTCGAAATAACCTTCAAGAAGCTCGAAATGATCTTATTATTACTCCACGCGCGGAAAGTGAACCAGTTCGGCTAGTAACGTGTGCAAAGTAGCTGTCTTGCTCTTCTTTATTTAAATCATAGTTCAAAACACTCAACGAAGCTAAGACATGTTTTCGATGATCATAGTTTCGCGGCAGCTGCATGTTCATTTGCTCTCGACCATCAGGTAATGTCATTCGCGGTTTCAAAGGAATCAATAGTCCTTAAATCCCTGACTTAATCTATACCCTTGTCACATACCCAAAGTTTCATGGTTCAAATCTTCGTTTATATTTCTCCGAAACAAATTCTGTTTCCAGCATTGACAGCCTCAATTTCACCCTGGCCCATGCCATCTTCGATCGCCCAGGGTTTCGAACCCATGCCCATTGCTTGGAGTCCTTCATCTCTCAGGGTAGACCAGTCGACCGCACCTTCAAAACCTCGTTCACCAAGCCCCCCAGCGTCCGGGAAGTCCCACGGTGGAGAATAGGCCAAAGCTGCTTCTCTTTGTTTCTTAAGATACTCCGCATTCATTTCGCAGAGAGGTGCTGCAGGGATGTAAAGGACGCTTGAGTCGCCTTTCCCACGATGTTCTTTATCCACAGAGTGAAGGGCGTCACAATGCCACGCCACAAAGTCCCCTGGCTGTACCCGTGGCATTGGAACCATGGTAGTGGAAAGTTCTAAATGAGGGTGACTTGTCTTCGAAAATTCCTGGGCGGCCCCCGGTACCGCCCCGGGAAATGTTGAATCATTCAGTGGACGTGAGGTTTCAGGGTCAAAGAACGGGCGAAGGATGGTATATGCCGTACTATGCTTGAGCATTGGGCACACACTTAGCGTCCCTTCTCCAGGCCCAGTGTCTGACATGGCAAGCCAGCCCTGGAAAAATCTGAGCATCGAGCAAGCACCGGGCCCGCCGTATAAATCCATTTTTGCAGTGACACGGTGTGCGGCGTCAAAAGCATCATAATCTTCCCACGATCCCTGGAGTATTTTACGGTAGACTTTTGAATATTCCGGATCCTCCCAGCGCTCCAGAGACCCGCCATCAGCATGTGGCCCTAGAGTAAATTTTGCATCCCCAGGCTCTCGGATACGAAGCCTATCCGCATATGAAAGGGTATGTCGCATGGAAACCGGAGTAGATGGATCCGACGAATGCCATAGGCCTTGCAGAAAGCGCTGGGTCTCAAGCATGTTCGGATGAGAACGCGCTTCTACCTGTGACGGAGACCAATACAGCTCATAGACAACAGGCGAATCGGACGGGAACGCCTTCACCCTCGCCTTATTGGCCATTACATAGTCCATTGCCCGCTGTTTGAGCTCAAGTGCGACCGACCTTGGAAATACTCCGCGTATAACGACGGCTCCACGCCGGCGAATGTCTGAAAGCGTTTGGGCGGACAAATTTCCAGTTTTCAGGTCATTGAAATTCAGTGACGGAATAACCTAAGTGTTCATGTCAATCCCGCTCCCGTTTATTCACTCGAATGGCGAAGCCTTACCTTGTTCCCATTGGCGCGGATTTCTACAATCTCATTCTGCAAGCTTGAGAGGAGCCGGGACCAACTCTGCATCAATGGCTGAGGATTTTGCTCAAATAGATTTCGCTTGAGTTCCTGGAATCGCACATCAAGGGCTTCCGGCTTATAATCGGGTCTCAAGCTAGGAAAAACCGACGAGATGTCCCCGGCAGCTTTGGTAGGCTGGGCTGCTGTGGACGCCGCACGGCGAAGCGGCAGGAATCGAGAGATCCGGGCCAATGCCATAGTCTTTTGACGGCAAACCGAGCGTTTTGATATGTTACCGGCTTGATATATCAGGTTTTCTTGACTTGAGCTCGTGGAGACAACCCTTCACGTCCAGGACGAGAGACACTGGGAAAAGGAGTTCCATCACACGAGGTTTTGGGCGACACCGCTGAAATCACAGGAAACTAAATACCTGGTGATCCGTGGAGCCCGATGTGAGTTGATCTGGATCGAGGGCGCTGGCTTTGACTCTCGGCTTTAACTTAATACTAAGACGTTCCCCCGCCCGCAGTTCCCGTGACCGCGGGTTTCCTTGGTTCAGTTTGCGCCTCTCACATCAGAGTTGCACACCTGTTCGTGAAGGCAGGCAGGAGAGAGCGAGAAAAGGGCAAATAGCTTATAATTTGATCTTGGGTTGCACCTTGTCGTCACACATCATGGCGCAGTCGGTCAAGGGGAAAACTGCGATTGTAACGGGGGCTGGTTCCGGTAATCTCAGACGATTTCCAAAACCCGTCCATTGATGGCATTATTGCTAACAATGTACAAAGGCATTAACTTTTGCTTTGTCAAATTGCTCCTGGAACATGGATGCAACTGTGTGCTTGCAGATCTAGCATTGCGCCCAGAGGCCAAAGAACTTGTGCTGAAGTATTCAGCGTCGGCTCCTCGAGCCATATTTCAGCCAACCGATGTCACCGATTGGTCCCAGTTGGAGACGATGTTTAAGGCTGCGGAGGAAGAATTTGGGGAAGTAGACATCGTCTGTCCTGGGGCAGGTGTCTATGAGCCAGTGCGTAGGCTGACATTAATTCCATTTTAACTTCTAATTCCCATGTCTTATGAATCAAGCCATTCTCAAGCTTCTGGTACCCTCCAGGGTCGAACGGGAGCCGCGATTCGCCTGCCGGGTCCAGGTATGCACAGCTTGATATCAACTTGGTCCACCCAATCCGCACAACACAGCTGGCGATTTCTAAGTTCGCAAACTCTAGGACACCAAAGTCTATAATTCATATATCAAGTATTGCAGGCCAGATAGGATCGTTGAGCACGCCCCTTTATTCAGCGACCAAGCACGCCATCAACGGCTTCGTGCGCTCGCTTGCAAAATTGGATAAGATCGGGATCCGAGTAGCCGCTGTTGCGCCGGGTTTCATCAAAACGCCCCTTTGGACAGAGAGCATCGATAAGATGCGGATGGTCGATGAGAGCAAGGATGAATGGGTGACCCCGGAAGACGTAGCATTGGTGATGCTGGCGCTGATCGAGCGGGACCAAATCAGTGAATCCATCCTTGCTGAGCCGAAGGGAGAAGGCGTGATGATTCCTATCAAAGGTGGTACTATCTTGGAGGTCTCGAAATCTGTACGCAAAGTCTCATCGTTCAATGATCCAGGCCCATTGGGAAGGCCGGGAAACTCGATGGGGGACCACAGAGCAGCGGAGGAGGGCTTTTTGGAATTGGTTCAGTCAGGGAGCTGGGGAGAAGCTGCAAAGAATTAGTGTTCCCATACTGAGATACTCATATCACCTTGGAGTTTAAGATAGCCAGACAGGTAGCCATGTAGTTATGTAACTCGTTACCCGGAGGCCTAGGGAGCGGTTGGATGATGGATAGCAGCACTTCTGAGACATCCTTGTCACCACGGTGCATGTGCGACCACGCCGTAGCCTCAGGGGGGTTCTCCGATAATGCCGCCAATCAAGTGACGGTGCTGCCAACAGGAGCTCAAAATCCTCGAGGTCGACTCTGTACTCCGTACTCGAAGCGGCTTTATTCCCAATGCGTGTGCAAGCTCCGAGAAATGAATGATCCTTGTGCCCAGCGTTGGTGACCAGCTTCCCAGCGTTTCCATTGGCCCAAGCGCACCCCGACCAAAATCACCCTTCTTCGAACACCATTCGGACACAATTTTTAGCCCAAAAGAGGAAAAGGAACACAGAGAACAGTGAATCGCATCCAGTGACTCTTAAAAGCACCGCCAGCTTGAAGCCTTTCTTCTCTGTACGGCACCGGAAACGTCAACCTCGTCACCCCGTCGCGCGCCAAAGCGTTGAAAGCGGACCGCTCCATGATGCCTTGGGCATAACCCGTGCTATCACAACCATCACCCAGCACGAAAGCACTTTTCTATCTGTGCAGAGGACAGCCGTCTGAACCAGAGAGCTAACTTGTAGCCATGGACAATGAAGCTGCAGTTGGAGGGGTTTTCGCGGGGAGCGTCCAAACCACTCGTTCCCGCCGGTACGACTACCTTGCTATCGAATTCAAGCTGCGCATCCGAAAGCTAATGTGCAAATCCTTCGTTTAGGCGACATGCAGGAAAGCGAGATGTCGGCATTGCCGGTCAGGCAAGCTGGATTAGCAGCGTGATCAATCTGCTGAACACCAGTGAGTTCAAGGAAACTTCCACGTGCTCCATTACCACAAACGGTCGCTAACGCGTTCTAGTCGTCGGTGCTGGAGTCTTAGCGATGCCTCATGCCTTGTCACGGATGGGAATTACCCTGGGCGTGTTTGTGATTCTGTGGTCCGGATTGGTTGCTGGGTTCGGTCTATATCTGCAGGCGAGATGTGCTGAATACCTGGAAAGAGGATCTGCTTCGTTTTTCGCATTATCCCAGATTACATACCCCAATGCGGCCGTCCTTTTCGATGCCGCCATTGCTATCAAATGCTTCGGTGTTGGCGTCAGCTATTTAATTATTATCGGTGACTTAATGCCAGGAGTTGTTGAGGGATTCATGGGAGACACGGGCATGGAGTTTCTTTTAGACAGGCATTTCTGGGTGACGGCTTTTATGTATGCTTCTCCGAATCCAATAGCTGTGGAAATTTATACTGACGAGCCTTTTATCATAGGTTGATCATTATCCCTATTTCTTTTCTGCGCCGGCTGGACTCGTTGAAATATACCAGCGTTGTCGCCTTGATTTCGATTGGCTACCTCGTTATTCTCGTCGTTGCGCATTTTATCAAAGGAGACACTATGGAGGGCAGGAGTCCCATTAGGGTAATTCAATGGGAAGGGATAATACCCGCCTTGAGTGTCTTTCCCGTTATTGTTTTTGCGTATACGTGTCATCAAAATGTAAGTCTAGCTTCGCTTTTACCCGTTGACTATGATGGTAAGCAGGAGAACTCACCATATACTGTAATCTAATAGATGTTTTCTATTCTTAACGAACTTTCCAATAACAGTCATTTCCGGACCACCACCGTGGTCGCTGCAAGTATCGGAAGCGCCGCTGCAACTTACGTCCTCGTCGCAATCACAGGATATTTGTCCTTTGGCGATGCTATCCAAGGTAATATTGTGGGGATGTATGCTCCATCTTTATCTTCCAATATTGCTCGTGCCGCCATCGTCGTTTTGGTCATGTTCTCCTATCCTTTACAAGTCCATCCCTGTCGTGCATCCGTCGATGCAGTTCTGAAATGGCGCTGGAACTCAAAAGGATCATCCGGTTCTTCAAACGTGTCGCCGCATCGTAATCCGCTTTTACCTCGTTCAGATAGACAGCCTGAGGAAATGGGTGACACTCGTTTTGCTGCCATTACAACCGTTATCATTGTTCTGAGTTATATCGTCGCTATGACGGTTTCTTCCCTTGAAGCCGTCCTTGCTTACGTTGGCAGCACCGGAAGCACGAGCATCAGCTTCATCCTTCCGGGCCTCTTCTACTACAAGATATCGTCTCCAGAATCCGCTCTTCATCAACGAATCATGAAAGAGGATGATGAGGCCGGTGCTGACGGCTTTTCGGATGATTCTGCCGATGAAGAAATCATGGGCAGCGGCCTCCTCGGCGGAAGCGGGCTTCTCTCTTCCAGCGGTATTCTGCGCCGGCGTCGAAGACACTGGAAACGGGGTCTTCTCCGTAAGCTCAGCTTGGCTCTAGCAGTGTACGGAATCGTGGTGATGGTTGTTTGCCTGGTTACGAATACATTTTTCTTGGCAACAAATGGGTCCTAGGAAACAATAATCGCACCGCTGGTCCTCATTATCTACATTATTTCGTTTACGGGGCTGCCGGCTTTTCACAACGGACGGCAGACAATGCGATTTTAACCACCCGGAGTCATTTGCTTTGAATTGGCACAGTTTAGGCGCATTATCCCGGGTTTTGGACTTGAAATGGACCTCTGATTTTGCTCACAAACGCTGTCCATCGAGCTGAGCTTGAGAGTATACGCTTCGATACCCTTGACCGGATTACTTTTACTTCATCGACTAAACACTTATCATTTATCATATTTATTACAGACACAATCCCTAAACTTACCCGGTTCTCCAAGGCCATTTCTACATTTTTATACACACCCAGTCTATTCCCTTTTCTGCTGAGTGTAAATACAGATATACTTTTCCCGATTTGGTGGAGTTGAGATTTAGCGGCTTGTATGGAGTACACGTTATTGCATTTTCTGATAGTAAACGTTCAAGTACATTTTGGCTAGTTCAACATTGTTTTTTCGTTGGGTATTATTGGTAGTGAAACGAAATATGAAATTATATTGAAGTACTACTTGAGTGGCGACGAGAACAGTCGAATATAATGCCTAATGAATAAGGAAAAATTGGAAACTGGAAAACTGATGCCGAAAACTAAGGCAACCAAGCAAAAATTCTGCAGCCACTGGGCGAAGTTGTGCTTTCGATTTTTCCAGAGAGTAGAAATACAGAGGGAACGAGATGCTTGGTCTACAAAGGAAAGAAAACATAACTCTCGTCAATTTCCGAGTCATACGCTGCGCCGTGTTTTACACGTTCGGGCGGTTTAGTTGTTGCTCTGGCTATTGAGGATCCTCAGGATAGCCAAGAACAAGTTGATAACATCCAAGTAGAGTGAGATGGATGCGGCAATCTCCTCCTCAACATGATGATGTCGCATAACCAGCTGGGTATCGACGAGGATGTACGCACTGAATATCAGGGCTGCAATCGAGCCGTAAATCAATTCCATCTTGCTTCCCATCGGGAAAAACATAGTCATAAACCCGAATAGGATCAAAAACCATAGAGCAAAGAATAGGTACGGTATCCAGCTGGTAAAATCATATTTGGTCTGGCAGGCGAAGAGCGTTAGAGCTAGGAAGAGGCCGAGCGTGAGAACGAGCGCTTGGATGACTATTCTCGAATTGTAGAAAGAGGTCACAACGCTGACGGCGTATCCTTCAAGGAGGGTGAAAATGCTGAGGAATAGGAGATTGCTTGGATAGCTCTTGCGTTTCCAGTATGTGAGGAGCATGAATACGAGCGCACCGATAATAGAGACGAACATCATCCAAGCGTTGGATTGGACCCATGTCCGGTAGGTATCGTTGAAGAAAGAGACGGCGCTAAGGCCAGCGGTGACGAGGAGCTGGACGGTCCTGCAGGAAGAATACCGATTAGAAATGCATGAGAACGCATAGTAGAATCCGGAAATACTCTACTCACAAGATAGAATAGACCTTGCGGATAAACTGCATTCGGATAGGAAGAGTAGCTTCAGCCACTGAGCCGCCGAACTGTCCAAAAAGCGTGTTAGAGCTGTGTCACTTTGTTATCCGCAGACTGGCAGAGTTAGCCGTACCTTGAAGTCATCGGGAACATTATCATCCTCACCCCGCGGCGCACCCATCATCGGATCCGAAGCTTGTTGGTAGGATGGAGGGGACTGAGTGTAGCGCTGCTCCTCCAGCGAATCCCGCTGGGGAGCAGGCATGTATCGAGTGTTGGCTGCCATTTCTTCTGGGAGCTGCTGTTTAGATAGAAAAGCAGAGATACTGCTGGCAAAGGAAAAAGAAGCGAGCACTCCGGAGGTTGCCTTCGAATTCGATCGATGCAGAGGCGATAAGGCGTTGAGTTAGCCCATCGCGATGAAGCCGGCCAAGCCTGTGGCGCAGCTAGGGCGTCACATGATGTCATCGCTCCCTCTCCAAATTTGGGGAGATCATCACAAACAACGGAAGAGGTCTTGATAATATGTACATTTCCATGAGAACCTTCAACTATGGCAATGTTTGCCAAACTATTTGAAAGAAATCATTTATGCAAGCAACAGGAATAGTTACAGATTGAGAGCCGGCTGTGTTTGCCCGTCCATGATACCCCTCTCCTAGAGTGCCATGCAACCCCCCGGTTTTGTGGCATCCTTCCCACCGTATCTATTGTATGAATCAGTCCACCACAGCAGATTCCTCTTCCTCTTCGTCCTTCTTGCACAATGATCTTAATTCAAACAAAATTTCGTTGACACTCGGCTGCATCGGCTTGATTTGTGGGTGGTCATCGCGGCTTGCATCTCAGCCCATGGTGATGACCCCCCATTTAGCCCTCAAGCTCGCATTCCACCCTTGAGGCTTTGGTTCTCGCTTTGCAAACTTGGTTTTCATATAGTTGACCAATTTGTCGGAATGCGGCTCAAGATATCGGATTGACACGATGCCGTAGTAGCCGCAAAATCTGATATTTGCGCGTGGATTACCTGGCACGTCATCTTGGACAAACACAGGGAATGAAGCCGTATAGGTCACGTTTTCAGCGTCGCCATTACCAGCGAGAGTGGCTGCTCCGGGAAGAAGATCGAGGTTTGCCTTGCATAACACTTCGTTCTTGGTAGCCCAAAAGGGTTGCGCATCCTTGTAAACCATGATGTACGCGAGGGCATCCTGGTCGTCTTTTGCGGCGTTGAGAGTCCCACTCTTTCTTAATAAGTTGGTACCGCGGTCATCTTCTCGATGGTAGCCGAAATGCGCTTCAATGTCGGACACATGGTATGTAACCGTGTTGTTCCCAGGCTCTTGGTCCCCCAGAGTCCGTTTACGGAGCGCCGGTGGGATGTATCTGTCTGCCATGGTTTTCATCCTGGTAGAGCAATGCTGCGGATAGTTTTGTCTGTCTAAGAGGCTGCTTGTAGGCAAGCTCTGAGAGAAAGATTCAAAGCTTGTGATATAGAAAGAACATAAGTGTAAATGCAAAGGAGATGAACGAAGGTTGGACTCTGGCTCAAGCAAGGATATGCTAGACCTTTGTTTAAATGAGCAGGATTCATGATATGGTTGTAAGGAAACCGTCAAAACATAGGCGTAGTTTGAGAGCCGGCAAAGACGACAAACACGCAGTCGACGAGGTAATCGCCAGGACATTCTTTGCTATGTAATCAAGCTTCACAAGGTCTCAGTGAATATATTGACTGAAAGATTCTGGCTTCTGACATGATGTTTTGATTTCATCAAAAGTTGCCAGAAAGTGATCTAGATGTTACGTGAGGGACTGTCACCGTGCCTCCATGATGAAATATATTAATCATACTGATTAAGACATGGCTTTAATGGAAATAAATTCGCCCACATAGACATACGTCTATTCGACCCCGGAGGTTCCCCTTCAGTAGACAAGACCAGGTTTTGATTGACTACGGGAAGGCATCCATGGTAGGAATTTTAGCAAAACGTCGTTATATCGTTATGCTGGCGGAGAAGTATCCTCTTTGCTAAGATGACATAAAATACATGTTGCCGATGGGTATTTATGGTTTAGCTCCTTGTTCCATGCGAAACCCAGTGACCAAGTATTCCGCTCCATGTCGCCTGCCCCAGTACCCCAACTCGCCAGAGCGCCATCCAAATCAAAATACTGAAGGGAAAAAAAACGGCCTGTCGCAAATGCTACGCCTTCCGGCTATGCGTCTAGGAATAGAGAGAGTGCCTGTCGCTCAAAGAAGAACTCAGATGAAGCGTGATGCTTTAGATCACAGCTGCTCTTCAACATCGGTGCTGGAATCATTATCTTCATGTGAGTAGTCCACGGCATCAGAGTCGCTGCCGCCAAAGATATCATCCTCCTCCTCCCCGTTGTCGCTGTCTATCCAGAAGTCTTCGTCCACGACTTCGGCTTTTTCGGGCTTGGAGATAGAAGTCTCATGGGTCGGCATGACAAAGCCTTTAGGGATATCGCGCTTAGACTTCTCCACATCATCTCTAACCTTTTGCTTGTACTTCTCAGGGTTGTCCCGGAGCATAACACTGGCGTTGACATTCGCGGCGGAGTTGATTTCGGCGTCGTCGAGCAGCGAAAGGATGGAAATCAAGACTGATTCGACGCGTTGGGCAGGCGACCAACGTTCTGCGGCAGACTCGCCAGACATTTCGTCTTCCCCGGGAGAATGAAGGATAGAAATGCAAAGCTCGCCATTGTCATATATATTTGGATGGAATAGCGGACGGATGAATTTGAAACCTATCGTTCGAAGTAATGTTAGCCTCCGCCGAACAGGAACCGCATATCTTCGCAAATAAATTGATGTTAAGAGAGACATTGGTAATGTTTAGCCTTGCGAATTTTGCCAGTACTCACTTGGAGGAGAATAAGGGTAGTTGTTGGGGAAGGTCATACGACCTTTGAAATAGCCCCCATAGTAAAGAGAGTCCGGATTCAAGACAATGAGTGCAATATTCCAGTTGAAAATATCCTCGTTTTTCAACTATCCCGAACCGTTAGTTCCTATGGCTAGGGGTTGTTGGGGGTTGATATCCCGAAAGGCAGCTTAATTCGCTCGAATCAAGACCAAAAAAGAGAAAATAATGAAAACACACCTCAACATCAACCCACTTCTCCTTTGACAGGGCCTTGTACTCGTTGAGCAGGATCCGCTGAGCCATCGGGGTCCAAGTCCGTACAAAGCTTCAGCTCTGAAGAGTGTAACGAGTGGCGACGGGGGAGGCGGGACAGGGAAATGAAAACAAATCCCGAGGTCACCGGCAAACCACAAAGGACTTGGGGTCTGCTCAGTGTACAGAGTAAGGAGAAGAAGAAAAAGAAAACGAAGGAGACAGAAGCAAGCAGGGAGGGAAAGAGAAGAGGATCATGGCGAGAGTTTCATATTTAAAGTTGTGTTCGAGAAGGTTTCTGCCACTCACAGTGACGGAATGCGCTTCATTCACCGCCATTCACACGCAGGAAGCACCAATGAGAGCGCAATCCTTGCTTTATTTCCCCCTTGCCTGGTGGGACTATGATGCTATTTTGGGCTTCCGATCTCACCCATCCAGGCGCCAGTTCCTCCGCCCTCAATGCATATACCGGCACGATAAAGAGGCTAAAGACTTATGACGACCATCATATCGCCGATGATTTGATCTTTAGCGACTTTGAAGTTCCCTCCTTTCGCACCTTGTCCAAAGAATGAGCTAGATGGAAGCCCTCTGTGTCCAATGAATTCAGGATGCCCAAGAAATGGGGTCCATCAGTCAATCGGGCTTTTCCGGCTCAGGATACTGAGCATGATTAGCCCTGATATGCATTTCTGGGGTTGTAGCTACGTACGATTCAAAGGTTAGAGAGGGCCAGAGCCTCCCAGCCTGGAAGCTCTTTACCTGCTTTACCCAAAAGCGCGCGCAAAGGTTCACAACACTTCTTCAGCTGAGCATGTAGTTGTCAAGCGCTATGCCTCCGGCGTTTCTGGGACTATCTCAGGGAGCTGTGTTTTCAGTCTAACTCCTTGAGCACATCTCCGTTTAACCAAATCTTGGAAAAGGCTACCCCAGTATTCCGTGTGCTAGCGCTGACTCCCAGAATTTCTGCCTTTTCGACTGATGTCGCGATGTGTTGTATGGATGTGGCTCGATATAGCCACTTGCAAGATAAACTGGAGGAACAACGCATGCCAACCATGAAGTTTGCCGGCCTTGATGTCCGATAAAAATCTCGAGCAGATGAATAATAGAAGAAGACCAAAGAAAGTTCGAGCACATGTCAGCATGCATAATCTGGCATTTTGTTTGCAAGTAGTCTACTGCCAAAAAAGTGCGCTGAAGCACAAATACCGGGTTAGGATGCGGAAAGGCCAGCACACTCTCCCTGGAGCATGCACGAGGAATTAATTCCTTTCTTTCTTTCTTTCTTTCTTTTTTTTTTTTTTTCCCGGTCCATCAATGTCAAGCAACGACCTGACAGCATCGTGACCTGGATGAATTTCCGAGGCTCTCTTTATGCGTTTGTATGTACATCTTGAGCTCATCCTCCAATTGCTGTACCAAACGTGTAGAACTAATGAAGGTTTTGGGAATAACATAACGATGATGGCTGTAATTATGTGCGCGAGCGAGTCATTTCGGGGCGGATATTTCCCTGAATTCCATGGCGGTCTCACTCTATGTCGTGCGTAATCCACACAGTTGAGCTAGCTCCAAATCCCCGTTTTCCTACGACTTGATACCTGTCTTTGAATATTTCTCCCATTCTAGCAGGATAATACCGGGAAGCAACGTAATCGGTGGTAGTCTCTTCTTCAGTTTTCTGCCTTACGGGTATCCAGATGAAGTTGGGATTGGAGAAGTTGAGTGGCTCCCATATCCGTCCAACCTGCGACAAAACCCGTAAAAGCGAAGACAATATGCTTGAGACAAGGTACAACCGGTTAATCTCACGGACGTGAAAAGATAGAACAAATTTAATCCATATTATGTATTAGCAAAGATGATGCGGATAATAAGAATACAGAAAGGCAAAATGATGCCTCTATTTCCTATAAATTGCGCCAATACCCGGCTGTATCATCGGCGGTAACTTTTCACAACCTCGCGCGGTTGCTGGGGCAATATTAGTTACTCATCCATATTGCGTATCATTTGATTAAAGCTCGGGTTGGACACCAGACTCATCGCTGCCACATCCTTGTATAAAGCCCCAGAGTTCCTACGTGCTCTACATAAGCCATATTCTGAGCGGCTTTAACAACTCGTTAGGATCAGTCTGAGTCATATCTCTCGAAGTCCATCACATCTCATTGTTTTAGTAGTGAGATTCATTTGCTAGTGCTTCTTACTGCGCTTTGGATGAACATTGTATGGAGGTGAAGTGTTTTTGTTGCTCAATCCTGAGCATCCACCGTGCTACGCCTTATCAAAGAGATAGAGTAGCAAATATGGACACAAAATCTGCAGAAACTTGATAAAGCACTGACCTAGAGGGGTTCAGAGAAGAAAGTTCTTAAAATAAAAGAAAACTATCCGGTTTATTCGCCCTGAAGAGCTGGTCAGTAGGAGAGGCCTAGGACCCCCTTCACCTAAGAACAAGTATGAGCATCGATAGCTTGTTGACATCCAAATGTGGTGGCTATAGTAGAATGATATTTGCGAGGAGCGCGTTCAGGGTTGCATAGATGGAGAAGTGATGTTATCTGACGTAAAACAACGTGTTGCCTGTCATGTGTAACAACGGGCTTCAAACAGTGTTAAAAATAACAGCTCTTGAGGAGTCACATCGCCCAAGTATAGAGACCATAAGGAAAATCTTGGGCTCCACAGTCAATGGCAAACAAGTCAAATGAAAATGTCCCAGGAGAGGGGGTGCAAGTGGACGACCTTTTCTGTTGTAGAACTCTGTAAGGTGACATTCAGATATTCTGTTCGAAGGCGGTTTCGTATTCCTCAGGCGGTGACGGGTGCGCCCTCCATCTATCCTTGCGTTACTTAACATCTTGGTCATAGCCCCAATTACTCACCAGATTGTTCGGAATGGAGGAAGGATTCCGATTCTTTTAACCCCAGGAAAATAACCCCTTAAAAGGATGAGAACTCTTGACTCTTTAAGATTGGGATAAGCCATGGGTGCGTTCACAACCGTATATGAGGTGTATAGGCGGGCTTCACATATAACTATGTCAGCTGGGGGCGCTTCGACATAGGGTGCGATAAAGGAGTTCGTACGGAGTACGGAGCACCGGGACCATAGTATCTGTCAAGTGCTGCACCAACCCTAAAGATGCTGAACTGCATTCCCAGTTACAGAACCCAGCAGTCGCTCTGAGTCATGGCTGATTTCCTATCAACACGACCTTCCTCACAGAGATACTGCTCTTTTTTTTTTTTTTCCTTCGTATTTGAGACACTGTGGAGCTCCAAGCGTGGGAGCTCGTGCAGGTCGGGATTAATGAGTCAAAACCCACCGCGATGCACCGCTAAAACTAACTTCAACCTTCCAAGAAACCCACCAGGGCCCAGCTTAACACCAGTGAATTGCTTTTTCCCTCCTTCTTTTCTCCTTCATCATCTAGCTAAGCCTGCAGAACAAGCAATCTCCAGCTCTTCCTTTTCACACATCGATTCCCCGTCTTCTCCTGTTCCATTCACATATTCACAGCTTCGGTCTCCGCGCGCACTTAGCATATGATAGGGCCCGGCACATATCGGCATCATACCCACAACATTTTCCCGTCGTTCCTGCCGGCTCTGCGCAGACAGTAATGCCAAACCCATATCTCTTGTAATTTTACCTTTGCTGGATTTTTGATTCCGTATTCTGATGTGTTATTATCAATCCTAATCTCCGGGCTGGTTGGGAAAGGCGATATTGGTTTAATCTGTGTCCTTTGTTGCGACGGTGCAACGAGGGTACGAGCTAGCGACAATGCTACAAGAATGTGACGGCCCTATATGGGTCGTCGATGATATAACCAGGTGTTTTCAAGAAAAGTAAGTGGGATATACCGCTTGTGCGCATATTTTCGTCCCCGTTGGAGTTGAGGGAGAGTCATTAATACCAATGGTCGTAGGTACCTGAACCTCATTTTCCCGCTGGCGTCCTGTACCATATCTCTCCTGTTTATCGCTATACGCTTCCTTAGGGATAGGCTTTCTGCGCGGAAAATAAAGCACTACAGGCCAATTCCAACAGATGTCCCTACCCGCAATGGAATGGTGAGAGAAGAATTAGCAGATGCGGAAGACGATGAAGAAAGCGACCTGATGCTTCACAAGGCGATAAGCAGGACTGCGGATGCAGCTTTGGATCTGGATGCGCCGCGAGGCAAACTGCTGCTGATAATAATAGAAATACTCGCAGTAGCTGGGCAGGTCGCGGTTAACGCATGTGCCATCTCGAACCTCAAAGAACCGATTATTCTGTCTGTGGCTCGTCTGTCGGCTTGGATATACATTTTTCTATTGGTCGCTACGAGGTTAATCCTGTCACTCCACGAACGCCCTTCGGTTACCAATCTCTGGAATCATACCGCCGCACTTTACGGCCTTCAATGGCTTTTCATAGTCTTCATTTTTCGCTCGGTAATCGTCCACCCGGAAAGGCATCATGATAATTTATTTGTGATAGCCGATTTTTCGTTGTCTTCGTTCCTTTTCTTCCTGGCAGCGTCTACTAGGAAAGGCAACAAAGCAGTCCTCATTCAACATGGCGAAGACCTGATTCCCCCCAAAGACCAGTTTGCGAGTCTTTTGTCTCTCATGAGTTTCTCGTGGATGGATTCTCTGATTTGGCAGGGATACAAGAAGGCCATGGAAATGCCAGATGTTTGGAATCTGAGGCCAAGCTATCAAGCTGCTGCTGTGATCATGGACTTCCGCCGAACGCGGACTGCATCCAAGTTGGCATGGAGCCTCTTTCGTTACTTCGACCGCACACTGTTGATCCAAGGAATTTGGACAATTTTCGCTGGCTTGTTCACCTTTCTACCCACCTGGCTGTTGAAGCTCATATTGGAATATGTGGAGGATCCTTCTTCTGTGCCGCGTAATGCAGCTTGGTTCTATGTTATGCTGATGTTTTTTTGTGGGATCATACAAGCTGTTGGTGATGGTCAAGCACTATGGCTAGGTCGAAAGCTTAGTGTCAAATTTCGGGCTATTATTATCGGCGAGCTATATGCCAAAGCCCTGCGAAGAAAGGCTGGTGCCTCCTTACCCGCCCCCATAGATGGAGAAGAAGGCAATTCCAAGAAAAAGAGCAAGATGTCAAAGAAGAAGAAGAATAAGAAA